AACATATATTGTAACTTTTTCTTAAAATATGGCAGGCTTACAGTGTAATATTTGTAATTTGTAAAAAGTTATAATATAATGAGGATAATTTGTTGTTGCAAAGCCCATGAAATACTGTATTCCTAGAAATGTTCGCAGATACAATATTTCGCGTTTTTCACTACGTCGACATTTTCGCGGAGACAAACTTTTGCGGATATGTAGTAACTGCGAATTCCGCGAATGTTAAGTCGCTACGGCCTAAATTACAGTTTTTGGAGGTTACGTTTTTGATGCATGACCTTGCCTGTTGGGTGCTTTTTATTATTTTATTTTTTTGACAAGTCGAGCCTAAAGCGCAACGTCACTCGATACATTTTCATCTATTGACTAGTCGAACAAGGACGGTTGTTCCGTGAACACTTTCATATTTCCTTACCTTTCTCATTATGTTATTAAGTAAGATTTAGTCAGACCCGTTAGCTTTTATTCTCATTTGAATCTGACTTTATCTCCAAAATGTCGATACGTATTTTTTTACACATTATCGGACTGTATATAGCTTTCATTATAACAACATAACAGCTGTTTATCAATGTAGCACTTGATCGCTATTGTACTTTATACAAAGGATTACACCTACTCCAAGCGAATAAAATCCAAGTCATTAAATGTTCGCAAACTGTAAATGCGTTTGTCAACGCCATGACTGGCAAATAACGTCAATAAGCATGTTAATTACTAATAATTGATATTTTCTTTTTCAGCGTGAAAACTAGTATCAATAACATATATAAATAATTCTTTACACATTTCTATAATACCTGTGTTTATATGTTGTTTTGTGTAAGTAGATTATAATAAATATTCTGCACTTTTTATGTTATATTTGGTTGAAGCTAGAAATGTTCGCGGATTTGCTATAAGTGACATATTCGCGGCTATAAAGATTCGCGGAATCATGCCTACCGCGAAAACCGCTAACTTAAAATGCGCGAAATCTTTTCTAGGAATACAGTATAAGCCACAAACTTCATGGTTCACACACTTGTAACATATCAATAGAATAAATACTACATCACAATTACCATTTCAAATTAACAATGAAAATGGTAGGGTCTGATGAATATGGTATAAAAGTACAAGGTAATAAAATGGACAGAGATCCGATAAATCAACTTTTATTGGGCACTTAAAATGACCATTTATTTATCTACCTGTATAAAAGCTTAAACTATACAAGAAATGTGATCAAAGGGGGGGGGGGTACATAAAGAGAAACCACTGATGCAAGCAATTCCATGACATTTCAGACAATAAACTTGATTTATTCAGGTAAGTTTAACATATACCTAGTCACAGACTATATGAATTTAACACTAGATTGCAGTACAGAACATTTATGTAGCTCTTGTGTAATAACTGTTGAAACTGGGCTCTATGGAGTTTCCACTAAACACATTCACAAGGCCTTTAACGACGTAAACGCGAACACTGCTTTATGTATATATTTCCATCTATGACAAAATCCAGTGTTTGGTTCTTTATCTTGCAGATTACATATAAATCATGTTTTAGGAAGAAATCACAAAAAAATATGTTTTTATTTTAGGCTTTTTTGTCATTTTGTTATAGTAGCATACTAAGTATGCAACTCATTTAAAATAAGAGAAAACAGAATCTAAAGCATTACATGTGCCTTTTTTAAAAAGGGGATGTAAGATGAGATTTTCATGCATTTCAGATTGGTGTTTCTGTTAGTTTTACCCATCAGGCATGGGGGGTGCAAGGTGAGTTGCATGCTATAAAATTACAACATTTTAGCATATTTTATAAATGAACTGCGCTAAAATGACATCATTTTGACGTGTATTACAAGGAAACTGCGTGCCTAGGATGATGACATCTGGCTTTTATGAATGAAGTTGCAGATTTGTATGCTGTTGTAAGAAAATAGTAATGGAGAAAATGACATTTCTGGGGGAAAATCATATAAAATATGATAGAATATGTAAGAATATGCAATTACAGATATCTGACATATCTGTTTGCAGTTCAGATTGGAATATCCACCCCTAGGGTACCCACCAAGACAGATATTTCGACCTACAACATAATGTCATATCATTTTTTAAGCACTGGTGTAAACAGCAGAAAATCCTGTGTAATATGAAAGAAAACAACACATGTATTTAATCCATACCTGATTAAGCTTAGGAAAGAAACATTTAAGTTTACAAGTTATTGTGAAATTGATATGATAGTTAATGAATCTGTGACTTAGGGGATGCTGACATAAGGGCAGTCTTATGTAAAATAAACATTCATAGTTTGATAAAAACCTATTTCTGAAATTAAGGGAACAATAAAATAAAACATATAATAGCAATGTTTAGTGTTGATAATATTTATACAACACTGACTTTTTAATCACCATGGTAACCTTAAAGGTCTGATGTCACTCAATGAATATACATACAATAAACTAAAGTTAATGACCTTATCAATGGACAAAACACCAATTATGTGTAATTAATTCACCTTGAACTCTGAAACATATATATTTAATGTCACAAAATATTACCCTACTAAACTAAAAAAGAACTTTAGCCTACATAAACACTGCCATGACGAAAGCTCACCTTTGAGAGCTTTGTGCTCAGTTGAACATAAAAATAAAAAATCACACGCACACAAAAATCACTTGTAACTGATTTATATATTATATGAAATAAATGTGCTTGGCAAAAAGTTATATAACAGAAATTTAGAACACAGTTTATATAATAACACATCAATTCAATAAATGAAACCTCATCAGTGAAGCTATATGATTCCAGATTTTCTTCATTTTTTATGCAAACTAGTACTGAAGATGTAAATACTTTTACTTTATGCTAAATTTGTGTTGTAAAAACTAGTGATATTTTTCCTGAAATAAGATCCAGGCTAATGTAGAATTTTCCAAATATTTCGACAAAATGCAAATTAGAGTTATGGGCCTCTGACAGTAACCTCCTATTATGCTCTTAAATAAGTGTCTTTAGTTTCAACATATTCCCTTCAGTAGTTTTGGAGATACCAACTAGTATGCAAAAAATTAACCAAAGAGAGATGCTGCCATCTGGGTGAGTGCAATAATAAGAGGATATTTTTTTCGTTTGCGTGAAATATGGAATATATTTTCACGAAACATGATAAAATGCCACATATTTTCACGAGCCGGTACGGCGAGTGAAAATATGTGGCATTTTATCATGTTGAGTGAAAATATATATCATATTTCACGAAAAGGAAAAAAATAGCCTTTTTATTTAATTTCATTATCAAAGAGAATGGTAACGAATCCCCTTGCTTGCTACCAACTGCAATTGTACAGTGCGCAGTAATTTATGCGTAAGCACGCGCTGTTTGGCGCTACATTATGACGTCATGTAAACAACTCTTTAAACGTCTGTACAGCGTTAATTACTGAATTAAAGATATTGGTGTTCAGATTAATTTTCTTAGTTAGACCATTTTCTATCATGCTAGATAGTTTTCAAAACAATATTCAAGAAAAAGTTGTTTTGTATTTATCAGATTTTTCAAACAAAACGGCGAAAGAAGTCCCTTAAAATAAATATGAGTTTTGACTCCGCCCACTTTCATATTTATATTTCATATTTTATTTTTAAAAAATATGAAATATATTTGACTGATATAGCACCATATTTCATGGGTAAAATTAAATAACTCTCCCTATTCTTTGAATATTCAAGGTAATAACATGTTCTATCTATATATCCTTCTTATGTCACAGATAAATTCTACCTAAACCTAACCCCTTACCCTAACCCATATCACTGATTTTATAAGATTATATCCTCATATCTATTCTGAGTTGATTTTGTGTTTAAATGGTAGGCCTACTGTAGAATGACAAATGAGCAACTCCCCTTGGAGAATACAGATTTTGGTTGTTGCAGAGAGGTATTGCTCCAGAGAGGTAAATTTTTTGTAAATCTTTACTTTGGCAAGGATCAATATGGTTGTTGCAGAGAGGTTACTGTTCTACAGAGGGTCACTAAGTAGAGGTTACACTGTATCAATAAGCAGACATTCAATGTGTGATAACAATATCAATCAGTTCAATTTTATGTTTTTACAGACAATTAACTTTCTATATACGGTATAGTTCACTTTTTATGTAAAACATAAAATTTAGCTCAGAACATTTCAATCAAAAGAAATGAAAAGTCACGGCCATGCTATTGCAATTGATTGATTGATTAATTAATTGATAACTTTGAAAAAATAGATTAAATAACTGATTACTTGGAAAAAAAACACATGATTTATTCACACACCTTAGATTGAACCACTTTAACCAAAAGTTAAAAAAAATAGGTTAAATTTTGTCAAAAATTATTTGTATGTGAACAGAAGACATTAAATGTAACTCTATCCTCTGTTCTAGAGGTAGTTAACATGATCACACTTGCAAAACAGTTGACCTTTTGCTACAGTAGTATTAATGTGATTTAAGACCAAACAAACCAGTTCATGAGAAGACATATTTTTTCATTTAGATTTTATTTTATTTTTGATAAGACAAACTTTTCAAGGACATGAACAGATTTGTGTGAACACATTTGAGAACAGACCATAATATTAAGTCCATGTTTGATAAAGGTTACTTTATGTTAAAGATGATTTTTTATTTTAGCTTTGGCATCCACTAGAAAAGGCCACAGGATTTTAAGTGATCAAATTGAAATGGGATCATCCAAAAAGAGTTTCAAATTGTGTGATGATACACCCATTTGGTAATGGTTCTTTTTTAACTTTTTGTAGTTAGTATGAACCTTGTATAACATCTATGTGTGTTACAGGGTAATTGTGAAGTATATGCAATAATTACACTCAAAATAATTTGTTGGTGTTTACAAAAAATCACCAACATTGTTGTGATATGTATGAACATATGCATCAGTTCAACAAAATATTAAAAAAACACCTATATCTACAATAAAAACCTGTAATACTAGTACTGATGATGATGATGGTGATGATGATGGTGGTGATGCTGTTGATGATAATGATGATGATGATGAACTTCATGATGAGAGGGATGACTCTATACACCACCGCCAGCCTCTGGAGGTAACCTCTGACCTGACCTGTGAAGGTACATACGTCTGAAATAAAGAAGAAAGGTAATGAGGATACCACTATGACTTTTGCAGAAATCATTAAAAAATGAGCCATTCCTCAAATGGCAGTCTGTGTGGGATAAAAGGAGAGGCAAATATTATTGTATCTAAGCAATGCATCAGAATGATATACTGGGATTCACACCCAATAATTGAGTATCAAATATTTTGTATTACATCATAATGATTAATAATCTCTTCCAGTTTGAAATATTCAAACAATCACCTACTTTTAGTGGAAATTAAGTAAATATGCTATACTGTCATTGTGATCATACTATGGAGATAATAAAATAACTTGTTACAGATTTCTAATATTAATTTATGCTCAGGCAATTTAAATATTTATAATGAACTAAACATGGTTTTAATTTAAAACTGTCCAATAATACTTTAAAGGAACTCCACTAAGGTTAAAAAACATAAAATATATTTTTTTACATAGATCAGTTGAGGCATATTATGAAGAAATATACTCAAAAAATTTATTGATAATCTTATTTTTGCACTTTTCTTAGCCTAATTTGAGAGAAAAGCATTTTCAGTCTTTATTAACAAATAGAATGATTATTTTGGAGTAAGCAAACAATCTGAAATTTTGCTCATAAGTTATTGTTCTAGACTTTCATCAAATGGAACATACATCTTGAAAAATTATTTCCAGTCCTGTACTGGCAAAAAACCCTTAGTGCAGTCCCTTTAAAAGTTTTCAATTTTCAAAATTTTTTAAGTTGAGCAGAAAATATGGTCAAAAATGTCACAAATGCTTATTCTTGCTTGGTACATTACAGGCAGCAGAGACAAATCAACAGTGTTGTTAGTACTGTAACAGTAAATTATAACTGTATATTTTAGGATATATCATTCAGTGCAACACTTACAATAACTGGTTTGTCTCTTGTAGCTCATTAATTTTCCTTTCTGTTTCTGCCATCCACTCAGCATACTTGTCCCCATATTGCTGCTTTAACTGTAATGTAAAAATACCACTGAAATAAAATTTCACGAAGATTAAAATAAAACAAGAGGGCCATCATGAGGTCGCTCACCTGTATATAGGGCCCAAAGCGGGGCCAGTTAAAACCCCAGGGCTTTTATTTGAACAAACTTGGAAGACACACATAAGAAAATGTTTCATGATGTTAAGTTTTTACTACACACATACAATGAAAAACAATGATCTGCCCCCTCCCCCACCCCCGCAGGGCCAATTTTAACCCAAGGGCTTTTATTTGAACAAACTTGGTAGACACCCATAAGAAGATGTTTCATGCTAAACATCTAAGCTGAAGCTCATTGGGTTTTTTAAAACAAGATTTTTTAAGTTTTTACCATACACATATAGTTAAAACAATGACACCCCTGGGGCGGGGCCAGTTTTGACCCAAGGGCTTTTATTTGAACAAACTTTGTAGATACTTTCTAGAACATGTTTCATGCTTAATATCTAAACTCTAGCTATTTGGGTTTTATCAAAGAAGATATTTTAGTTTTTGCTATACACATATAAGGAAAATCAATGACCCCCGTGGCAGGGCCAATTTTGACCCCAGGGCTTTTATCTGAACAAACTTTGTAGACACTCACTAGAAGATGTTTCATGCTTAATATCTTTACTCTAGCTATTTAGGTTTTTTCAAAGAGATTTTTTAAGTTTTTGCTTAGATATACACATATATAAGGAAAATCAATGACACCCAGGGCGGGGTCAACTTTGACCCCAGGGCTCTTATTTGAACAAAATTGGTAAACACCCATTAGAACATGTTTCATGCTAAAAATCTTAGCTCTAGCTCTTTGAGTTCTTTAAAAGAAGATTTTTAAGTTTTAACTACATGCATATAGGGAAAATCAATGACCCCCTGGGGCGGGGCCAATTTTGACCCCAGGGCTTTTATTTGAACAAACTTGGTAGACACTCATCAGAAGATGTTTCATGCTAAATATCTTAGCTCTAGCTCTTTGGGTTTTTTAAAAGAAGATATTTTAAGTTTTTTCTTTCGGTTGCCATGGCAACCAGAGTTCTGCATGGAATTAAATTCTTTGAACAATTTTTAAAGGTGACCACCAAAGGAACATTCCTGTGAAGTTTGGATGAAATTGGCTTAGTGGTTTTTGAGGAGATGTCATTTAAAGTAAAAGTTTACGGAAGGACGGACGGACGCCGGACGAAAAGCGATCACAAAAGCTCACCCTGTCACTTTGTGACAGGTGAGCTAAAATAAATATGTTTGGTAAACACATATGCCCCCAGCCCTGATTCTTTAAATTATTGATTGATTTGGTATGAAAAACTTAAAAAGTTCACAATGGACAATTATTCTGTCAAAATCCATGCTAGAGTTATATGCCTGACAAATATTTTTAGTAGCTGTACAAGAAGTTGCATGTAAAACTTAAACAAGTGTTAGATCAATGCTTGTTTTGTTTGTTTTGGGTTTTACGTCACATCGACACAGTATATGTCATATTGCGACATTCCAGCTTTACTGGTGGAGGAAGACCTCAGGTGCATTATTTCAGGCACGATCCGGCACCTGAGTAGAACCACCAACGTTCCGTTAGCTAGCTGGATAGCTTCCTCACATGAAAGAATCCAAAGTCCCTGTCGGGATTCGAACCCACAGCGGTGAGGGGCAAGTGGTTTGAAGTCAACGACCTTAATCAATGCTTGTGCCAATGCAATGTGAGCAGGATAGTCCTATTACTCTTTGAATAGTCTAGCTAACATAAAGTCATACATACTCTTTATCTTAACCCATTACTTCATGAGCATTTTGTGAAAAATGGCTGTTTTCATTGAAAAGTCTCCCGTTACAAGTTCAAATTGCTATAATACTATCAAAACTGCTTCAACACTTATCAAACTTGGCACAAATGTTGACTGGACCATTGCCCTTGCAACAACATGCTCAGGCTTAAATTTTCTGTTACCATGGCAACATCTCAAAATTGCCAAAAATCACTATTTTGCGTTGATTTTTTCCATCTAAATTGATTTCAAATTGCTGCAACTTCTCAATGGATTGAGATAGAGTCAAATGCTTTTCAGCGTTGGTTACACGTTACCTTATGATCAATCTGGGGTCATTTATAGCCTCTCACAAGTCCAAAATTTTCTTGGCGATGAGGGGGACTCCACCCCCCTTCAAAGCCCCCAAACCCTTCTGGCAACCCCCTGATGTATCTTTTGGTTGGGGGGCCGCGCCGAAAAAGAGGTCACTTTTTTGAACAACATTTCTCAAACAAAAACAAGTGTTGGGGGCCTAAATAAGGCATTTTTTCACCATTTGAGACAACAAAAAGGGGGTGAAAAAGGCGTTAAAAGGCGTGTATATGACGTAATGGGTTAAGACATAAAATAATTGATGACAACAACATCAAATCTGTTACTTGGGAATATCAAACAAAGATTGCTGCACTTAAAATGCAAAAATAACTTTTGTTACATTGTACAAAATTTGCATATGGAGACCTGAATCTGAAGTGCAACACATTACCATCATGTCTAACATCATCATGCCAAATTATTTTAATATATATCCTTGAATGACAGAATTTTTGACCAGACACAACTGTCAACACACTTTAAAGAAAAAATTAGATCATGATTTCAGACGTTCAAGTGTGACCTTTAACTTTGAGATTTAGACCTGACTTAAGCATGCAACACTCATCATCATGTCCAACACATTTATGCAATGTAATTTTTAAAATCAATCAAGGAAGGAATTACAGCATTGTTGACCACACACACTTGTCAATGCACTTTAATGTAAAAAAATTGTATCAGTTGATTTGCACACTCAAGTGTGACCTTGACTTATGAGCTAGAGACCTGGGGTGGTTGTCTCAAAAAAATCTCTTATCTTAAAGTTGTGACTAAACTTACGAGATTGCTAAGGTATAACTAAGATGTCCTTATTTCATTGTCTGGAACGACACCTTAACAATCTCTTTTCTCAAACGTTATTTACGACATCGTATATGCAAAGGTGACTTTGTGTAGTTAACGCATGACCCACCTAATGCATTAACTCGACTTTGAAGAGGCTAGAACTACGGTCTACTGTAAAGAAACCGAGGGACGTGGGTTCAAGCCCCAGATGAGGCAGATTTTTTTTTTATTTTTTTTTTCTTAAAATATTATTTTTATGTCTCTCATATCACTCTTGGTAAGAAAAAAGTGTTTTATTTTAATTATAAAATTATTATCGGTATTTATTGGCTGAGTTATGCCAAATTTATTATCAAATACCTGATATTTTCAAAGTCTAATAAATCAAACACTAGACAGTAAAAGTATTTTATATTTGACAAGACCAACCAATTTACATGTACTTTTTAGAAAATTTAGGCAATCTTTGTAAACAGGCCCTCATTTTGGTAAATTTTAGGGATATTTTGAACACGGCATTCCAAATCGGAAACTGGTCAAACAAATATTTAAAATGTGTGAGGTAGGGTAACATTTTTATACATATTTCAAACATTTTGAGTAGAAACAATAAAAGCATAGCCTGGTTTTGACATTGATGCATACATATTTTTGCAGTATTTTATATCATAGTTGAAATAAGTTTCAAAAAATGTCTGAGTCAAGAAAATTGAGGACAATTTTTTCTACAAATGAACTTCAGGTACTTGCAAGAGAGGAAAATGGATGTCAGCAATTTTTCTGAAATAATCACAAATAAAAAGAAAACAAACAAAAAGTGGGTCCAGATAATAGCAAAAGTGAATTTTGTTAAGAAGCTGCACAGAAGTAAGAAAGAAGTGCTCAGTGACGTGTGATATATGGCATTATCATGAACAACAAATAATTTCTTATTAAATCCGTTAAAGTGAAGAAAACAGCAATTTTTCAACTGTTTTCAATGACGCGGGGGTAACATACGCACATAAAAAAGATGACGTCAGACGTTCAACGGCTGCGGAAAAAAGTAATTCAAGTTTATTGTCATAATTGTGGTGTAATTTTTAGTTGATATTTGAAGCGAGAAATATGCAAACCAAAAGCAACAATTACTTCGTATGTAAACTAACAACTTTACTGAATTAGAAAATTAAAAGGTATGCCAAAGGTTCGACAAAGCTAGTGTCAATGACGGCCTGTGGGTGATATGGATTATATTTCACTAATATAACTCAGTTTTCACTAGTTAGCATTAAATAGATACAGGATATTCAAGTTTTTTCTATAAATACAGGATTTATTTTAATCGAGTGGTATGGAAATAAATATTTCATGAGTGGCGGTAGCCACGAATGAAATATGAAAATTTTCATACCACAAGATGCAAAAAAATCCTGTATTTAATTGAAAAAACTTAAATTTTCTGTTTATTAAATACATATTTCTTTTTGATATTACAATTTGAAAGATTTACTCTTAAATTTTGTTTATTGGCTGAATTTAGAAAAAGTAGTCCGGCAATACACCAGTGAAAATACAGAAAATATGTTTCACTGTAGTGAAAAATATTTTTTTTTACAGTGAAAATACGGAAAATGAAAATACGCAGTTTATTGCATCAATATTTCAATTCATTTATAAGAACATAATAAATACAGCATATTTGTTAATTTCGAGCGAATATGCTATATATATCCCAATAAAATTGCAATGTTTTTTTCACGTCCATATTCACGAAAAACTAACTATACAGCCAATAACGCGCAGAAACAGACTCACAATCAAAGAAAACGTCAGACGTTCACTTGCTGCGTGGACGCTCCGTAAAGAAACGTTATTTAAAATTTATAGTCACAATCGCGGCGTTATTTTTAACTTTTATTAAACAAAGAAATAATGACATTTGAATCGAGAAATGTGAAATTTAGAACACAACACTACAATCACTGATTATGGAAATTCGCGAAAATTAAATTGTTCGCCAAATCAAGTTCAGCAATCTCCTACGCACTGATCTCCCCTTATCAGTACAATCTAGTCCCAGTGTGAGTGATATACTGTGCATGATATGAATTTTATTTTACTGATAATATGAGGTTATTATACATTGTGTTAAATACTGAATTCTAGCGCCTCGTCAAATATAAGTGCAATAAAACAAGAGAATTTTCAATGACATCTTCATTTCACACCATCAATGTTTTGACATAACTTTGTTTATTTGCGTACAATATGGATTTGATATGTATTGTTTGGACTTGCAAAATAAAAATGAGGCTATCTTGAGTTCAATATGCATTTGATACAGACTCTTTGGACTGTAAAAACGAAAAAGAGGCTTGATTGAGTACGATATGCATTTGATATGGATTTTCTTTTACTCTTAAAATGAAAATGAGGCTAAATTGACAAGATGGAATCCAATTATATTCGTTATCGTAGACTTACGATGCTGCTATGGGGTCAATTTTTTTACCGTAACTTTACGAGATGTTTAAGATACATCGTAAATTACGAACTCTCCGAGACAACCAGAAAAAATGCAACGATGACCATACGTCAGTGTTACGAACGTCGTAAGGGATACGAGGCTTTCGAGACATCCACCCCTGTTGTTTTTGTTTTTTTTCAATATACTTATGCAAAGTGATTCTATAATCCATCCAGGAATGACTGAATTCTTGACTGCAATCACCATTAAAGCAATTTTACGAAACATTTCCTTTGAAGTCAACATAAGACCTTGACCTTTAAGCTATAGACCTAGGTCTAGAACAGGAACAGGTCTCAATGTGCTTCACATTTATACAATTTCTTTTTTTCCAAAATCCATCCTTAAAGCAACTCAACTGAGATGTGAAAGCCTAAAAACATAAAACTTGAATTTTTACATAGATCAAATTGGGCATTTCAAACAATAACGTATAAGTACTTATTTCTGCGGGCTTAATGTTCTGTGATTTTGGTAAAAATAAGGGGTTTTAAATTTCTGCGTATCTTATTTCTGCTGTTTCATCATTCTCGCATTAATGTATTTTATTTCTGCGTTTTAATTAAGAGATTTTTACAAAATTAACCAATACAAACAGATAACGTTTCAAGATTTGTTGATGTAACATGTACATTACTTCCGGTAAACATGCAGACGATTTATAATGTGTGTTCATCGTAATCACCATGTATCGGTATATAAACGTTAATAAACAAAAACCAACAACATGCAATGACAACAATTAATTGTAATACTGCATGTGTATAAATATGAAGTGTGAAAAATAAACTATGGTAAAATCGCACATAGACACAATATATTGTACAAATATAAAAAGGGTATGTTTATTGCACCCGTCAAACTATAATAGTTTTTTTTAAAAATAAATCAAGCTTAGGGTGAGCGAAAATCATACAAACATGATATTTTTTTAAACAAAAAGAAAAAGTAAAGTAACTTTTTTTTCTAATATTTTATACATGACGGATACATAAAGAAAACTTCCCATCTAAAAAAGCTGATAACGGTACATGGTAATGTAATAATAAAATACATGTAGTTGACATATTCCGACATACATGTAGACATAGCAAAAGGCTTAATTTTCTGCAGTTTTTAAATCTGCGGTGTCGTTATAAACCGCAGAAATAGCAGAAATAAAGTTCCCGCAGAAAAAAGTACTTATACGGTATATGCAAAGGCTAATGAGGAAATATACTCAGAAATAAATTGAAAATTGTATATTTGTGCTATTCTTTGCCCGATTTCTGGTAAGTTTTTACAATTAGAATCATTATTCTGGAAAAAAGGGGCAAGCGAATAATCTGAAATTTTGAAAACAAGTTCTTAGTCTGAAACAACAACAAAATGGAACATTAATATTTTTAAATTATTGCCAGTCCCATCATGTCCAAAAACCTCAGTGGAGTCCCTTTACATGATAAATTCATAAACCATGCACAGAGTATGGACAGGGGAAAGATAGACACTGCTTCTATTTTGATTTTGGGGAGGAGGCATAATAAAATATTTTTTTTGGAAAATAGGAAGTTCAGGAAATAACTTCCTTTCACTAAAGGCAGCTTTAAAGTGAAAATGCTATTTAACTCATGGCAATCAACAGTTGTTTGGAGGTTTATATTGCATTAAGATGTTGCATTATTAAGTATTAACTTTTCATAGAAAATTATCTGAAATCAATAATTAAGCATTTTATGGATTTAAGCTGTGAAATTTTGTAAGTATGATTTTCTCATTTAGGATTTTTTTTTATATCTTAATATCTAAATTTCATTACAACAGGTGAAGCATATCATATTCATGATTGAACTTAATGTATGCTCCTTTTAGAAAATCACATAAATTGTATGATAGACCTAGTAATGGGTATATCATAAGCATTGAACTATTAAGCAGGTAAATAGCTTACATGATGTGGACCACTTACCTTTAAGTTGTACTGTTCCTCTTTTTCACACCATTTGGCTTCCTTAACACTTAGTTCTAAATGAAGGGCATTAACTCTATCTTTTAGATCTTTATTTTCCACCATTAGTGCAGATTTATCTCCCTCTAACTCAGTATTTTTAGCTTTTAATTTACTAATTTCATCATCATGATTGCATGATGGAGTGTTCTTTTGCTGAAACAAATAAACAAACATATTGTTTTACTTATCTATATACTTATGAAATCAGATTTTGAACAGATAAAATATGTTTCTTTATTGAAAACTTCTAACTGAAATATAGATTAATAATTAAAATGAATATTTTCATTTCCTATATTCTCACTTTAATCTTATTTTTTACTGCAGTAAACATATTTTTCATATTTCCACTTTTTTTTCTAAAGTCAGACAAAACACAAAATTAAAGGGGAAGTCTTCTAAATTGTAAGGTTAAAGAAGTACATGTACATGTATTTAATAAACAGAAAATTCAAGTTTTTCTATAAATACAGGATATAATTTTATCTTGTGGTATAAAAATTATCATATTTCTCACCACTCCGTGAAAATAAATTCTGTTTTTATATGAAAAACTTGAATATCCCCTATAAACTTTATAAATAACATTTTAACACTCTTCACAATATTTTCCTATAAAACATATTAGACAGTCGAGTATATTTTTACACAATATATGCACGGTATAAGAAAGGATGCCTTCTGACTTTACATATCAATAAACCAAATGATGTCAGGAAAATCCCCTCAATGCTCAATGTAGATCAACATTAGGGTCATTAATTCTCTATTCTATTAGAGTAGAAGTAGAATATTAATTTTCCATGATTGTGTTGTAGTCTTATAATTATATCTATTTCCTAAACAATAAAGAAAACATAAAGATGAATAAAATAATAAATTCAAGTGTGATTGACAATAAGCAAGTGTGATTCATTTTTTTATTTATTACAAGTGTATTTCAATAATCATTTACAATAGTTGTCAAAAATAAGAACAAAAGATTTTTATGTGGTATACATTATCAAGCTTACAAATGTTACTTTACAAAACTGTAATAATATTTTCAGCCAATCACATGCTACTTTATATGTAGATTGGCTTGTAGTGATTTTGTACATGGTACTGATGTGCTAAAATAAACAACAACCATATTTCAAAAACTTTTTTTTACCTTCTATGTAATGTGTTGTTTTCGTAGCAATGTTCCTATAAAACACGTAAGGCAAACAAGGTGTCAAGTTTTAAGATATGCATCGCAAAAAGAAATAGTGCAAAGTACTGGTCGACTTCCAGCATTAAAGTCACTGTTCAGGCAGCCAAGACATTAAAGGGATTTCAAGTACTCAATATACTTCTAAAAACTCTCAGCAGTTGGCATTGTATAATGTTTAAATTTGTTAACCTTTTCAATAGTTAAAAAATTTCAGAATTACTTATGTTTAGCAAATAGTATTTTCTGAGACTTTTAAAATTAGAAATCAAATTCTTTCAAATGTGCCAATGTAACTTCTTGAAGTATGGTAATCCATTGACAATAATATTATATTCACATTTTTATGATTCCCTTCTGAACTGTTTAGGTATTATGTTATAGTTCCTATTTTATATTATAGGTATCTGATGTAGGTAAGTTTACTTGAATTCAAACATTATTACATAATGCAAATACATGTGTTTTTTCTTTATTTTTTCTTTGTTCTTTAACATGCAATTACATGTTGCTTTTTTATTTTTCATTCTGTAATGTATGCATGTTGTTTTTAAGATCCATTATTGTGTTATACATATATAATTTCATTTATTTTCATCCTTTATGCATCGTTCAATATCATATTTTTTATATTTATTATCCTTTGTTAAACACTAGAAACTGTACAGTTTATGTGTAATAAAATTTGTTCTGTTCTGTTCTGTTCAATACTGCATTTTTGTTCTAAATTTACTTTGTGGTAAAACACCACTAAATTAACAAAGTATTGCCTGTTCTGACAATGACTATATTTGTTGCCCAGTCAGCTGTCATCATTGTCTATATCCTAAATATTACCTTGTTAAGTTTATCTGTCCAGTCTTTTCTCTCTCTATCCAATCTCTCCATAAGATCATCTATCTGTTTCTGTAAGTCTTTCTGTTTCTTCGTCTGTGCTGCAAGTTCTTCTGCATGTCTTCTCTGAAAAATAGAATTTTAATATAGTTATACAGGTGTTCTTAAAAACAAGAATACAAACAAGCCTGACTGCATGGTCAATTCAATTCTTTATTAAGATGATTCAGGCCACCAGTCCATACATCACAAAAACAAGAGGGCCATGATGGCCCTGGATCGCTCACCTGACACAACCGCATCCAAGCAATGTCTTAAACAAGCATCATGACCAAGTTTGATGACAACTGAGTCAAACATGTGACCTCTAGTGTGTTATAAAGATTTTTCCATATTAGGGCAATGTGACCTAATTTTTGACCGGACACGACCCATATTCAAACTTGACATAGAAATCATCAAAACAACCTTCCTGACCAATTTCCTGGAAATTTGGATCAAAACTGCAGCCACTAGAGTGTTCAAAAGATTTTTCTATTTTTAGCTCCTGTGACCTAGTTTTTGACCGGACATGACCAATCTTAGCAATTGACCCAGAAAACATCAAAACAGCATTCTTGACAAATTTCCAGAATATTTGAATCAAAACTGCAGCCACTAGAGTGTAAACAAGCTTTTTCTATTTTTAGCTCCTGTGACCTAGTTTTTGACCTGAGATGACCCATCTTCGAACTTGACCCAGAAATCATCAAAACAACCTTCCTGACAAATTTCCAGAATATTTGAATCAATACTGCAGCCACTAGAGTATTAACAAGCTTTTTCTATTTTTAGCTCCTGTGACCTAGTTTTTGACCGGAGATAACCCATCTTCGAACTTGACCTAGAAATCATCAAAACAACCTTCCTGACAAATTTCCAGAATATTTGGATGAAAACTGCAGCCACTAATGTGTTAACAAGCTTTTCTATTTTTAGCTCCAGTGACCTAGTTTTTGACCGGAGATGACCCATCTTCCAACTTGACTTAGATATCATCAAAACAACCTTCTTGACAAATTTCCAGAATATTTAGATGAAAACTGCAGCCATTAGAGTGTTAACAAGCTTTTTCTATTTTTAGCTCCTGTGACCTAGTTTTTGACCTGAGATGACCCATCTTCGAACTTGACCTAGAAATCATCAAAACAACCTTTCTGACAAATTTCCAGAATGTTTGGATGAAAACTGCAACCATTAGAGTGTTAACAAGCTTTTTCTATTTTTAGCTCCTGTGACCTAGTTTTTGACCAGACATTACCCATCTTCGAACTTGACCTAGAAATCATTAAAACAACCTTCCTTACAAATTTCCAGAATATTTTAATCAAAACTGCAGCCACTAGAGTGTTAACAAGCTTTTTCTATTTTTAGCTCCTGTGACCTAGTTTTTGACCGGAGATAAACCCATCTTTCGAACTTGACCTAGAAATCATCAAAAGAAACCTTCCTGACAAAAATTCCAAAATATATTGGATGAAAAATGCAGCCCCTAGAGTGTTAACAAGCTTTTTCTATTTTTAGCTCCTGTGACCTAGTTTTTGACCGGAGATGACCCATCTTCGTCATTGATTTAGATATCATCAAAACAACCTTCCTGTCAAATTTCCAGAATATTTGGATGAAAACTGTAGCCACTAGAGTGTTAACAAGCTTTTTCTATTTTTAGCTCCTGTGACCTAGTTTTTGACCGGAGATGACCCATCTTCGAACTTGATCTAGAAATCATCAAAACAACTTTCCTGACAAATTTTCAAAATATTTGGATGAAAACTGCAGGCACTTGAGTGTTAACAAGCTTTTTCTATTTTTAGCTCCTGTGACCTAGTTTTTGACCGGAGATGACCCATCTTCGAACTTGACCTAGATATCATTATAACAACCTTCCTGACAAATTTCAAGAATATTTGGATGAATACTGCAGCCTCTAGAGTGTTAACAAGCTTTTTCTATTTTTAGCTCCTGTGACCTAGTTTTTGACCCGAGATAACCCATCTTCGAACTTGATCTATATTTTATTGAGACAAACATTCTGACAATGTTTGATGATGATCCAATCAAAACTGTGACTGCTAGACTGTTAACAACCCAATTGTTAGAGTGTTAACAAGCTTTTTCTATTTTTAGCTCCTGTGACCTAGTTTTTGACCGGAGATGACCCATCTTCGAACTTGACCTAGATATCATTAAAACAACCTTCTTGACAAATTTCCAGAATATTTGGATGAAAACTGCAGCCTTTAGAGTGTTAACAAGCTTTTTCTATTTTTAGCTCCTGTGACCTAGTTTTTGACCCGAGATAACCCATCTTCGAACTCGATCTGTATTTCATTGAGACAAACATTCTGACAAAGTTTGATGATGATCCAATCAAAATTGTGACTGCTAGACTGTTAACAACCCAATTGTTAGAGTGTTAACAAGCTTTTTCTATTTTTAGCTCCTGTGACCTAGTTTTTGACCGGAGATGACCCATCTTCGAACTTGACCTAGATATCATTAAAACAACCTTCCTGACAAATTTCCAGAATATTTGGATGAAAACTGCAGCCTCTAAAGTGTTAACAAGCTTTTTCTATTTTTAGCTCCTGTGACCTAGTTTTTGACCCGAGATAACCCATCTTCGAACTCGATCTGTATTTCATTGAGACAAACATTCTGACAAAGTTTGATGAAGATCCAATCAAAACTGTGACTGCTAGACTGTTAACAACCCAATTGTTGACGACGCACGACGCACGACGACGGACGCCGGACATAGCCCCATCACTATACCTCACCTTGACCACTTCGTGGTCAGGTGAGCTAAAAACACAAAACATATTTACATATTATAACACACTAGAACTCCGCGAGTCGGATGTGTCGCCTTGTGAACAATATAGTTTAGGAGAAATGGCCAGGACAAAAATGAAATATAACAAGAGGGCCATGATGGCCCTAGATCGCTCACCTGATTTATCAAACTCATCCAAACAATTACCTAGACAAGCATTCTGACCAAGTCTCATGACAGGTGAGTCAAAAATGTGACCACTACAGTGTTAACAAGGATTATCCATATTTGAGCAGTGCGACCTAGTTTTTTACCCAGGTGACACATATTCAAACTTGACCTAGAAATCATCAAAACAAACTTTTAGACCAATTTCAAGGATACTTGGATCAAAACAGTAGCAACTAGAGTGTTAACAAGATTTTTCTATTTTTAGCTCCGGTGACCTAGTTCCACATGCGATTTCGAACTCATCCAAGCAATTACCTATACAAGCATCCTGACCAAGTTTGATGATAACTGAGTCGAAAATGTGACCACTAGAATGTTAACAAGGTTTTTCCATATTTGGGCGGTGTGACCTAGTTTTTTTCATCCAAGATGACCAATGTACGAACTTGACTTAGAAATCATCAAAACAAACTTTCAGACCAATTAACAGAATATTTGGATCACAACAGTAGCAACTAGAGTGTTAACAAGATTTTTCTATTTTTAGCTCCAGTGACCTACTTTTTCATCCAAGATGACCCATGTTCAATTTCTTCCCAGCAATGACCTAGACAAGTTTCCTGACCAAGTTTGATGACAATTGAGTCAAAATTGTGAGCGCTAGAGTGTTAACAAGGTTTTTCTATTTTTAGCTCCTGTGACCTAGTTTTTCATCCGAGATGACCCATGTTCGAACTCATCCGAGCTATCACCTAGACAAGCATCTTGATCAAGTTTGATGATGATTGATGCAAAAATGTGACCACTAGAGTGTTAACAAGGTTTTTCTATTTTTAGCTCCGGTGACCTACTTTTTCATCCGAGATGACCCATGTTCACACTCATCCGAGCTATCAACTAGATAAGCATCCTGACCAAGTTTGATGATGATTGATGCAAAAATGTGACCCCTAGAGTGTTAACAAGGTTTTTCTATTTTTAGCTCCGGTGACCTACTTTTTCATCCGAGATGACCCATGTTCGAACTCATCCGAGCTATCACCTAGACAAGCATCTTGACCAAGTTTGATGATGATTGATGCAAAAATGTGACCGCTAGAGTGTTAACAAGGTTTTTCTATTTTTAGCTCCGGTGACCTACTTTTTCATCCGAGATGACCCATGTTCGAACTCATCCGAGCTATCAACTAGATAAGCATCCTGACCAAGTTTGATGATGATTGATGCAAAAATGTGACCGCTAGAGTGTTAACAAGGTTTTCTATTTTTAGCTCCGGTGACCTACTTTTTCATCCGAGATGACCCATGTTCGAACTCATCCGAGCTATTACCTAGACAAGCATCTTGACCAAGTTTGATGATGATTGATGCAAAAATGTGACCCCTAGAGTGTTAACAAGGTTTTTCTATTTTTAGCTCCGGTGACCTACTTTTTCATCCGAGATGACCCATGTTCGAACTCATCCCAGCTATTACCTAGACAAACATCCTGACCAAGTTTGATGATGATTGAGGCAAAAATGTGACCTCTAGAGTGTTAACAAGGTTTTTCTATTTTTAGCTCTTGTGACCTAGTTTCTCATCCGAGATGACCCATGTTCGAACTCATCCGAGCTATCAACTAGATAAGCATCCTGACCAAGTTTGATGATGATTGAGGCAAAAATGTGACCGCTAGAGTGTTAACAACTAAATGTGAACGGACGACGGACGGACGGACGACGGACGACGGACAATCATCGATCCTAAAAGCTCACCCTGAGCATGCTCAGGTGAGCTAAAAAGTAACAAAGGGCAATAACTCAAAAAATAATAAGTGCAGAGCAGCAGTTTCTATGCACTGCACTTCTTATCAATAAGATCTATCATTCTATGAAGTTTCAAGTCCCTATCTTTTATAATTTATGAGAAATGGCCTGGAAAAAAATAAAGTATGAAAATTAACAAGAGGGTCATGATGGCCCTGAGTCGCTCACCAGTAACAACTGCTTTTCAGTGTTGGAATGTCAATATATTCTAATATTAAATTTGAGCATAGAATATGTTTAAACAATAATTTGAAGAAATGCCATGACCTGGGGCATTTAAGCTTTTGCTGTTCTTGTGTACTGCACTTCTTCTTAATGAGATCTATCATCCTATGAAGTTTCAAGTCCATTGCTTTTATATATTAGGAGAAATGACCCAGACAAAAATAAAGTATGAAAATTAACAAAGGAAAATAACTCAAAAATTAGGAAGTACAGAGTACCGATCCTTGTGCACTGCACTTTTTCTTAATGAGATCTATCATCCTATGAAGTTTCAAGTCCATAGCTTTTATAGTTGAAGAGAAATGACCCGGACAAAATTAAAGTATGAAAATTTACAAGGGGCAATAACTCAAAAATTAAGAAGTACAGAGTACCGGTCCTTGTGCACTGCACTTCGTGTTATTGAAAGAAGCATGCATACCAAGTTTGAAGTCAATCCAACTTAAAGTGACTGAGTTATGCTCTGGACAAGCTTTAGGGGACTCCGACAACGACGCCGACACCGCCGACTAAAGTAACCCCTATACGTCTATATGTCGCCTTTTTAAGGCGACACAATAATCACAAAAACAGTGAAAATCTACAGTTATCACATATTAACATATATAAACAAGTATGACTTTTGTAAGTAATTTTTTAAATACAAAACTATAAAGAGTCACTATTTTATTTGCCTGTTCCTGCATTTTGAAGAAACGAAAAACAAGAAATAACAAGAACAAGGTTTCATTATTTTAAATATGCCCTTGAATAAGGGAGATTACCTTCAAGTATTAAATCTAGATTGGTGCTATAATTAATTGACATATTAATTTGATCAACATATCAACACTGCAATAATGATGACCTCACCTTTAGAGCATAATAAATAAACATAGCAAACATTTTATTTGTTCTTTTCTGGATAACATTAATACATGAAATTTGTATCAGTGCTTGATAGTAAAACTGTTGCACACTTTTATAGCCTGGATAAGGCAGAAAGTTTTGAAATTTGCAAATAGGTATAATTCAGGTACAATATGATACAAAGCACAAGTGTGTGAAGTTTCAACCCATTCAGTAGGTCTGGAGATACCAACTTTCAAGCAAAAACTTAACCAAAGTATGACAGCAATGCAGACACCAACACCTGATGGGTACAATAGCTCTCCATTTTCTTGAATAGTCAGGCTCAATAAGTAAATGTACAAAAATGATTTAAAAACAACTACTTGATGGCTAGTTTGAGTAATACATCTTTACCAATTAAGTTCATCATCAAAAAGGTTTTTTTTACACAATAAACAATAAATAGTGGGCATACATTAACACTTGAAACAACCATCTTGTCCACAGATTATAATATGTTAACATATCATGTCATAATTTTACCTTAAGTTCTTCAATTTCTTTGTCCTTGGACGCCAGCTTTTCTTTCATCTGTCTCTCAAGTTCAGCTATTTTGGCTTCATATCTTGGATCTCTATCAAAATATAAAATCAGTTTAACAAAAAGTAAGCTGTAGCACTTAGAAAGCTTCCACTTCTGTTTCAGACATGTATATACTTTATTCTATTGTAACAAAGTTATTTTGCTTAACCAATGAAACAAGAGCTGTCAGTAGGACAGCAACGCTCGACTATTCTTAGTGCTTGATAGTAAAAAAAAATCCTTGATACAGTTACCTCCTCCTGTTTACAGGTTGGGGTCATGATAGTGAACAAGTGTGCAAAATTTCAAAGCCATATGTCAATGGACTTTGAAAATATTTGAACTATTACAAAAACTTAAACGTAAATTTTAAGTCAAAAAAGGGGCATAATTCTGTCAAAATGCTTGATAGAGTTACCTCCTCCTGTCTGCAGGTTGGGGTCATGATGGTGAACAAGTGTGCAAAGTTTCAAAGCCATATGTCAATGGACTTTGAAAATATTTGAACTATTACAAAAACTTTAACATAAATTCTATGTCGAAAAAGGGGCACAATTCTGTCAAAATGCTTGATAGAGTTACCTCCTCCTGTCTACAGGTTGGAGTCATGATGGTGAACAAGTGTGCAAAGTTCTAAAGCCATATGTCAATGGACTTTGAAAATATTTGAACTATTACAAAAACTTTAATGTAAATTCTAAGTCGCAAAAAGGGGCATAATTCTGTCAAAATGCTTGAAAGAGTTACCTCCTCCTGTCTACAGGTTGGGGTCATGATGGTGAACAAGTGTGCAAAGTTTCAATGGACTTTGAAAATATTTGAACTATTACAAAAACTTTAACATAAGTGGTTACGCCGACGCTCGGTGACTACAATAGCTCTACTTATTCTTATCGAATAGTCGAGCTAAAAATTCATGTACTTTAATTCATTTAACATAATTGTTAGAACATTTGTAAAACAACAGAATGTGAAATCACTTGCTTAAATAAGGTTAAGTAAATCCACTAATAATGAATTTTGCTTTTCTTATGTGTTGAACAACGCATTAATTATCAAAAGTGGTTTCTTTTTATTTGAATTTAAGCAAAAAGTTATTGATTGATTTACGCAAAAATGGCATTCAGACATAGACAACAATATCATACTTTGGAACCATATTTAAGAAATATTAATTGCAAAGAGATGTATGAATATTTGTAGAATAAGAATATCTGCTCATTGAAATCGTAAGATATGGACAAAATACAATACAAAGAAATGAAAGATTATGTCACTTACCAGAAATTGAAGATGAATATCATTTTATTTTAGTTTTTTCATGTTATCAAGATATTCGAAGAAGATTATTAAGCCTTATTACTATATTAGACTGTCTATGTATAGATTAGTAGATTAATTACAATCAGAAAATAAGGCTATACTTGTAAATTTCGGAAAATATATAGATGTAGCCAATAAAAAGAGACAAGAATATACCAGTGGTTATTACATAACGCATTTAGTAATGTTAATTGGAACAACTTGTTATCCTTATTATTATATAAAATATACATGTAATACTATACTTTTAAAGCCATTATGCTTACACGTCTTTTTTGTTTTTGGTGTTTTTTGTTGTTTTTTTTTGTTTTTGTTTCTGGAACTCTTTATTTCTATGAATGATAATGATGTTGTGATGTTTTATTCCTTTTTTCCCCCAGCTGTCTGTTCTTTGTTTGAAACAAATTTTCTAGAATGTCATTAGTTAAAACTTTTTTTACCCTTAATATTATTATCTTTTTATTTCTTTGCTTTTGTCATGTGACCACAGAACTATTATATTTGTAATCATTGTATATAACGAGATGCTGTAAATGTATAAGTTATCGAAATAAACTATTACTTCTGAAATCTCTGTTAAAACATACAAGCATATGATATGGGAAACGTGGCTAGATTTGCTCTATGAAATCCATGGCTTATTTTAGCAAAGGAAAATCCATGGCTTATTTTAGCAACATCTATGGCTTCATGTTTAATAATGGAAAATACATGGATTATTTTTTGCAATGAGAATTTTTTTGCAATGGGAAAAATATTCATACAAATAAATAATAGTTATTCCTAGCATCCAGATGTTACACTGTAAAAAATTGACCATTGCACAATTTTGTACAGAACTAAATTGAGATCAGGTAAATTACACCATCTTTTGGTTTATATAAATATTTTGTTAACCTGATCTTGAAAAGAAACTGTCAACTTTTCAGTAGAATCACTTCAATCAGCAGAAGACAAAGAGTATAAAATAAAATTTCTTTAGTCTGTAAAAAATCATTATATACCTGTGATTTGTACTTAAATTATTTATATACATGTATTATCATTAAGGCAAGGCTATAACTTTACCTTTTAAAGCCCACTTCCACAAGTTCCCGTTCTCTTTTTGTTATAGTTGTGTTTTTTGCTTTCCTAAGATCATCCAGCCTTCCTTTTAAAGTAGACACTTCTTGCTCGAGCTGCAATACAAAAATAGTTGCTTAAATCTTTTTAAAGATGTGTCATTCATAACTGTATAGTTGTAAATATGTACATTTAATGAGGCCCACAGGGTAGATTGGCCTTGCTGCAACTGTGTAGCCTCTTTAAAGAAATTTAAGACTTTATAACTATTATTATTCATGCCTCTTTAAATAAAGACTTGATCATCATCATCATCATCATCATCATTATTTTTATAGTACCATGGATACAAAAGAAAACATAACTATACTTTGTGTATCATAGACAAGAAGTCAGAATACATATTAGGCTTGTTGTCCATACAAGCAATTATGTTAATGCTTATCACTGAGCTATTCATACTTGTTCTGGTAAGCTTTAATTGGAGATTCAAGCTCACCTTGGAAAAGACTAGTAATTCTAACAACATTTAACAATATGATCTTATTAATGATAACGTGATTACTATTGGAATATATATATATACATAATTATATGTTTGCAATGCAAAAATAGGATGAATTTTAATTTTAGCATTTAACATGATTGTATGGCGGTTGTGTTCATTGAACGCCACCTTTCCTTGCTGATCTTGTTTATCATATTTTAACATGCAGTTTAAATAATTTTATACACAATTTTCATTCTGCTTATAATTATGTCTATATGTAACCAAAGCATACAGTGTCACCTTAGTCAACCTGTTACTGCACTAAGGTGACAGCAAATTAGGCCTTTAAATGTAAAACAAAATGGTTTTATAGATACTAGACTGGTATCAAGATCATACATTTTGACATCACTTTCTACATAAACAATAAACATACATACAAAATTAATCTTATCTAATTAGTAAAGTCTGAACTCAGAATAAAAGAAAAATAAAAGTGATACAATTTGCAATAAATTACATTATGCTAAATCTGGAAATTTTGTGTAAGAGTATATTATATTGTATTACCTCTTTAACTTTTAACTTTAGAGAAGCAATAAGCTCTTGATTTGCTTTTTCAGCTTCTTTGTTTCCTCTGGCAGTACTCATTGTGGTTAATTTTTCCTTAAATAGCAAATATACAATATTTAAGAAATCAAAATTTACCCATTCAAGTTATAAATTAATAGTATACTACAGAGGTAGCAAAGAGCACTAAATAAATGAAATGCTATAGGTAAAATATGGTTGACAATTAATTTTTTATAGTTTCTACTTCTATTTCTAAGTTGGTCACGTCTGTAAATCCGCTGTGTAGACATCAGCGACGAGTGGTCATGTGAAATGTGCTCCATTAGAAACGTGGGCCAAAAACGCCAAAAACCTGTCCCCCATGTGCGGCACCAGGCGTTAGAGTTAAAATAATGTGAATCTTGACGTGAAGTAAAATCCAAACATGCATGGATTATAAATACAGACTTTATTTTACAATCACTTTATATAATTAATCACTTCGCCAGGCTTCCACTGATAGATGATTAGCATAAAAGACAGGCAGATAGATTCAAATAAGGCCTATTAGCTCATGATAACATAATAATTGCATATGTACAAGATAACAAACAGTGCAAATTTTTTATTTTACAGTAAAATAATAACTTTAAACAAGTACTCTGGTCATATATAATGACAATTTAAATGTATTCATTAATAAGTAGAACAAAATATATAAGAATTCGTGTTTAAATTTCATTTATATTTATCATGTCTGTTAATATAACAATAAAATCCTTTATCCATTTTGCAGTGGAGATTAGTTTCTACTTTCATTTTGTGTCCATGACAATATTATCCTGTAAATAAAATCTATTTTAGTTCACAAATCAATAATAACATAAAGATAGATATAATATTTCTATACCAGAAACTGTAATGATTCATATATTCTCAATTATAGTAACTATTTCAGTACTAACATACCGATGTGGAGGTTAATTGTATCATTCATAACATGAACCTTGTTTTGCTAAAAACTTTGACCTTTGACCTCGTACACAGTTCAGAGTTTAGTCGCTATTTCGTAAAAAAAAGTTTTGAAAAAGATTACATATTATTACTTTTTTTAGATTGATTATCAATTTAAACATAAACTAAATTGATCTGAAGCAAAATTGCGCTTGAACTTTGTCGCTAATCAGAAAAGTCATTGTTTGTTTTTGATTTTCGAAGCGCCCCCAATCGGCTCGAGACGTCTACTTCACAAAGCTGACGGTTGGTAAGCGAAAAATATCTGCGTCCATCCGTTATATCTCTGAATAATTTTCAAAGTCTTATTTATAATTATGCAGATTGGTGTATTTTCGAAATAATTTGAAGTTTGTGGTATTATATGTTGGTTAAAAAGTTCTGTATTTCGTTACTATATTTTGGATATTTTTAAGCTAATTTTACTGATGGATGTCACTTGCTGCCTTACCTGCTAACGGCATAAATAAATTGTTAATAGTCTAATATGTAAAGTCGATTATGCCGTTATAGTGTATATTTAATCATTTAATTTCATTTCCGTCTTCTTTGAAATGAAAACGACGTCTTGAATTATTACCCCACCCACTATGCCCATCAAGTTTTTCTTTTTATGGTCGAATTTAATCCATGCTTTAGGGGCACAGCAATTACCGATTTGGATGGCCACTGGAGTTAATTGGAAGCTATACACAAAAGAGTAGGCTATTGTGATAAAGGCCTACAAGAATTCGACATCAAAAGAAGGAAAAGCTCTGTATACAGTCATTATGTTTTCAGTGGTTGACCAGTGGCAGTGCTTGGTGTTAAATTGAAACAAATGTTATGAGAAAACAATCATGATTGATAATGTACATTCCCGATAAATTTTTTTCAGGCCACTCACCTTAGTGACCTTCCAAATTTACTCACCCTTCATAAAAAGCACTCGCTCTGCATTTTGATGGACAAAAAACACCATTTTACTAATTACCGGTCTATATTGGTATAATTGGCTTTATTCAATTACATATTATTCAATCATTTTCATAATACTTTTATTCTTTTTCTTTTATAAAATATTCTTCAACATAGCCTGAATACTTATTCCATTCCAATAAAATATTGACCGCATGGCTAAGTATAAAACAATACCAGGGAATTCCCCAGGCGCTTTTAGCGCATCGGCACCGATGCGCTAAAATTTCAGAACAAGAAATCCCGATGCGCTTAAAATTATCATAGCGCTTTAAAAATGACCGATATCCCTTTCTTTTGTGTCTATAAGTTAACCCCAATTAGCCAAATAAACAAGCCAATATACATGTCCTGTGTAGATAATACCCGAGGCGTATACACAACCCGATACACTGATTGCCTTTAGACTGTGTGACGTCACAGACACCTGTCATCGATGTCTGCAGACGACTGTTGGTGCACTTTCAGGTGTTGTCAATTACCGTGTATTGAGATGGGTGCAATTTAACCGCGGCATGTGTGATATTTACATGTTTCAGGTAGGTGTAATAACTTTTATTGCTTTGATAATATAATTGGCATTAATTGACATGCGATATAACAGTTTGATATTTTGGGATGAATGGGTTAATTGTCTTGATATAAGTGTAATGTTCAATTTCATCTATCACTTTCTTATGATCGTTACGTCTAAGCAGTGCTGTAGTAATAGTATTAAGATTTCAAAAAATAATATGTCTAACATGAATAAGGGAAGCCAAGTTCACTATCAATTTTAAGAGTTTTTTTTTTGTGAGCAATGTCGTTGAAACTGTCTCAGGATCATTTCGCTTTTTTTTTCTTTTTTTAATCTTTGATTAAACTGCATAGATATTCAGAAATAAATTTGGTTGATGGCTACTTTAACATTGAAAACATTTACGACTGTTCATTATCAACTTGCAAATGAGTGAAAACAACAACAAAAACTTTACATCAACAATCCCACTTAGTGACAGCCAATTGGTCATTTTCTTTTTTTAATTAAAAATGTCTTGTAATCTGTTTCTGTTCAGTGAATCCCCAAAATGAAAAAAATATTAACTTTGCAGGCCCTCTTTAATCGAGCCTGTTCATGGACAGCTTTGTGAAGTGCAATCTACTGTCCTACCCCTTAGCATTGGTTTGTCAGGACATACAGGAGCTGGCCAGGCACTTTGGTGTAGATATGGAGCAGTGCCGCAGCCACTGGCACCAGGTACGCGCCAGTCTAGAGGGGACTGATCAGTCAGCCGACCAGACCATGACCTGGATTACTGGCAACCTTTCTACCAGTCATCCAGCTCTTTACAGAATTGCTGCTGTAGGTATCCTCCTCCCAACCTCTACTGCAGGTAAGCATTATTAAATTCATTCATTCTTGAACATTAATGAAATTCCAATGACAGTTGCAGATGTGTAACACTTTGCTAGAAGTTTTTCAACATTTCAAATATAATTTTTTTTACTTAGTTAAGTTTAAACAGGCTGGAAGTTTTAAATTTTCAAATCAAACAAACAATATAAATAAAAGACATGAGGTTAACATAAATGATTACTTTTATGTATTAATTTCAGATTTTGAGCAAGGATTCAGCTGCCTGAAGAGAGTTAAGACTGAAAACAGGAATTGTCTCTCTTAAAGTTCTAAACTATCTTCTTGCCGTATCCCTTTAAGGACCCCCATTAGAATCTTTCAACTTTGAGAAGGCAGTCAAGGTATGGAATGACAACAAACCTAGAAGACAGGCCCACTTTTAATGATGTTAATGAAGAAAAAACAACTGAAATATACTCATTTAAATGGGACACACACATACATATAAATGTTGATCACATGTTGTGAACTTGTGTTTATATATAATTGTTTATTTATTTGAATTGTTGGAAATTGAAAAAGTAAATAATAAAAATTAAGAAAATGTTTATCAAGTGAAAAGCTTTCATTATTTGTTTTAAAACAGCCCACAGCAGTATCTTCACACCTTAAATGGCAAAAATTTTCGACACGCGGTATGGGGGTCAAGACCACCTCCCGCACCCACCCCCGTCTTATTAAAAAAATGTAGCGCTTAAAAAAAATCCTGGGGAATTCCCTGAATACCAAATGCCTATGTTTAAAACAATTGTCAAATGCTGCAACGGAATCCATCATACGTATTTATACTTAGTCATATGGTCAGTTCCGGTTTTCGGTTGACAAGTATAACGATTGAAATGGCGTCTGCTGTTTGATATTTTACCGAATAAATTCATTTTTATGGAATATTTAGAGAAACATCATTGGGTCTGAAGAATCTTACTCCCCCTGTCAGGGCGATCAATTTTTAACTCGCCCTACCAGAACTTTTACTTGCAAATGCTATGGCGAGTGGGTTTGTCGAGGCCTGATGTATCTGATGAAAGTTACGAGTTTCAGTCTGGTAATGATTTCTGTAAAGATTTTATAGTACTCTGCAGTGTTTGTGCTTGCCTATAAATGTAACCTGTGAAATGAATGCCATTGATATTAATATGAATAGAACTTGTATGTAAATTTATGAGTTTCGTTAAGGTCTGCATTTGTATTTTATCAATGTTTGGCACATGGTAGGCCATCTATTTGGACTTTGTGTAGATAGTGTTTGTAAAATTTGTAAAAGATATAACCAAATACAAAAACAAAATTTTATAACATTTCCTTTAAAAATGTTTAATACACTAAAGTTGCCTATAGATGACTGTTTAACAGCCAAATTGCTGTTTTATCACCTGACTTTACCCCCATTCGTCTGCTGCAGTAATCACATGATCATTCCGGAAGTTTAGTGAACCTAAAAGTTGTCATGAAAGGAACTAAAAATTAAATGGTTTTTGTCAGTGTTGTGCTTTTATTTAGTAAGACTTTCTTTAAATCAGGGCAGGGCAGGGCATTGGTCTACGCAAAATGTTGATCCAACCACTCAATGATATAAAAGCCTGAATGGCAATGATCATGCATAGTTTTTCATGCTGAGCAGACTGGGGTAGCTTTGAAGATTTTGTGTTTGGAATTTCAAATTTTCATAAGAATAATTAAATGTTTTGTTGAAAATTGTAAAATTGACTTTATCTATTTCAGACATCCCTCGGAATTTTATTCTTCAAGAAAAATACTGATTGTTGAAGTTGGTAACTGATGCCTAACTTTGACATATCCATCAAACAAGTATAGTTTAAATCCCATATTGACTGTGTTCAGACAGTGATTTGACAGTGCTTGATTATAATACTTTTTTCACAACTTGTATCACATTGGAGTTACAGAGTTGTAAGTGGTTGAAGAGCATTTGATTGCAGTTAAGTGAAGGTGTTTTAGGTGTGCAGCTGTGCTGCTACTAGCAGAGTAAGCAGATACCATGGCATCTGTAAAGATGGATAATGCTGCGAACCATTCTAGTCCAGGAATGAATGATCTCAAGGGAGAAAATAAGTAAGATTCTTTTGTAGATGTATGAGCTATATTCATACTCAGAAGGTTTGTTAGAAAAAATTAATGTAACATTGTTGTTTTGATGTATAAATTTGTTTTTTGTATTTATTGAAATTGGATCAACCCTTAAAGTAAGTTATGTCTCCAGTTTTGACTTTAATATCATATAAATGTATTGCAATGCTTTCAGTAGTATTTTTTTCTTATAAATAAAGGTTGTCTTGCACCAACACATAAATATATAAAATTTACACCCTTATTTTAATATTTAATGGGGATTTTATGTTTTCTTTATTTGGTTTTATCTATATTTTCAGTGATCAAGGTTGGAAGACAAAGTTAAAAGTCCCACCAAAGGACACAAGAGTTAAAACTACAGTATGTTTAAATCATAATATTAAAAGTAGAGCTGTCATTGAAAGGAAAAATATGGAATAAACATGTAGATGTACTGTCATGTACATACAGTCTGATTAAAATCAGCTCCTATATAACGCTACACATTAGGATCTGACGATCAGCAATAGGTTATCACCTTCTTGTGATTTTTCAAATTTTGAAAGTGATGCTGTTTCTAATTTTAACCTGCAAAACCAATATCGAGTAGGTAATTTTCATGATTTCGAGAACAAACAGGCCGTTGTGAATATAGCCGGCAGGTAAAGTGGCAATACAATCTTGCCCATTAAATAATTGAGTCTATTATTTCCAGTTTACTTGTTTCAAGTAATAATTGTCTATAATTCACATTCATACCCCTTTAAATAATTTCAGTAATGTCTATAATTGTTAGAAATCTGATACCCAAATATGGTCAGTATGCTTTGCACTTGATCAATGACAGCTCTACAAGTCGAAATGATTCTTAAAAATAAAGTTGTTAATGGCAATTCGTTAACTTATGAATGCATAGCTAAAATAAATTATTTATGTTAATTTTATTTTATTAATTTGTTTACTTCATTGATGCAAGTACTGTTTAATTAGAAGAGTTCTAGATTCTGTGCTTATATCTTAATTTTAATAGTACTCTTAGTCTTAGGAAATATTGCCTGCGATTCCACATTTTTAGCAATAGTACAAGGCAAATAATTATTTTTAAAAGTGTATACTACATAAGGTAGTTAGATGATTTAAGTCTACTGTTAAAAAAATGAATATTTAATGATAGGATTTTAAAAGAAGAAGTAAGATTGCCAGGATACTTAAATGTTCCCTTTACATTACAGGATGTAACTAATACAAAAGGAAATGAATTTGAGGACTTTTGCCTGAAACGTGACTTATTGATGGGAATTTTCGAGAAAGGATGGGAGTCTCCCTCCCCTATACAAGAGGCTAGTATACCAATTGCTCTGACAGGCAGGGATATTCTTGCTAGAGCCAAGAATGGAACAGGAAAGACTGGGGCCTATGCAATACCGATTTTGGAGCGGGTAGATAATACTAAAGACGAAGTGCAAGGTACTATAATTCAAAAGGTCTAGATTAAAGTTATCAGTAAAGTCAAATTCTTTTTTTCAAATCTTCTGCAGGAATATTGTCTACAACAATTGAAGATAGATGCTTCTGGTTATTTTAACTTACTTACATATGGAGGGATAAACATAAGACTGTTTAGCAACTCTGTTGAAAATTTTACAGGACACGCAAAAAAAATACTTTTTTAACATTTCTTTGGTATTCTTACAATCGTTCCTAATGACTTGATTAATCAAATGCCATCTTGAAATTAGCCAATGTGACAGTTAAAGCTCATTATAATAATAATTTTCTTCAACACAGTAAGGGAGGGATCATACTTTCTATATTTAGATTGGGATATTTAAGGTTGAATACATAAATTGATGGGGCGTCCATGGCGATTGGTTAAGGTCGTTGACTTCAAACCACTTGCCCCTCACCGCTGTGGGTTCGAATCCCGACAGGGACTTTGGATTCTTTCATGTGAGGAAGCTATCCAGCTAGCTTACGGAACGTCGGTGGTTCTACTCAGGTGCCCGTTCGTGCCTGAAATAATGCACGGAAGGGCACCTGAGGCCTTCCTCCACCAGTAAAGCTGGAACGTCGCGATATGACCTATACTGTGTCGATGTGAGGTAAAACCCAAAAAAAAAAAAACATAAATTGATAATGTATACTATTTTCAGCTTTATGTGTTGTCCCTACCAGAGAGTTGGCATTACAAACTAGTCAGATTCTGATTGAACTTTCCAAACATATCGGGGCCAAAGTTATGGTGACCACTGGTGGAACAAACCTTAAAGATGACATTATGAGATTGTATGAGCCTGGTAAGTCAGCTTTATACATTTAACAACAATTTTGAAATGTTGAAATGTCTGTTTTAACTAAGTACGCAATTAATTTATTGGTCATGCAGTAGTTAAGCAATTTTGCTACAATTAAACAGGACATTAACGAGGCAACAATTACAGGCCCAAACACGTTTGACATACATGTACTCAGTTAAAAAGATCCAACTTGAAAAGATGCTTTTTGGAAAATTCCTATTTTTTAGTTTTATTTATTTCAAACTTTTTTTCAGTACATGTTATAGTAGCTACTCCAGGCAGAATCCTTGATTTAATGAATAAAAACCTGGTCAAGATTGGTAAATGTGGCATTCTTATTTTAGATGAGGTGAGTTCCAGTAACTTAACTAAACTGAAATAGCTTAGATGATCATTTAATTAATACACCTTTCTACTTCTTGCAGGCTGTGTTAAAAAAGAAATGAAAGGAAAATGAAAAAAAAATATTTAAAATTATTTTAAGGTGTTTAATTGTAACCAAGATAATTTATATACAGAATGTGAGAACATATTGTGTGTATTTTAAACAAACCGTGTAATAAATGTTTGTCTTTGTATTACAGGCTGATAAATTGTTATCTCAGGATTTTAAAGGCATGTTAGATAGTATCATTAGCCATCTTCCAAATGACAGACAGATCTTGTTATACTCTGCTACATTTCCTCTCTCTGTTGAACAGTTCATGGTTTGTATACTAGATTTTACATTTTTATATTGGTTCAATTTGTAAAACCATTTATGTATACTTATAATTTTTTGTAAGTCATTATTTCAAATAAAACCAGGAAGCTGGTACAGAAAAGTGAACATATTGATTGTTTGATATTAAAAAAAAAAAAAGTTCAGCGGAATGTGTTAGATAAGAAAATCTTTTAATTTGGATTTACCATTTCCAAGTAAGAGTCAATGGTGAACCCAGTATCTCGAGTTTTGCTGGTCACATGAATTAACATTTGTTATTTGACAATGAGGAAGCTATGTGTAATCAAGTAAACAGCTAGGATTTTCTCATAATTTTCCTGAAACTTGTCTCAGTTAATGTAAAATGCAACCTGAATATACTTTATTAACTTTGTGCTTTGATTTTACAGAGAAAATACCTTCACAGTCCATATGAGATTAACCTGATGGATGAGTTGACATTAAAAGGTGTTACACAGTACTATGCCTTTGTGCAGGAGAAACAGAAAGTTCACTGTTTAAATACCCTTTTCTCTAAGGTATGTGTACTTTGTATGTCGAGCAAAGCCAGTCAATATAGTTGAGGACACAAAATTATAAATTTTATGGTTTTGTTCGACATTGGCTGTATGAATAAGATGTATAACATCAGGTTTGTCAGTCATGTGTTATATGGAATAAAATGCTTGAGGTTTACAACTATTTCTTATTTATATTTATTCAGTATCATACTGTACATTGTTATATGAATATAGTGTTTAGTTTTAAGGCTAATTGCCTTCATGCCTTCAATAGACTGTTTGGATATTTTTTGGCTTGTCTGATTCCTGTTTAGATATACTTTGCCATGAAATGTTAAAATAAGAAGCTTCATTATACATTCATAAATGATATTTATTAATAGATTATGGCAATCTGAGTTTTATGATCACATTTTAAACATTGCTCTGTTGTTGTTTTTCAGTTGCAAATTAACCAGTCCATTATATTCTGCAACTCTACACAACGTGTTGAGCTTCTTGCCAAAAAGATTACAGAGTTAGGGTATTCATGTTTCTATATCCATGCTAGAATGAACCAACAACATAGAAATCGTGTGTTCCATGACTTCAGACAGGGACTGTGCAGAAATCTTGTGTGCTCTGGTAAGTTACTCTTGAGTAAAAGGAAGAAAAACAGACATTGGGAATTTTCTCCTTGTTTTTACATATTTTTGATAGTTGAAAAACTCCCATGTTGTTATTTCTGTTAATGTTAAAAAATATGTTATAAAATATTTGATGGATAGCATAACATCTTTATAGGCAGTACAATGCAAGATGCTGGTGGGTAAATTCTTTGTCAGTATTTTTCTGGCAGGCAAATATACTTTCCAATTGCACCATCAAGCATGTGAATCTCTGAGCTAGAAAAATAACAAAATACAAAGTAATATACTGTATTTCTATAATGTAGTCTTTCAGTTCAAGAGCTATGAAATTTTTAGAAATCAGTAAAATGCACCCATTTCTTGTTAAATCAAGCTATTTCTTAGCCATGTGAAAAGAAATAGAAAGTGTCCAATCGGACAAGCATTGATTTAAATTGCAGATGTTGCATTAGCAAATAAAATTAAGCTGCAGAAAAAGAAAAAAAATTGCTGTGGGCTAGTAATTTAAATCTAAATTTTTCTCACGACTTCAAGTTATTTTCCATGTTAAATATTGTTCTACTGGTATTGTAAATGGTTTTCACTATTGTGTTCTTATCTTCATGTTTGTTTTATCTGTTTAGATTTGTTCACAAGAGGTATTGACATCCAAGCAGTAAATGTTGTGATCAACTTTGACTTCCCGAAACACGCAGAGACATATCTCCATAGAATTGGTAGATCAGGCAGATATGGTCATCTTGGTATTGCTATCAACCTTATTACATATGATGACAGGTATATTACTTTCTCAATACATCATTTTGTTTTCAGAAGTTTCAAGATAAACAGGTTATGATTTCTACCAAACAGATTTTGTCAACCAGTATGTCCACAGATTTGTTTGGTATAAAGTTTTCTTTCCAAGGTTTTTGACTGATGTGAAGATGTTTGAAGCTTTTTGTTTTGTTGTTTTTGTGTTGTAAATGAAAATGGTCTGAGGAGTTGCTACAAGAAATTAAAGGTGTTGTCAAATAAGAACAATTTTGATGAAGTTGTCATCTTAATATTTCACTTTAATTTGATAAACCTTATTCTGTAAAATGATAAACAAATTATAATTAATTAATTTATTTAGTTTTAATTTAGTTTATTAATCGACATTCAACATTGAGAATTGATATACACATGTTTTATCTGTTATATTTTAGATTTTCATTACACAAGATTGAGAGTGAACTGGGCACTGAGATTAAACCAATCCCTAAAAACATTGACAAAGCTCTCTATGTTGCTGAATTTCATACCGAACCAGACATGGACGACGATGATCACCCACAGAAAACAGCTAATGGTGCACCAAAGGGATAGGAATCATCAACACTAGAATGTTTTTCACTTTGGAGTCCCGACATCATTTACAACTTCCATCTGTGTTAAAGTGCTAGATTATGGAATTCTTAGTGAATGTGTTTGAAGTGAAAATAGTGTACATACAGCAAAGGGTTGAAATTTTTCTGGGTGCAAATAGTTTCGAAGAAAGGTTTTCAGCCCAATTCAAGTTTGAAAAAAAAAATTCATGGGCATTGTCTCCTTTTGAAGAAAATTTGGAACTACATGTAGTTAGGTAAAAAGGAAAAGCACCCAAGCATGATGTTTTAAGTAAAGCTCAAAATTAATATGTATAGAAATTTGATTGCCAAAATTTTGTAATTAAGGTAAACAAAGTTAATATTTATGTAAGGTTATAGCATTTAATGTGAAACAAATTATTTTGCAGCTAAGAAGCAATTATTTCGAAATTCGAGGAAGAAAAAAGTAATAATAGCGAAAGATCAAAATGGAAGTCTGCTTATGTTGCATATAGGGCATAGTTGATACTAGTGTATTTAAAGAGATGATAAATTTAACTTTGGGTTATTTATAAAGAAAAATACCAATATTGAATGATAATAAGCCTGTGTTTTTGACTTGATGTGATATTTTAAATGAAAATACTTGTGCTTTTTGATTGTAATAATTTGTAGATTACCAGGGTGGGAGAAGATAAGCTTTTTCACTGATATAATAATGGTATTTTAATGTTATCCTGTGGCCTATATGCTTCATCAACAGACTTTCTTTACTATTTATAAGATAAAAATTGAGTACATGTGATGATATGCAACACTTGTTATATACAGGTGAACTTTAATTAGTTCACTGTTTTTAGAAACTTCTGACTACTGTTTATATAAATGAATGCCAGTTCAGTTCTATGAAAAGCGTTTTATTTGATTAAGTGGTAATGACAATGTTCAGTTAGACTTTCATTTGGAAACACAAAATTATTAATTTTGTGGTGTTGAACTATTTTAAAAGCTTTATCAAATTTAATATATGGACAGTTAAACAGTTTATATACATTGAAGTATTGTGTACCTTAAGAAAAATGTTACCTAATGTAATAATGGTGGGAGGCTTATTTGCTATGTAAAACAACAAAAACACCAAAAATGTGTTGAAGAAATAATGTTAGATTTGTTATAAAATAAACATTGTCTTGCTGCCATATCTAGAAAAGGCTGAACTGTTTGACCGTTTAATTTGACAGATAAAAAAAGAAACTGAACTGGTTTTCATTCATGTAGACTTCACAGACCTTAGATAAAGGCAGCAATATAAAATCATTATTTCACCACAATTCTCTCATCTTTTTTGTATTTCAATCAGACTTAATGTCTTGATTTTTATTTCACCAGCCTTATTTTGTATTTGAGATAATTTGATACCCCCCACTGTAACTGTCCACTCACTATCTGAACACAGTCAATATTAAATGTCTTACATACAAAACCCTTGCAACCTCATATTTTGATTACGCAGATTTACCAAGTTGAACAATAAGGAGTAAACACAAAAACAAACTTTGATTGATGACATTGTTCTTTTTTATTGTTGCAAAATTTTTATGTAGGTTTTTTTGGTAATTCTTCAGTAAGTGTTAAGGGAAAAAAAGAGAAAACTTTTTTGATAAAATCATCATATATATGTAAAATGATATAATTACTAAAAATCTTACTCTTTGACAACAAGGAATGTGTAACAAAGATAAAGTTCTCAATTTTTCTCAAAAACTCCTTTAGCAAACAATTACAAACTTGACAAGACAGACTTTTTTTCTCCAATTAAAAATGAGGGCATTAAAGCTCATTTCAGTTGCTTTGATATTTGAACCATAAAATTTATCTTACTGAACTTATCAGTCACTGTATTTTAATTGAGGAAAATGTTTATTGTTGTTAGAATTCTGTAGTTATTGACTGTGGTTCAGTGATTTTGTTGTCGGGAAGAAGTTCTGTTTTGTTTGCAGCAATATTGGTTATATGAAGGGCAGATACTTTTATTGTTATACAATATCAAGTTGATTAATTTAGCCCCACACAAATTAAGGTAGTCAAGTTTGTCACTTAAGCTGGCAGGTAAAATGCAATGTTTCTGAAACCTGGGGATTTTAACCAATGAAAATCTATTTGAAGTTATATAGCAATAAAGTTCTCCCTCTTATTTTTAAGAAACTTAAGTTTGTGATTGTTTGCAAGTGCTACAGTAATTGGTTTCATATATTATTTTCATGATTTTTTCATCTTTTACTCAAAGGAAAACTAGAAAGAATAAATTGTGATAATTTGTTATGGGCCTGATTTTGTAAAAAAAAACTTGCAATATATTCTGTATTTTACCTAGCTAACTTTTTGTAGGTCTGTTGAAGTTACGTTTATTAGGAGTTTGAATTATGTTAAAGATATACTATGCTCATCTTTGAGTAAAATATTTTTATTGCGAAATTTAGTGAAATCTATAAAAATTCTTCCTGAATATGTCTTATTTAAATCAAAGAACGTACAAACTATGTATGAGAATCTGCGTTCCTTGTTACGGGTAAAAAAAAGCTGGTCCTTTCTAAAAAAAACACAAAAAAACTGCCAGTTTTTTTAATGACGGTATGTCCACTTACAGTGTGTAGGATTTAAATCACAACATATCTACTTAGTGTGAAGTTAAAAGGTATTATTTTATATTTACAAAAAGACTTTGTAGCAATAATCAGTGTCTTCATATATCAAATTTGAGCATAGTATATTTTCAAGTACATTCTAAGAATTATGAGCATGATGTTTTTTAAGTTGTTTGTATGAAAATTGTTAAGGGCATTCGGTGGTTTTAGATAAGTAAGCTAAAATTTCTTCTGCTTTTCCTTTGATAGAACTTGAGAACTTCATAGATGTAAATAATGTAAATTATTCTATTTTTGTATAGAAAGATGTTTAATCATTTGTAGAGAACAATGATTAGTTTGACCTGTTAACACATGGTGCACTCTAAGAAATAGAGTTTAATTTTTGTTTTGAAGGAATTCAGTGTTTCAGTACAGTTTTGTGGCACCATGGCAAAAACTTCATACATTTTCAAGAACTGGTGTATTTTTAAAATATGCTGGAACTTATGTGAATAAAAGGGAAGTGTCTAGTTGCCATTTTTGTGTTCAGCAAGTCGAAACTTTTTATATAAAACCAGGGATTTTCTAGAGCAAAACAAAATTAAGACTTGTTTTATGAAGAAGAAAATAAACAGTTGTATTATTATATTGACAGCTCCTCTTAGATGTATTGTAGTTTATTTAGAAAGTGAATATTATCATAATGCCAGCGTAAATGGAATTTGAGACTTGATTTTATGATTACAAGAGGGAAAAGTGAAGAGACATATTTATTAGGATATCTAAGAATGAGACTAATCTTACAATGTGTATTTATAGAAATGTAGAGCTCTTTTTTTTACAATACCTGGTGTACCAGATACTGACTGGTTATATGAATTACAAGTGGTGAAAAATCTAGGAACAATGTCTCGAAATCATCAGAACCAAACTTGTAGTCACATGTTTATATAAGCTGTGGCAATATGGTTGTGTAAAACAACTTGCATAGGGATAGTATACTGAGATTGACAGTTGAAAAATGCTACCCTTTTATGTCAATGTAATTAGGGCATATGCCTTTCCATTTATGTAGTTACAGTGATTTTGAAATCAAAGAGTTACGAAAAATTGCCACCGGTCATTTGTTGCTGGTGGTATGATGAGAACAGCAAGAGATATTAAATGTGAAAGATTTAAGACAAGTGTCAGAAGTGCATTTTTTTCATATGAATAAAACCGTGTTTTTAGGAAAAAGGGAAAGACAGAAGAATAGATAACGAAAAAAAAACAAATAAGTGTCACTTTTCAACTGATCTCATTTTGTGCTGAAATGATGGTATTAACAAAAAAAGCTGACTTCTTGTCTTGTGTCAGCTCCTTGGACAAACATCAGTGATATCTGACAAGAAGTAGAAAGAATGGCATATCCAGGAAGACTCGAGTCATCACATATATACATTCATTACTTGTGTAGAAAGCCATAGGTTTCTCGTGAAGCTAGCAAGTGTCTAAAACAATACATTTAGAATTCTATGGATTTCTGTGCATATTTTTCATATAGTCATAAAACTTGATAGAATTGCAGTATTGAATGACTTGAATGATTTTTTGTATACAATTCTGTGTTTTATACAAAACTTGATTTTACAGAAGTTGTGGAGAGATCAAACAAAGTGAAGTAATTGGGACAAAATCTAGGTAGAACCGGCCTATACATGTGGTTTTGTGCCTTAGGTTGGTTAATAGATTGTGAGGAATTTGTTTTATTTTAAAAGAGTAGATTTGTCAAGACTTGAAAGAGGTATATGGTGCAATTTCATGCATTTTTTGCACCATGTATCTTAAAGAAATTGAGAAAAACTTTACAAAAAAATTGTTATTTTAAAGATAGATAAAATATATTGGATGTTTATTTTAGTTTCGGCAACCTCACATTGTCGAGGCCAAGGTCACTTGAATAACCATCTGATTGTTATCTATCTGTGTAAGGATTGTTAAGCTTGGCAACTTTCTTATTTCAACATTGGATTACAGAAATGTTATTGAGATTGTTTTTTACTAAATGGCAAAACTTAAAAAGTTGTATCCAGTTGAAGTTGATTGTTGTACCATGCCATACAGTCTGTGTTCCTGCAACATAGAATTTTTCAGAATAATACGAGGGTTTTTTATCAATTTTTTTTTTTAAAGGATAGCGATTTAAAAGAAGTAGGGTTATTTGGTCCCTGAAAAATTATGTTGTAGGAACTGTGAAAATGCATCATTATAACTATTTACAAGCAAGTTTTACAGAATACAAAATGAGTATTAACAGTTCTATTTATATTCTATATTTTAACATGTTTCAGGAAAGAGGTTTTGGTTGGTGTATTAAGGGAAGTGTTGTATAAATCTGTAAATCAATGATTTTACAGCATTTTCTTGACTGGAAGTGTATTCATGTGGAAAATTTGATATTGAACTGTGTGTTAAAAAAAAACTTGTAATTAGTTTATAATGTTAAAGAATGGGGCCACATTATAATTGGAGATAAACTGGGTTGTGTGTACACTGAATCATTAGTAATCCTGTAAGGGGGAGGTCTTTATTACACATTGATTGTATGTCCATTTGACTTTCGCTGCACAGCAGGTGTTATTTCAGACACGAGTGTTTGGTGAACCTTCCACAACCCTTGAAAGCAATATATAAACTAAACTGTAGCCTTGCATGCAAGTTGTTTCTCAAAATTTATTTAAAGAAAAATTACACCTACACTTTTTCTGGTCATATATATTTAACACAATTGCAGATCACTTAAAAAGCTTTTTGTGAGTTACTGGTGATTTTTAACCCTTTCCACACCGAATATCTGTAATGGACTTTACCATATTATCAATCTGGACAAAACCATTTTTTAGGGAAATTTTCAAAATGTGTAATAACTGTGAATAGTGAACTGTGTAGATCATGGTCAAGTGACATACAGAAACCAGTTTATGCAATGGTTATAGTAAAACAAAAGAAAACTGAACTTATAAATAAAATTTGTGTGCAGCGAGAAATTCAAGAAGTAGGGTTTGTGAAAAAAAAATAAGTGGGAAGGTTTTTCCAAGAATATGCAAAAGAGAAGTGATGACTTGTAAAATTGGACAGGACCAAAGTGTCTCAGAATACACACAAGATGTTGTCTCTAGAGGGTCGGGCTTAATCAGGGGGGGCTTTTATACATTTTCACATTTATGATTTTATATCTAAAAGGCAGTAAATCAAATATATGGAAAATAAGTGAAAATGTAATTTTTAACTATATATTTCAAGATGCTCTGCCAAAATTTAGTTTCCTACACTTGGGCATTTTACAGAATTCTTTATACCAACAAAAAATTGATGTTTAAATTTGTTATTTGCATCAATATTAATATATTACAAGTTTAAAGTTGTTGCCTATAATTATGTTCAAAGCAAATTTTTAAATTCATTAGACAAAAGGTTGATTTAACAAATTATATTTGGCAAGAATGTCCAGGCTTTTCTTTCAAAATTGTATCACATTGATTTCAGTTGCCTTGCCAACTTTCATAAAACAATTTTTTTACCTACATTTGAAATAAATAAAAATGAATTTTGGTTTGTAATTTCTACAGCTCTAAGTTATAGTAATACAAAAGTAATACAAATGCAGTAAATTAGGATTTACTTTTTGTTCCTATGAATTAGGATTCTTAACCTGCCAGAAAAGAATGGCTTTTAATTTGAAATTTTGTAAAAGCTTTATTGAATTATGAACATGACTTTAAGGCTTAATGAACATTAAATGTTTTTTTCTACATATAAATGCCCAGTGTACTTTGAAAAATTATCAAAAATAAATAAATTGCAATAAAATAATAGTTTTCCTTGTTTTTTCCTCGTCACAAGCAGAGAATTATAAGCACCTGTTTGTACAATGGTACAAAACAAAGTCTACATTTTGAAAGATAGTTTGCAAGAAATATTGTCCTACTTTTCAGTTTTCAAACCAGAAAGTGTCGAACCATAAAGTGTACCTGCTTTAACTGCGGTATTTGACCTCAGGAGAATGTCTTAGAACTGTATGATAAAGTGGCTATAGTGAATGCATGAATTGCAAATTAAGTTTTTCTTTCATGAAAATCAGCACTTTTCAAGTCGCTGTTTAGCTGACCTTTTACTAAAGGTACTTCCATGGCTGAATGGATAAGCTGCCATTACTAATATCACTTTCTTTTCACAAGTGTGGGTTTTAATCCAATCAGAGACTTTGGATACCTTCATGTGTGGAAGCTAGCTTACTAAAGGTTGGTGGTTCTACTCAGTGCTGTCTTGTACCTAAAATAATGCACAAAGAGGCACCCAAGGTTTTAGTCCCTCAAGAAACGTGGAAAGTGGCCATATGACTGTTGATGTGACCTAAAATCCAACAAAACAAATGGGTACATGCAAGTGCCAAGTACAAAGAACTGCCAACTTGTTGCATAAACCCTGTAGAATTTTGGTTGACATGGCAATCAAAAGCGAAATCTTGCCTAAAACTACTATGACCACATCTTTGGTATTAAGTGAAACTTTAGGGAATGAAAAAATTCTAGAAAGCTTTGGTTTTGTTATTTGGTACAAAGCCTCAAAATTATGGCGGGAGTGGGGGGAGCTGCTTTTAAAACATAAAATGTGTCCATAGGACATATATGCCCAAATTCTCATTTTGTGATGTCTGACATAGATGCCCAACATCTCATTTTGTGATGTCAATGACGTGTTGTTGTCCACAATTTCTTTAAACAACATCTCTAGCCACTTGGTGGATTTTAACCAAACTTTACAGGAATGATACTTAGGTGGTCCTCTACCAAATTTATATTTATGATTCCAGTCTGATGGATATATGCGCAGGAGCTAAAAACAGACTTTGAAAATGAGATTATTAAAAAAAAAACCAGTGTAACTATTGAATTTCCTTTACAACCTCCAACTTCCATAGCAACCATAGACTTTCCATAGCAACCAGTGATTTTCATATCAACCACTGACTTTCCTAGGCAACAAGTGCCTTTTATAGCAACTGCTGACTTTCCTTTTACAACCATCAAGTTCCACAGCAGTGACTGACTTCCCATAGCATACAAACAACTGATTTTCTACAGCAACCAGTTTCTATAGAGATGCACATTTGAACTTTAATATCAGCTGACATAGGTTTTTACCTTATACTGGCTTTTCATTGAAAAGTATAAATATTATTAACTGTTCCTCGTCATTTGGAGTCTTTATAGTCAGATAATCCATAGCCCTTTTGTTTTGATTGAACACATAATGGTCAGAAGGCGTGATAAGTTCTGTTTCAAACAGAATTAAAATCAAATACATTCAATTTGCTCAAAGGTTATAAGTTTAACTTTAAATTGTGCAAAACATTATAAAAGAAAAATTTAAAAGTTACCTGGGACACTTTAAAAAATATTCTGCAAGTAAAAACCATACTCGAAAAATGTGCACAATTAGAGATTCGAACTCGAAGTCCATGTTTATAAGCCAAGATCTTCATAATCTGAACTCTAACAACTATGCTACTCGGATTTACCTGTCTTCATCCACTTTTATTCTTCTATATTGTAATAAAAATGCAAAATGTAATAATTGAAGAACTTGAACAACCCATTATATCATCTTGGTACAACCGATTAATGTAAACGTTATCATGTTCGACTTATACAGACTAGAAGATTTAAAAATTATGGTCTTCTGTTTAAGTTTATGCAGGAGAAATGATGTATTCTGGGATCATTTTTTATCTCGAGAGCATGATATTTATAAATTGTCATGGTCAACAAAGCAATGGTGTATGCTAAATACCAAAGCATCAAGCCATGTAGTTTCATGTGAGATTAAATAGGTCTTCTGTCACAATTTACTGAAAAGGCTAGATCAATTTTGAACACATTGGCATAACTTTTATAGAGCACCAGAAGGTGATGCTACATAATTATTTTACAGTCAGTGCTAGCTACATCTTTTTTTCTTTGTGGACCTTGGTATCACTTGCTACAAATGTTCACCATCATCTAAAGTTCAAGGTCAGAGAAACCTTGTCTGGAGTGAAATTTCAACATACAGTAAAGGCGCGGGGGCAATGCCAGACCATTTCCTATTTCTAAAAGCAAACCACACATTAGAGTTACATATTATTGTGAATAGCATTCAAAGACCCAGGGTGTTCACTAGCAATGAAATCCCGAGGGTCATTTTGACAAAGTTCAACCGACTACAAGGCCAAATCCCCATGAAAATTTGACCCTCCAGTTGAAATCCTGAGGGTCAAGTCAGGCCTTTAGGAATTTTTAAGGGTAAAAGAGTCATTTCAAGGGTCAAATTGACACCCTGAAGACGGTTATTTTGTTTGTAAAAAAAAATAATAAAAATTTCATATTTCAAAGATCAGATTCAATTGCATCTTCTTGCTAGAGCTTAGATATTTGGCATGTAGCATTTGCACTTCACAACACAGAAATATAATATCATGAAACTGTAGTATTAAAGGCTTTACTCAAGTGTGACCTAATAACTTAGTATCATAGTGACAGGTGTGGTTACAACTGAGTCCAGCTTAAACAAAGTTTATATGAAAAATATCGGGGACCAAACAATATGCCAGTATGCTGTGCAAGTCCTTACAATCAAGCATAATTAAGAGCAAGTTAGAATTTATTATTAAAGACAAATCAAGTTTAAAACAGGTCATAATAGATCAATCAAATAAAGACAAGAATAGATACATTTCTTTTATAATTCTATTTTATCCAGAAGAACAAAATATTTACAGAATATCAACAAAGCATAAGTTATTATGTACATTCAATAAAAATATAAAAACTTTTTAAGAAATTTATTTATTTTTGTTTTGTCAATATTCTTTCACCTGAAAATTGTTCAAATTATTCCTTTAGAAAAAAAACACCAGTTTTATTAATATTAGTATAAGTAACTAATAATGCCTTTTTAAAAACTTCAAACAAATTAATCATATCAAGATGTATGAATATTAAAACTGCTGTTTGTTTACAAAGTAATTCAAACTGATTCAACATACAGAAAATCTATCTGATGTATATCAATCTAATGTAAAAGTTTAAACTGTCAAAATGTTCTCCGATATCAGTTGGGCAATTCAGTACTGTAACAACTTGTTCCGAGGTAAAAGTTGGGTGATTCAGAATCAGTACTGTAACACAATGATTATGTCCTAAACTATTGCTCGAAATAAAGCACCATTGAGATAAATTATGTGACACATTCTTTATGAAACACGAAGCACACATTCATTAATTTTATTGGTTTATCACATAACACAATGGTTTTTATCACTTTTGTCTTTTTTCCCCCAATCTCCTTTTGGAAATGTCTGTTACGTTTTTTTCGCCAGTTGGTCTTCATATCTTTGATCATACTCGTCACCAAGTCGTTCTTGTTTCACAGCATACATTGTATAAAAATCTGAGAATTATGTTAAAGATTTTTTTGGTTTCAATTTCCTTCCTATTAACTTACTATTGTAAAATAGTGTCAGAAAGCGACACACAAACATTTTATCTGAAAAATATGTGTACCTGCAACTGCTTTTCAGTTTAAGACTGATGAAAAACAATTATTTTCATAGATACTCTTATAGATATGATTAAATACATGTTGTCATGATGATCATTGAAATGTAACCAATCATCACCAAAGTTTTAATATTGATAACCCAACTGATAAAATGGCCATTTTTTGTTCTTAAAAATAAACAAAGGTGTCATTTTAATTCATTCTAATACCAAAAACATACTTTTAATTCAATCAGTTGTTCAGTAATTGATTTAATAATATCATATGATTATTATAAGGTGTGAACATTGTATACTCTTTTGGTTATCCAGTCAGTCATTGAATTTAAGATTTTGAATTTACTGGCCCGAATTTCAGTTTAGAATTTATTCTACTATATATTTAACTAAATTTTCTTAAAATTTACACTAGCCCAAAACTAATTTTCACCGGCCCGAACTGGCCAAATTCGATGAATGGTTATCTATCTACAATTTATGTATAATATATATCCATGTATCTATTTTCTACCGATTGACACAAGAAAACATCATATTCAATTAAATGGGCCAGACATGACAATGTCATCACCTTAGTGCAGTAACAGCTTAACTCATTTTAAATTCAATACAATTTAAGCTGTTATTACACTTAGGTGACTATTTTGTCATTTTTATTTATTTATTTATTTATTTAGTCACTGCCTTTTCTATCTGTTCATCACACTCTTGTCTAGAGAATAATTGATTTAAACTTCACACAAAGAAAATTTTTGAGAGGAAGCATTTTCGTCAAGACATGCAAGAAACAAGAGCACTGCTAGGCGGAGCATTATATGCCAAAAAGTGTTTTTTTAGTAAGGATGAAGCATTTGTAAGACATGGGAATTAGCTGGTCATCCTATAAAATTTTACAGCTGTAGGTTGATTAATACTTAAGTTATTGATAATGACCTTAACCTTTGACCTTGTGACCCCAAAATCAATAGGAGTCTTCTACCTTATATGGACAATCATCTTAAGAAGTTTGAATATTGTGGGCCAATTGGAACTTTAATTATGCTCTAGAAACTGTTTTCAGTATTAAGGTAAAAGTGACTTTGACTTGTGGCCCAAAAATCAATAGAGGTCTTCTACCCAATATGGACAATCATCCTATGAAGTTTGAACATTGTGGGCCAAATGGAACTTACATTATGCTCCGGAAACTGTTTTTGGTTTTAAGGTAATTGTGACCTTGACCTTTGACCTAGTGACCCCAAAATCAATAGGGGTCTTCTACCCAATATGGACAATCATCCTATGAAGTTTGAACATTGTGGGTCGAATGGAACTTAAGTTATGCTCCGGAAACTGTTTCAGTTTTAAGGTAATAGTGACTTTGACCTTTTGACCACAAAATCAATAGGGGTCTTCTACCCAATATGGACAATCATCCTATGAAGTTTGAACATTGTGGGCCAAATGGAACTTAAGTTATGCTCCGGAAACCAAATTGCTAACGGACGGACGGACAGACGGACGCCAGGGGGTATAGCATAATATGCCCTTTCGGGCATATAAAAAAGGAGTTTCAATAAACCGAAAATCTACACTATTTAGTGTATGAATTATCTACCAGAAGTATTATTTAAGACAGACGAAACCATGGTCTTCTATCCAAATGATATATAGATGCTTTAATTGTTTTTTTTTTTCAAGACTTGGTGTCCTGTAATCTAAATATAGCTCAAAAATAGAACCAGTTCATTGCATCTAACCAAGCATTTTTCTCAGACTTGTTAGACATGTATTTTTTTATTGATTTTAATGTGATAACAATGTAACTTATGTATGTCATAATTACATTGTGCATGCAGTTCACAGTACTTAACGCCTTAAGACAAGAAGGAAAACAAATGGACTTATCATACAAAATATTGTCATAACCTGTAACATTTAGGTTTTTATTGCTGTATGAACATGAGGATTGTGTTCACAATGGTTAAGCTTAATTATCAATTGATTAGTCTCATTTTATGTGAATTTACCAAAAACACACTGCCGTCTCTCGTTTTTGAAAGGAAAATAATTTTTAGTTGATTTAGTTCCGTTGGAAGTCATGTAATCTTGATATTTTAAACTATTTGTATTAAAATACTTATATGTGAACAGCAGCAAAAATTATAGAATTATGATGTTATATTTCTGTCTGAAGCAACATCAATATATGCCAATACACCCATAAACACTTTTCATATGAACTAGGTAAATAACCTCTAGGTATATCAAGTGAAAAAATACGAGTTGTTTCCCTAATATCTTCGAGTAAAATTGGTATCTCATATGCTAAAACAATACAAATTAAGCCATTTTTAAACCGCTAGTTTGTTGTGATTAAATGTCCGATTTTAAAAATTATTACATCAATGGAAAGCTTGGGATCTTAGCTTTGTCACAGTATGTAATTTTACATATCTTTTGACCATAAAGTATATAAATTAACTGTTAAACCTACCATATGTCAGCCCATTTTACATACGATTTATATAGTGAGATACGCAACCGGTTATCTTTACTCGAAAACCTACTGATAAGAAAAGCCTGTCCTCTGCTAGTTGGGGAAAGTGTTTATCGGTGTATTAAGATAACTTCACATTCCACTTCTTAGTACCCCTATCATGGTCAGGCCAGCATTGGTATAACGACTTTGACAAATAAAAAAATCTATAAAATTATACATGGTCCATAAATTGATACAAACTGTCCGTAAATGGGCAGCACGAAATACCCAAATACACCCAAATAAATATTTGGGTATATTTGGGTGTATAAATTATAATATCATCTAAATTCCTACTTCCCTAGAACTCTCAGGTATTGGAATAGCCTTCCATATCAGGTCAAATCCAGTCCCAGCCTAGATACCTTCAAGGATAGGCTGGCGACAGTCACCTTCTAGTCCCCTCCCCAGTATGTTTTTAATCTTGCACTATTCTTTTTATCCTGCACCTTTTTTATCTGTGATCTTTATCTTTTAATATGCACTAATTCTTTTAACACAGTTTTCCTGACAAGCGCCTCCCAGTCATAGTCAGAATTGATTGTTCGGGAGTAACATGTAGATGTAGATTTGGGTATATTTGGGTATTTCGTGCCGCCGCCGTAAATATCATGAAATCGTAGACCTGGTAATCACTGGTAATGGCTACAGGATATAATACGGGGAAGTCAAAGACCGGGCCCGCGAAGCGGGTCCGGGCTTTGGCTTGCCCGGCTATAGACTACACGTGAATATTTAAAAGAAAATCAAATAAAAAACAATTAAAAAAAAATATAAAATTCTGTACCTATCAATGAAATTTTCAGTGTCAGTTCTAGTCAGGTGCCGCCATTTACAATGTAACTCAATGATAATAGGCAGGGTATTCCGATAACGGAACAAATATCAACTTTTCGGATAAATAATAAACGTCGAGTGTTCCGAGTGAAAACGGAAGCAGTGCATGTTATACCGAATGACACCTTTAAAACGGAAAGAATGAAAGGAAATTTTTAACGACTTCCCCGTTCATAGGCTTTGCCTAATTTCATATTACTGATAATTTATTTTATAAGTCATTGACGATTTCTACAACTTATGAGGTCTTAAATTTACAAATTACAGACTGACACCACAACCAATTTATCAAAATATTCCCTGTCATCAATGCAAAGTGAAGCATGCCTTTTATAGTATACATGGTTTGAAAGTCAAAGCCAAAGGATACATATTCCTATTACACTGGCAAATAGAACCCCGCCCATTTTTCCTCTATGACTTCTGTGATAAACAAGATTTCTAGCTCTTTCTTTGTTTCCACGTTCAAGTCTCTTAATGTACATCTTTTGAACGTCTTCAAGTTTTTCGTAGTCGACATTTGACATCTTCGACATTTTCTTTGGTTCCGCCATGTTTCTTGTAGCCCGACTTGATTATGAAAGAGAACCACATATTCATAGCAGAAATCAAACGCAGCTAAGAGCAACTTGATTTTCCATTAAAAAAAATCCGAGACTACTCGATCAAAATTTACAGAAGGTATCCCGGAACAACTAATATTCAATCAGTTGAGCAATTTTTAGCCAATTATAAATGGAAGGAGAAATATTGCTTTAAATTTATTTAGCTATTAGGCGTCTATAAACATTTATTAATTTTAAGGCTGGTATATTTTCAATATTGCTTAGAAAATAAATAAAAATAATATGACCCATTTAGGTCATTCCCAGGAGTATTTTGACCTAAATTTAAACAGCATTTACACAACTGAAAAAAAGTGTTCAAGATGTATCAGGGCTACTGATAACTGTAAAAAAGTCACAACAGTGTATTCAATGATTTTCGACAGTTTTTTTTTTTTCATGATTTAAGAAACTTTACACTTAATGTTATAACATATGTACAGTACAACGCATTCCCTTCGTATAGCTACTCTTCATGTGTCAAAAAAGCCAGTTGAAGGTGTCACTTCTTAGTATGCTAAATGAGGTGCAAAATGATAAATGCAGCCAACCATAACAGCCATTTTACCTTCGCTACTTTATGATATTACCATATATGGAAACTTGTTCAATTAAGTTTATTTTAGCTCGGCGCCGGAAATTCCATATGTCCAAGATCTCAGCGTCCATGCCGGTCCACTCTAGAAGTCTCATCGGGGACGTCTTTTTCATGCCGATCTTCCTAAGTCCTGTACTTCGTTCGATGGAGGAAAGACAATACTGGAAAAGCTTCAAGTTCCGTGACGGCTGCAAACAGGCGGTTGACATAAAACGGCTTTTATTAGCGCCACCCTCCAGAGTTAGTCACAACAGGTCAACCAATCACCTCTGGTACTTGAGATGATTTGACCTTGACCTGCCGTATGCCTTCTCCGCGACGTGCACGCCTCTGGAGGGATTTGGAGAAAACTTGTCTTGATCTGCCAGCTGATATCACTTACAAAAAATCTATTCTGCTGACGTCCCTTGAAAAATCTTGGTAACAAATTAAGATTTTATTAATAAGGAACCCTATGTAAAATCTGATGAATATTTAGTGGTACACCATATAAATAGTCATTTCTAATACACCTAAGACTGAGGTAAATGGTAAAACTCTGTAGCCAATACTTTATAAATAATCTAACTTAGTTTGATTTTTTTCTCACTATTTAAAACAAGTGACTATTTTGATATAATTGAAGTTGGACAATTTACATTGTTACACATAAAACAAACAGTTTATGATTGTTTTTCTGGGAAAAAAATCTGACAATTAATCAAGGTAGGCATTTCTGCAGGTGTTGCAGTTAATACAATGTGACTTTATGCAATGTACATTGACATGATATCAGATCCGCAGAATTTAGAATGTGTTTGAATTTAGGATGTGATTGAAAAATGGTTGTTTCGGGATAAGCTGACTTCATCCAAGTCAGGGCTCACGCTGTCGGTCGCCATAGTCGCCATTTGCGATTATTTTATAAGATTGGCGATTATTTTTGCATTTTGGCTACAAAATCTGGCGATTATTTTTTACTCCCAACAGTGTTTATATAAGGTGTAAAAATCGATAAACAATGCAGTAGACCCAATTAACACCAGCGGGGTGCATTTAATTGAGTGTCAACTTTTTACCGGTCACGTGCTGCTAACTATATTGCCCGAGGTGATAAAATACATGCGAGATGTATAATTGTATAAGTACTTTAAAGATATTGTCCAGCATTTATAATAGCCATCAAATATCCGTCAATTAGCCACAAAAATCGTTTTAAAATTGATAGACTGGATATTGACTTACCCAAAATTTACCGTGAATTCCAGAAGGCCTAATTGCAAATTTTGATTTTTTTTTTGTTTTAAGCTACTTGACTAAATCGCCAGTGGAAAACAATGGTAAAATATTTAAAAAGTATTAAATTCCAAACAACTATTTGCACAACAACCAAAATTGTGAATATTTCTTCAGAACACAGGAAAAATCCGATTGTCACATATTTTCGCGACACCGATAATTTTGATATTTATTTAAAGGTGAAATAAGCTATGTTCTGTTTAAAAATCTTTACTACTATGGCAGAAAATTTGTATTACATTGGTGATGATGATATTTTTCAGTAAATTATTCAGAAAAAAGGCTGCATTCTGTGAATGAGTTTGCAAACTTGTGTTATTTCTATAGGCTAATATGACCTAGATCTACTCCAGTTCTGTGTGAAATGTGGAAATTGACAGTGGTTATAGCTGACAAAATTTGATTAGAACAAATCTGATAACAGCATTATGTAAAGTTATAATGAATCTTTAATATTATTGTTATACAGTAATTATACTAATTATAACGTTTTTATTCTGTTCTATAATAACAATTAAAGTTGTGGTTCTATTTAAAAAAGGTAGTTATCAATAAACACAAATGTATCAGTTTATTTGAGAATCCTTATAAAACTGAAAGATATAAATGTAATGTTTATTTAATCAACTGCTTATGTTGTTAATCACTAATTCGTGAATAGTCTGCTGAACTTTTGGCTATTATTTTTTTAAGTTGAAATTATTGGCTATTATTTCATTTGAGCCAGTGTGAGCCCTGCAAGTAGTAACCAGTCCACCAGCCTCAGACACTTCACTCCAAGCCATTTTCTGCAGACACATCTTCCCTTGGAAACTTCACCCCTCAGACACTTCATGTACCCCTCCCCCTCTATGTTCAGACTTTTTATTCAGAATTTAAAGTTCTACGTTATCAATGGTGATTAACATATTTTCTGATTATAATACATTTAGATGTAATTGAATTGATAACATAGATAACATTCGATCAGAATGACTTTAAAAGACATAAGAGCAAATAAATATGATCATTTATATGATTCCCATATATTTTTAACAAAATTTCATCAAAGTTTGACTGATTGACTGATCAATTTTGCTTTATGTTTATTTATGTTTATGTAACTGTGATCTATGATATCGCAAAAAAATAAAGAAATAGATAAAGGGCAGCGGTGGCCTAGTGGTTTAGGTGTCTGCCTCTCAACACGGGCATCATGGCTTCGAGCCCTAATCAGGTCACGACCATGTGTCTTCATATGACACCAGTACTGGTTGGTTCCAGGAAGCGGACTCTAAAGTGATTAATATAAGATGCAAGAACTTGTTTCGCAATCGAGCTTAAATAAAAATGTTTAAAAAAATTAATAAATCTGGGACATAAGATAATTCATTTTTATATCCCAGGATGAATCCAATGTTGTGTTAAACCCTAATGTATCAATTTATATTTATTCTTTAATGAAACCTTTATCTCTTCACAACTATTTTTTTTCTTTTTGTTTTAATTGTCATCAACAATACCTTGATAGATGAGGTTGAAAGTCAGACATTATTTATTTTTCAGCCGACTTGACTTTGACTTGAATTAAATAACTTATTATAACAAATGTATTGAAGTTTGGTAATTTGTGATGAAAATGGCCATTAGAATTACTTTCTTTTATCACTTATCCCAGCTACTTTAATTGGCTAATTACTTGTAATACTTGAAGATATCTTCAAAATAAAAAATTGAGTTACCACAAATTTATATTACAATTTCAATTATCACGTGTTACCTGGTAATAAACACTCCTTCATAAGTAATCAAACTTCAAAGAAATTTAAGCGATGTGTAAGTAGTAATCAACAGTTACTTTATTTTGCATAATCAAATTGTGAAGATTTTTTATTGTTTTCTAGCGTTACATTAAAAAATATCAGAAATATCTTTCTACAGGCATTGAAATAAAAAGAAAAGAAAACGAAATATATCAGTGAAATTAAAAAGGCGGAATCGGGACAGCCACACGAGAGTACTGTACTGGTATGATGATTGTCTCCTTCACTGCACAGACATTTGAAAACAGATTTACAAAAAACAATTAAAAATAATATTATAACTGATGAATGAAATTTAAATATTCTTTGAATATGACAATATTGACAATCTCAGCAATACAATATTTTGTACTAAAAAAATAAATATATTTACTTCACGTGTTGAGCGAATTGTAAAGCCCGTAATATTACCCTTAAAACAATTGTGCGTCAATAAATTTGACTAAATAACCCAATAAACCTTAAATACTGCAACATTGATTATCTTCGAATAACCTACATAGGCTTCTGTTCTATTTTGAAATTGAACTTATGATGTTACCTTAATAATAAATTTCAAATACCTGCTTTTTATATAAAAATATAAATTTACCGCGGATTACGTCAAGTTAATTTTTTTAATTGCCGTTGCGGACAGATAGGCTGTATCTTTAAAAGAAATAGATATTTGCATTATACAAGTATTTTTCTTCAAAATAAACTTTAAATTTCCAAAATCGGATCATAAATGGAAAAGCTATACGGTATTTGGTAAAGCAGGTATTTGTTGCGAACGGGCATTTACGCTTAGCGCGGGTAAATTATCGATTGATGTACCTTTATTGGGTGCGCGACAAGATATTTAACCCATTACCACATGAGCATTTTTTGAAAAATGGCTGTTTTCATTGAAAAGTCTCCCGTTACAAGTTCAAGTTGCTATAAAACAATAAAAACTGCTTTAATACTAATCAAACTTGGCACAATTGTTGACTGGACCATTGCCTTTGTAACAACATGCTCAGTCTTAAATTTCCTGTTACCATGGCTGCCGCCCCCTTCAAACCCCCAAACAGAAGGGGGCACATCCCCCTTCTGGCAACCCCCTGATGTATCTTTTAGTCACTTTTTTAAAACAACATTTCTGAAACAAAAACAAGTGTTGGGGGCTAAATAAGGCCTTTTTCACCATTTGAGACAATAAAAAGGGGGGTGAAATAAGGCGTATATATCTGGTAACGGGTTTTAGCATTTATAAAGGGTTAAGTGTTTGTGCATTCGGAACTGCCTCGGCTATTATCTATAATAACCTCGGAAACAATACGGATTGAAAGTAGTTCTACCACGTGGTTAACAGATGTAAACAGAAACAGAGATAATGTAAAAAGAATGTATATATTTGACATCTAATGTCTGTTCCGGTACTCTTCTGCTTGAAAATATGTCTGACAACAATTTGTAATTTAAATATGCCCACTGATGTTCAGTTTTAAACAAATCCGACTAAATGTCAACAGGTTGGTTTTTGTACTTTCGGTTTCTACAGCCATATTAGTAAATCTATAAATAATGTATTATTTGCTTTTGTACCTATGAATTCACTTATTTAAGTTGGATTTTAATTACATATATTGGAAATAAACTTGTCAACAACTCCCAGCATTAAATTACTATTTGTTTACATGTTAAGTTTCTTAGCGTAGGTTAGACCGGAATACCGCATCCGTTCTGTGTACTATTGTGTTCGAGGTCCTTATCCGCAATCGCAACTACTCGGCCCTTTCCGTCAGTCTTCGGATAAGGACCTCGAACACAATAGTATGAATACACAGAACGGATGCGGTATTTTGGTCTAGCCTACGCTAAGAAACTAAACATGTAAACAAATAGTAATTTAATGCTCGGAGTTGTTGACAAGTTTATTTCCAATATATGTAGTAAAAGTCCACCTAAAATAAGTGAATTCATAGGTACAATAGCATACAATACATTATTTATATATTTATTATTATGGTTGTAGAAACCGAAAGTACAAAAAACCAACCTGTTGACATTTAGTCGGATTTGTTTAAAATTGAACATCAGTGGGCATACTTAAATTGCAAATTGTTGTCACACATATTTTCAAGCATAAGTGTACCGGGACACATATTAGATGTCAAATATATACATTCGTTTTACATTATCTCTGTTTCTGTTTACATCTGAAACCACGTGGTAGAACTACTTTTAATCCGTATTGTTTCCGAGGTTATTATAGATAATAGCCGAGGCAGTTCCGAATGCCTTATCCGGAGACTGACGGAAAGGGCCGAGTAGTTGCGATTGCGATCCCTGTAATATAAATCCGTGGCTAAATGTGATAATCGCGAATTATAGACTTTCCGCAAAAAAGGAAACTTTTCGGTTGTTGGGTAGTGAAAATTTTTGTTAGAATTATATTCTCCCGATTAGAACAAATAAACAAATAAGGTGTACACAAACAATAACACTTGTCTATGTTTAAATATTATTAAACTGTTTATTTCATACTCTGAAAGATGTCCAGAGGTACCAGCCCAGTTAGGGACAAAAGAATTATACATCTCGCTGCAGAAGTTGTAGAAACTAGAGATCGCCGTGTACCTGTTGTTTTACAGCGTTTAAAACGTAAGACAACAAGTTATGTCTTGTTATTAAAAGTTTATCAGTGTTTGTGCTATGAATGTGTGATGAATTTGATGGAAATTTGACATATTTGTGTGTAAAAATTGATCGATCATACAGGCATATTATAGTAATTTTCCCTAACGATGTTTCACACCTCTTTTGCATGCTTAGTGTAAAGAGATGTGTGAAACGTTTGTTGGGATACAGTGGACCTTAGAAATTAGAATATTATAGTCATCAATGCCATAATTTACAGATTGATTTCCAGGACACTTTAAAAATGTTTCTAAAATTAACATAGCAGTCTGTAACCTAGTAAACCGATATTTAGAACTTGCAAATATTGTGATACAGTAAAGCATGCGCTATGCTTTATCAGTGTGGTAGCGTACGGTATTCAGCATACCCTGTTATTATACCGTGTCAATGCCACATCTGACAAAATAAAAAAAATGTAAAAAAAGCAGCTTATAAAGTTTTTGAGGCCAGAACCATTGATGTTGAAGCTTCACGGTGGGGGACATTCACTATTAAATCAACGCGATATATCTCCGAAAAGTCAACGCGTTTTATTTCCCAGAAATGAAATGTACTGTAGTCAGGTACCTCTCTGTTTTTTAATAAATTAAAACAATTTTAAGTAATTGTTTCAAGACTCGTATGTTAAAAATAATGCACAAAATTGCCACACTTCCAAAATAATTTGAAGAACTTGAAAATTATTTCCATACAATTATTTCCTTACAAATGTATAAAACAAAATTACAACTAATGACCTTAGACAAGATTTAATTTCACACCACCCTTCTAAATGAACTGATGATGGAGACAAGTGATTGACAGGTGCTAGTGATCATTTGGTGCACTAGAAGTGTCAGTCATCATTAAAGGGCGGTCTTATCAAGACTTCAGAAGACTTTGCCAACGTGTGTATGTGACAAACTGCTAGGTAAATGTAGGCAAAGTCATTTATGCAGACAGTTGTTGAGGGTCACATTATGGCATGTATGATGAGCAAATTGATGTTAGCATCCAATTGATAAGCTAAATGCGTCAATCATATATTTACACAGTCAAAATTTCTATGATAAATCTTTATTAATTATGAATAGACCATTCAGTGCATTTAACATATCTATGTAATATTTAATATGGCTACGTAACCCTTAAACAGTGTGGAAAATCAGTGCTGTAACCTACTTGTATAAAATTCAAAACAACATTGTCTTTGTTGACTACAACACCTTACTCAAACAAGAAATCTGAAGTACCGGATACCTTACACGAGTACCATCAAAATATTTTCTTTCCTAGGAGCATACATCTTTGGAATAGCCCTCCTCTAACTGTTCAGTCTAGCCCCATTCTTAACATCTTTACTGAAAGGCTTAACCCATTCTACAAATTCTAATTTGCAAACTATGTCTTTTAAATCAATAGTCTTGTAGAACTTTTATTCCTTTATCCTTTTTAAATTTGCATATAAATGTTGTTTTTCATTAACAGTTCCTTGACATTGTGCCTGCTAGTCATAATCAGAGACGTCGCCCTGAGGGTTTTGACATTAATGGAAGATAGATAGATAAGATTTCTTGAAATGAAAACCTTTAATTTATGAATTTGCACAGTGATTTTACTTAGTTAATTTTAAAATCAGTGACACCATTGACTCCAGTTTGCAGCATAATCAGATAATTCCTACGTGGCTATAAATATTTGATATTGATGTCATGGTGATCAGCAGATAAAATATCATTTCAACCACTAAATTCTCTTTACATTACATACATTATTAATGTGTGCTAGAATTAAGGGGAGCAATCCCTTAGCCTAGTGGTTAAGGTGTCTGCCTCACAACCCAGGAATCATGAGTTCCAGCCCTACATTGGTCACAACCATGTTTCTTCATATGACACCAGTACTGGTTGGTTTCAGGAAGCAGACTCGAAAGTGATTAATATACGTTGCTAGATCATTTTCACAGTGTTCATTTTTATGCCCCCGCTATAAAATTGCTGGGGCATATAGTGTTACCCTGTTCCATCATTCTGTCATCATCAGTTTCTGTTCATTATGTTGGCAACAGTTGCACACATCAACTCAAGTTGACAAATGGATATATGTCATAGAAAAATGAAAGTAAGGTTTGAATTTGGTCATGGTCCGATGATTTTTGACTGAGTAATGCCCCTTGAAGAAATTTTAACTTGAAATGGCATGTACTGTTAATTAACCAGAAAATACAAGTCAAGTTTGAATTTGGTCTGATGATTAATCCTTTGCATTCCCAAGAAAATCATGCTATTTACCCAAATATACAATTAATACAGTCCTGTATATTTTATCCCCCTTCAGTTTTTTGTTTTTTTTTGCAATAAAATTTGTCCCCTTAACATGGTTTTACATGCATATTACCCCAAATATTTAAAAGGTAGGGCCACATCCCCCATAAGCCTAAAAATGCCCTGGTTAATTAAAAACATACCTGCATGCTAAAACTGTAAATTGTAAGAATGACTTGCTAACTCTGCAATAGCTAGATGAAAAAGATGTTTAAAGTATATACTGTGTTCTTTCTCATAATTTTTTTCTCTATTTTTAGCAATACTTGACACAAGTCCTGCCACTAGTAGTGATGGGGTACGTATACGGAGGGAAATCTGGGAGTTTCAGCTGCTTGATGTGCTTATTCTAGTACTGAAACAAGACTACAGTGTGATAGAAGGACAATGGCTTACTGCAGCAAGATTGACAACAATTTTAAGGTATTAAAGATGATATACATCAAATTTTGTATAATACATTGTAGTAAAAGTATCTTGAGAAAAAAATTGTGTATTGAATTATTAGTGTTTTTAGTCTTAATTAATTTTTTTCATTAAGACCTTTAGAGTAACATCTACATGTATATTGTGTATAGAAAATATCATTAATGTTTGCAGATTAAAAGCAATTTTGTGTAACCTCATCATCTAGGATAAATACTGGTAATGGTTCCATTGTCACAAAATACATCTGTCATGAAATTATACAGTTACAAATATGATGCAAACAAGTTGTTCATCTGACCTCTAGGTGTTACCTTAACCTTTGGCCAACTGACCTGGTTCAACAAAGCAGCACCACATCTCATAATGGTGAAAAGTTATATCAAGAAATACTGAAATCCCTCAATCAATGTAGATCATTTACTGCAGACAAAATTGGATGCAACAAGCCTGCTCGCCAGATGCCACATTCAACCCCATTTATATCCACATCATGAAAAATGTACTTGAAAAAAAAGAAGAAGAAACATGCTTGTATGCTACCAAAAATACCAGGATATTGCTCACTATTGTTTTTGCTGCGCTATAGTTAATATGTTTCTGTATTTTCAGTCAAGCTGTCTCAGGTTTAGACATTCCAAAGGAAGATATGAAAGATGTAGAAAACAATAAATTACCAGAGGCCATACATAATATGTTCCTTGTTGCTAGGCGAATACAAGCAAGATTTGCACAGATACCTAAAAGACCTGTATGTATATTAGTATTTTCTCATGTTAATACCTTTTTAAATGATAAACATTAAAAAATTTAGTACATTATCAGATTGCATTTAGGATCAGACAGCTTGAATCTTTTATCTGTCACAGACTTAGTTTTTAGCTCGCCTGTCACAAAGTGACAGGGTGAGCTTTTGTGATCGCTTTTCGTCCGGCGTCCGGCCGTCCGTCCGTAAACTTTTACTTTAAATGACATCTCCTCATAAACCACTAGGCCAATTTCATCCAAACTTTACAGGAATGTTCCTTTGGTGGTCACCTTCAAAAATTGTTCAAAGAATTTAATTCCATGCAGAACTCTGGTTGCCATGGCAACTGAAAGAAAAAACTTTTTAAAAAACCCAAAGAGGTAGAGCTTAGATATTTGGCATGAAACATCTTCTAGTCAGTGTCTACCAAGTTTATTCAAATAAAAGCCCTGGGGTCAAAATTGGCCCCCGCCCCAGGGGGTCATTGATTTTCCCTATATGCATATAGTAAAACCTTAAAAAATCTTCTTTTAAAAAACCCAAAGAGGTAGAGCTTAGATATTTGGCATGAAACATCTTCAAGTCAGTGTCTACCAAGTTTGTTCAAATAAAAGCCCTGGGGTCAAAATTTGCCCCGCCCCAGGGGGTCATTGATTGGTATTGATATTTGGCATGAAACATCTTCTAGTCAGTGTCTACCAAGTTTATTCAAATAAAAGCCCTGGGGTCAAAATTGGCCCCGCCCCAGGGGGTCATTGATTTTCCCTATATGCATATAGTAAAACCTTAAAAAATCTTCTTTTAAAAAACCCAAAGAGGTAGAGCTTAGATATTTGGCATGAAACATCTTCTAGTCAGTGTCTACCAAGTTTGTTCAAATAAAAGCCCTGGGGTCAAAATTGGCCCCGCCCCAGGGGGTCATTGATTTTCCCTATATGCATATAGTAAAACCTTAAAAAATCTTCTTTTAAAGAACCCAAAGAGCTAGAGCTAAGATATTTAGCAAGAAACATCCTCTAGTGGGTGTCTACCAAGTTTGTTCAAATAAAAGCCCTGGGGTCAAAATTGGCCCCGCCCCAGGGGGTCATTGATTTACCCTATATGCATATATTAAAAACTTGAAAAATCTTCTTTTAAAAAACCCAAAGAGCTAGAGCTTAGCTATTAAGCATGAAACCTCTTCTAGTGGGTGTCTAACAAGTTTGTTCAAATAAAAGCCCTGGGGTCAAAATTGGCCCCGCCCCAGGGGGTCATTGTTTTTCCTTTTATGTATATAGTTAAAGCATAAAAATTCTTCTTTTAAAAAATCTTAAGAGCTAGAGCTAAGATATTTAGCAATGAAACATCTTCTAATGGGTGTCTACCATTATTGTTAAATTAAGGGCCCAGGGGTTAAAAAATTGGCCCCGCCCCAGGGGATCATTGATTTTCCTTTTATGTATATAGTAAAAACTTAAAAAATGTTCTGTTAAAAAGCCCAAACAGCTAGAGTTTAGATATTAAGCATGAATTATCTTCTAGTGAGTGTTTACCAAGTTTGTTCAAATAAAAGCCCTGGGGACAAAATTGGCCCGCACAGAGGGGGGGGTCATTGTTTTTCACTATATGTGTATAGTAAAAACTTAAAAATTTTCTTAGAGCTAGAGCTTAGATATTTATCATGAAACATCTTCAAATAGGGATCTACCAAGTTTGTTCAAATAAAAGCCCCTGGGTTAAAATTAGCCCCGCCCCGGGGCCTATATACAGGTGAGCGATTTCAGGGCCATCATGGCCCTCTTGTTCAAATATTATATAAATATTTCATATCTTCAAACTTCAAAACCATAAAATCTGTTGTTACAGAGTAAAGAAGAAGAAAGACAATTTCACTTGCGGAACTACAAGACTGTGCTAGATTCATTAATTTATCTTGCCTCAGGATATATATCTGTAACTCACAAAGGTATGTTTAAATACATTTTCCTTGCCTTTCCTTTTGATATGCAAGTTATTTCCTCCTTGTGTTCTCTTTGAAACTAAATGGATGGTCAAAATACGAGATTTATTTGGTTCATATAATTTGATCACATATTAAAGAAAATATTGTTATTTAAAGATTTCACACCTCGGAATGTATAAGCTGACACTGTATCGAAATATATTGGTATATTGTTGCACCACTACTTTTAACAGATTTATTGAAGGTCTGTAAATGAAAAATTATTTACAGCTTTCTTATTGTTGGTCGATCTATACACATATATTTATTAAAAACAATTTTAATAGATTGATTTGTGAAACTCAATTTTAAGTGTTATTTTAGTTTTCTTATATTTAAAAAAAAAACATGCTTATGATTTAATTAAATATATTTATATGATACATGTATAGTTTTGAGTTCACCGTGGTTACTACAGCTGTTGATACTGGACAATGAAGAGACTGTGGCATATATACTTGATCTCATACCAAAAGTGCTGCGTGCTAATTGGTAATTACTGTTTCTATGATATTATTCCAACATAAACTAAAGACTGACATTTTAACTAATGTCCTGTGCTGTTGTGGTTCGCCTGGCATGAACTACATATAGTTTGTGCATATGGAATGAAGGAAGGTTACCTTGCACTTCATAACAAAAACAAAAAAAAACCCAACAACTGCAACAACAGCAAAAAATACAAGAACTTCTGAAGGATTAACCTATGAAACTATAAATAACTTTATATATATACACATCCTTTTATTACTTCACAAATAAGTATAAACTGACTAAATAACTCTAGTTGATAGAAATTTGTTGTGATTATATTGTCTGTGTATAATCTATTTTCATTTATATTTATTCATATGTTAATAATTCAACAAAAACATGAGAAAAATATCAAAGAAATCTACATTGTATTGTAATTTATTTTAGTTTGGTGGGCATTAATTTTTGTGGTTTTGTCAAAAAGGACATTCAATGGGGTTTTAAATTAATTGTTTTTGAAAAAAGTAAAATGCAAATAATGTAACTCAAAAATAATCTGACAGGCCACAAAATAAAATTTGGGTGAATTTTAAATTCGTCGATTGACCTGTCCAGGAAAACATTGTTGCCGAACGAAAAATAATGATTTTGCAGTATTTCAGTATTTTTACTATTTCAGGTTGGCAATTAAAGAGGTGAATATTAAAACAGTTTACAGTATAATGGATGAGTTGATATACAAACTGTCTGTTGAGTCATCTGTTATCTTAGCAACGTAAGTCATACTGTCATTCTAATACAATGTCTTCATTTAAAACAATTTCCTTTTCTTGAAAAATCTCTTCAAACTAATAATTTGCTTATTTAAATTTTTCATTGACTTAAATCATGCTGATAAAGTTGTTTTGAAAAATATATATGCAAAAACAAGCAAATTAAAGATAAAATTAGTTCTTTTCAATCCCTGTAGTTAAGTATTGTATTTATTTTAGCTTGACTGTTATGAAATTTTGAAGTTTATATGAACCACTTTTGTTTCTGCTTCATGGATCTAAGCTAATGTTGCCTTACTAAGAAACATGGCTTTAACTGAATTAAGGCTCAAATCTTAAAGGCAGTTGACCCACTAGGCTGTCTCTCTTCTTAAATAAAAAGAAGAACCAGAGCATGGCGTATCATCTGAAAATTTCTGGCAATGTGCATTAAAGAATTACAACATATTGCAGCGTTCAAAGATTGTATGCATTGTATTGCCATTTTTAAGGTGTTCTGATATGTAACAGATGTTAATGATAAATTACAAATGTTTTCAGGGGAGCTGTGAAATGTATATTATGTATATGTGAGTACCATAAACCAATGGTGGCAGCTTTATCAACGCGGTATCGAGGGTTACGTCTTTTGCTTGCTAGATGGGAAGATAAAGGTTTTAGTCGTGATCTCAAGTCATTACACAGACTCCTAGATGCTGGTAATGCTCAGAGAGCTGAAATGGAGGTAATTTCTAATGTCAAGTTATGCTTTCATTTTATTTTACAAAAACTTAAATGTCTGACTTATATAAGTGTGATAAGGATCATTAGTGTTACAATTTAAGAAATAGTACACAACACCGAGGGCGTCAGAGCATTCTAGTTACGGATAAGTCAGCCCGCAAACATTAAACGTACGGAAAGCTGAGATCTGTTCAAAGTATGCGGATGACTGATCATCACTATAATCCTATGAGGTCCGAAGTAATGTCTACTATATCTTAAACTCAACTTTACTATAAAGAGAAATGGTATAAGTACGAGAAAAGAAATAATATCATTGGAATAAATAAGTAATTTGTTCTGAAAATATTTGGCAGTCAGCTTGTATAATGCACGTTTTGTAAAAATTTTCTCACAGTAAATTTAAGCGGTCTGATAAATCATAAAAAGTGTCCGCTCGTGATTTATGTTATAGATAAAGAAGGAGCGTACTAATGTAAGGTATAATATTACATTTTTATAATGTCATAATGAGTCATATTGAATTACGAAAGTTATAAAACATATATAATATTCATGAATGATTCATTCTCTAAAATTCTTATTTTAGTTACATTTCTGAAATTATAAACATTTTTTTCTAGAAAAATTATGACAGTGCAGTGATGATCCAAGCTAACTGGAAAGGTTATATCACTAGGAGGAAACTTGCTCGAGCCAACAAATCTTTTGCTAAATTCCAGAAAGCTTTCAGGTAAATCTTGACCTCATCAAAACCGTTTACGTTGAAATTATATTATGAAACATTATAAAATTTATAGAGGCCAGTATTCAGAGATGTTAAAATGTTGTTTTTTTTCGCGGCTGATTGCTCATTATAGAAATAATTCATCTCTAAAAATGTTAAAATAAGAAAATAAAATTTTGGCCCTTGATGTTTTCTGTTTGTGGTTTGCTTAAAGATAGTGCAAGTTTAACAAAAATTTGGCTTTTGCTTTGGGTTTTTTAGGATTTTTTTGTTTTGTTTTTAATTTAGAAATGATATGAAATTAAGATAACAACTTGATTCAAACAAAACATGGGTTGATATATTTGTTTCATGAGAATAATAATGTTGTATAATGTATTTTAATGATTTTAGAAATCGAAGGAAAGTAAAAGAAGAGACGATGACTAGACAGAAACATCAATCTGAGGTAGAATATAAGGGTCTAGTGAACAGACAGAGGATCATGAGGGAGTTCAGAGAACGTCAGCTACACTGTATAGAAATTCTACCAGCATGTAAGTTTTTATCTCGGGAATGATTCAAGGATTATTAGATCACGTTGAAACTTTAAAGCTTGATAAATGTTCTTAAGAAGAAAATCAGTACTCAAGAATCATATTCTTGTTTTGCTTATAGTTTAGAGTTACTGACCTTTGTAATTTTTCATGCTTAATAAAAATTAAATTGTTATCCTGAGCATATTTCAAAAACTATTTGAGTTATCAATTTGAAACTTTATAGAAGGATAGATATTTTAAAGAAGAAGTGTACTGAATAAGAAATATATTTTGTTTTTCCATAATTTCGAAGTAATTGTCCTGAAATCAGTGTGTGTTGTCAGATGACAGAAGTATTGTTTTGTTTTGTTATTTCTGATGATGTACAAGGTCACAACAGTTAAGGCTAGAAAACAAAACAGAAATAGATCATGTAAACTTAAATTTTCTTTTTGGGAAACCACAAAAGGTTGAGTTAAAACTTTTTATGACATAGGCAAACATTAATTTCATTTTATACTCACTGTTTGTGTTCGTTGACTATAAGTGTTGGGTACATCCTTAACAATCTACGCCATCTAGTTATTTTAATCTTACAACATATCCTGCATGTTTGCTTCTTAACAATAGATATATAAACTTTTTTTATCATATCATTGCAGCCAAAGTAGAGAAATATTTAGAGAATGAACAGATTCAAGCAGCAACAAAAATACAGAAATTATGGCGAGGTCATATCGAGCGTCACCAGCTGACTGGTCGCCGTGATCTTGTCAGGCAGACCCGGGCGGCTATCAAAATACAACAGACTGTGAGAAGATGGTTAGAGCGGTTAGAGAACAGAAAAGGGAAGATGCCACTTCAATTATTACCTCCGGGACTTACTGATGATAGAAGGGTTGAGTTACAGAAAACTATCAGTAATTACAGGGAAGAAAATCCAGTATGTATCATCTTGTAGAAACCTTTTAATCTTGTTAAAAAAGATCTTGTTAAAAAAGCAAATTATAAAGAAAGCAAAAATGATAATAGTTATATTTACTTCCCATAAAATTTCTCTTGCATATTCATATTTTGATTTAATTCTTGAGTTCTTGAAAGAATGAGTAAGTCTTCATTTACTCTGATAATAACAGTTGTTGAATCACTTTGAATCATTTATCCTTCCCTTCTCCAGTTTCAAATTCATATAATGTCAAATTCTTTCGTGTGAAGGAGATATTATACTAGGTTATGGAAAGTCAATGGTTCTGTCTAGATCTAATTCAAAGAGTGACAAACTTGGGACTTTATCACATTGTGTAGTGACTAAAATTAAAACCAAAAAAACATCTTAAGTATGATTTTATTTAACAGCCTAAAGCCTATACAAGAGGAGAGCTTGAAACAGTACATAAAAAGGCAACAGCTTTACTATCTCGTTATTATGGCACAGTACGAGAGAGTAGGAAAGCTGAACAAAGGCGGCAGACACTTCTAGCTCGTCTAGATACTGATTCTGACCTTTGTGCATGTAAGTCCTTGTACTGTTTGCTCTATCTTTTACCATCAAAACTTGAACATTATGTTAAATTTCATTACTGAATACATGCAGTGACATTCCGTTTGAAGTAAAATTTTCAACGGAATTAGTCTCCCTTTAAACCTTGTTTTTCTTAGGATGAAATTAACAATATTATATTGTTTACTTTTAGTTTTAAAGTACTAAGTAACTTATTTGCCAATTGCTATGCACTAGAGGTCTAAAAACTTTAATCAAGAGATTAGATGTCACTTGTACATATTTGTCAAAGATGCCAGCTCTAGAAAAGTATGAGTTTCCATAGCAATCAAGCTAAATAAAAGCAAAAATAAATAAAAAAATAAAAGATTTCATTGAATTTGATGTTTATTAAGTTTTCATTGATCAAGACTGTTTATTTCTTTTAAAAAAATCTGTTTATTCTCAGTGGCACCAGATCTAAACAAGGTTACACAAAGAGACGTGGATATGTATTCCAGTCGTTCAGTACCTGTAGCAACAAAAGCACGAGTTAGTCACATGGAAACATTACGCAATTTACAATTACCATGGTGGAAGAAACTTGGTGATGAATTTCAGGACTCGGAAATCCAAGAAGAGGAAGTGTTACTGTTTTAATTGTATAAATGTTTAAAAATAAGTGTCAAATGGTTTCTGGTAATTGAAATTGAATAAAGCAAAGGCTGCTTCTAAATTAGTTAGGAATCAAGAGCCTAAGTAACAACTTCAGTTTAGAATGTTTAAGTAGGAAATAGTCTAGACGGGTGATTTGTATTTCAAAAGAGAACAACATACTGGAATGTTATAATGATAAGACCATATTAATAAGACTACAATGTATATTCATTTACCATTATCACAATTTTAAATCTCTAATTTGCATTAGATGAGTACTAAATGTACAAGTTGTGAGTTATCCAATTTCCAATTACAGAAAATATAAAAATATTATTTAAAAAGTAAATTTCCTACAAAAGCTATTTTGGTTATGCTAGAATGTAAGCTATTCTTTTCATTTTTTCAAGTCAGTTTTTGTATGTACATGTATATAATTCCGTCCAAATGGAATCTCAAGTTTAGTTAATCAAGACCATTTGTTGTGAAGTTGGGTGTGTTACTCTACATGGACTAGAGATTATTATCTAGAATAACATAGAAGGGACTTTATTTTTAGAACTGTGATATTTTTACATTTGTATTTATTTACATGAAATTAGGTACCATACTGTATAATACAATAAAATATTGTACACATGTATATTGAATTTTGTTGTTATTTTAATCCCCTCCTTAGATATAAATGTGATAAAGTAGCTGGAAAATACTAATTTGTCTTGCATCACAATATATTTATATTGTAATAGAGGGTTAAACTATTTGGTCTTGCATCACGATATATTTATATTGTAATAGAGGGTTAAACTATTTGGTCTTGCATCACGATATATTTATATTGTAATAGAGGGTTAAACTATTTGGTCTTGCATCACGATATATTTATATTGTAATAGAGGGTTAAACTATTTGGTCTTGCATCACGATATATTTATATTGTAATAGAGGGTTAAACTATTTGGTCTTGCATCACGATATATTTATATTGTAATAGAGGGTTAAACTATTTGGTCTTGCATCACGATATATTTATATTGTAATAGAGGGTTAAACTATTTGGTCTTGCATCACAATATATTTATATTGTAATAGAGGGTTAAACTATTTGGTCTTGCATCACGATATATTTATATTGTAATAGAGGATTAATGCAGAATAAAATGGTGCATTAGCATTATTCTGGCATAAATGTTTATGTTTGATTTTGTCACTCTTCACATGCTGATGCAATGTCACATTTGACAGTTATGTATTGATAATGTTAATGCCAGGGCCATCATTACATCATGGATTCTAACAGCCTGTTGCTGAATAAGAAAAAGAATGAAATGTGCAGTGTTTAAGTAAGTGTTTACATGTAAAAAGTTGAATCAATCATTATGAACAGGAACTTCAAACACTTCTTCCATCATATATGATTCTTTTACAACTTCATAAAAACATAATCTCATTCTGAGCTTAAAGGGACTACTGAGACTTTTTTGTTATGAAGGGACTGGAATTTTTTTTTCATAAACTGTGTACCATTTTATAATGGTCTACATAAATATCTTGACATTTTAATAGGATTTTAAATAAGGCTTTTAATCATAAAAAAAATATAAAAATCAATTTTAATTCTGCATATAACTTCATTACATTTTGCTTATTTTTTCCATTTCAAGTATGTATGAATTCTATGTTTTTATGCATTTGGACTTCAGTGGAAATTTTGTGTTAAAACATTTTACAGCAAAGTATATGGTCTCAATATGACCACGACCATGACCATGATAATACAAAAATAACTCAAGGAATTAAAGTTAAAATAAATCCTTTATTAAAATCTGAATAAAATATAATAAATTGGAACATGATTTTATAAACATTAATAAAACACAACACAATTAACAATAAAACTCTGAAATTTACTTTGTGAATGACGCAAAAAATTTCAAGCATATATCTTTCTTGGTATTTACTACATACCGTTACATTGTATTCATAGGGGTAAATAATTTTTCACTTCTAAATTCAGGCACTATCTCCAGCTACCTGTATTTATCAATGGAAGTAACTCATGTTGATATTTCTAATATGGCTTAAAAAGTATTTGTGTGCATTGGAATATAAATATAACTAATAATATAAAAACACTAAAAATGTTGGTTTGAAAAGAAATGTATATTTTGTTAATAGTTTGAGATTTTTGTTCTGATTTGCTAAATTGTCATCAAACTACATTGTTACACAAATGGAAGCCATTGTTCAGGGGCATATGCAGGTTGAAATAAGGACATAATAAACTGATTTTTCACCTTCCAAAAAAAAAATCATTCTGGAAGTATAAAAACTCATAATGGCTTATGACAGAGATACATTTAATTAATGCTTTTAGACTTAATATCAATTAATTATTGCTGATAAACATAGTCACACAGTAACAAAAATTGTCAACAAACAAAACAGAAATTAACATAAGAACAGAAATCTTTGCTAGCACTTACTATGGTACATAGTGATCAATAATTTTGGCTTAGATCATACAAATTCTCACTATGTTAAACATAAAACTTAAATAAGCTATCAGAACAATACATTTTGGAAGACCTATTTCTATAATTATTTTTCAACCTCAAAATCAAACTACTATTACTGCCCGTCTTTCTTTTTTTACAATTTGTTTTTATAACAATCATTGTGTATATTAAATGAGCCATGCCATAACAAAACCAACATAGTGCGTTCGCATCCGCGCAGTCTGATCAGGATCCATGCTATTCGCCTAGAAATCCTATTACAAGTAGAGGAACTGATAACGAACATCATGGATCCAGATCAGAATGTGCGGATATACAGGCTGATCTGGATCCATGCTGGTCGCAAACGCACTGTTGGTTTTGTCATAGCATGGCTCAAATGTCTGTTGAAAAAAAAGTTTAACACTGATCTTTTGTCAAAAAATATAAAAAAACAAAATAAAGTGTGATATAATTTGCAGTGGTATAATACCATTATCCAGTATGTTGTTTAATTATACCCTGATGAAACTAATGGACATGTCCAGATTTAACCATTACTTCTCAGGAACCGACAGTTGTAAGCTTTTGCTACCAGTATAGAGCCAGGACCAGGCTATAATACACTGGTGGCTGACCAATGTCAAGATTTTACCTTTATTTCCCTTAAACTGATAATGGAAAATTCCAAAAATGGAAGCTTGATAAGTCTATTAAAGAAATTTAGCAGGTTCAGGATTAAAAATGGAATAATCCATCAGTTCTATGACTTTACAAGAATTCAATGTAAAAAATAAAACTGAGCTCACCACAGTACAGAAACTGGTGAGATTGCAATGACATGCAGGCTGACCTGGCTCTATACTCGTACTCCAAAACAAATGGTAACTTAGGTGATTATAGAAATGATAGTTTATAGTAAATACTCTTTCATGCTATTCATTCCAAAAGGTTTTCATGTGGCTAGAACAATTAAATAGCCAGATTACCTATTTTGTTATCTTCAGGGCTACAATAGAAAATATTAATTCACATATAAAGCATGGAATGCACCAGATTTGCCATTATATGTATTTAACTTATATTATCACAACATTATGAATATTTCCCAGTAAATACTTAAATATCACTTAATCTATAAATGGTTAGCATGTAAATATTTACATAAAATAATCTATATCTGTATTGAGCTGTAAATGGTAAAATTAAGGGTTTATAACACAAACTAAAATAATACATGAAAAAGCTACTACACTAACAGAAGACCAATGGCTACCTTAGTCTGGTTTTAATTTTGTGCACATAAAAATCATTTACTGGTATGTAAAAATCTGACACGGTATGTGTTTATTAAGGGTCAAAAGTATGCTTAAATATGTTAAAATTTTAAAGGAACTCCACTAAGGTCCAAAAGTTTAAAAACTTAAAATTTTATTTTCTTTCATAGATCAGTTGAGGCAATGAAAACAGAAATTTTTTCAAATAAACTCCAAAATACATCAAAAATCGTAATTTTGTGCTACATATTGCAAAATTTATGTGAAAAGTGTTGCTTTTTAATTTTGGGCCATTTTCCACAATTATAATATTTGTTTTTGACAAAAGAAGGGAGCGAATGATCTGAAATTTTCAAATTAGTTATTGGACTACATCAAATGGAACATTGATCTCGAAAAATTATTTTCAGTCCCAACGTCAAAAAAAACCTCAGTGGAGTCCCTTTAAGTTCTAGTCCAGAGCAATGTTGTGTCAATGTATGAAATTTTATGGTAAAAGTTCAAGATGCCTGATCATAAACAGGGGAAAAATAATAATGACCTTATCTTGTAATGAATGACCATTAAAATACCTCCAGGAAGTGAAACTTAAGATTAAAAGACCACTAGAGGAAAAATCAAACACATTGGGGAAAAAAACAAAAAACAGAACAGAGTCACCTTAAAATGATAACAAATTAACATGCCCATCAGTAACTATAAACCACTTATTAATTGATGTTTAAATTGTAACCAACTTAATCAACTGCTATTGTAAACTTATAACTCTTTAGGCACAGAGGGCTCTACAATATAAATGTCTCATTTAGAAATACAATTAACTGGCAGCCATTGATCTTCATTGAAAAATAAGACAAAATAAGTAACATTCAACATCTATAATAAAATATAATGTACTGTGTGACATGATAAATAAAATTACAGAAACTAAAAAAAACTACATATACAAATGTATTAAAAGCATAAATCTATAACTAAATAAATAAAACTAAATATATTATTGCACTTAAAAATTGTCATAAATTTTAAAATTTATATAAAATGCAAAAGAAGCATGATCTATTTTTTATGTGTAAAATGATAACTCAGTTACCCTATAAAGATATAAAGCACACAATGCTTGATGGAAGCTTTTACACTAATGTCTTGTCAACTCTTCTAGATACAATGTTACTATAAATAGTTTCAAGACAGCTGATCAGTCTACAGCTTGGTTTTGTTGATTTTCCTCCAAACACCAGCTGTGTCAGTATACAGGGATAATAACATTATTATGTAGCTTTTTAAACTTTGGTGACATATTAATACAAATTGTCCACATTTTATTTTATTTAAGTTCCCATTTTTTATAACGCGCCAAATGTGACGTCTATTAACGTAGACGTTTGTTTTGTACGTTTACGTCATTTTTATTTATGTATCAACTGAGGAAGCTGAATAAAGCGAAACATGTTTTGATACTTAATTTGTGTTGGTTTTTGATCCAATTATCCCATTTTTTATAATAAAATTCTTAAATTTATATGCTGTTATAAATCATTGGAGTCATTGGAGAAGTTTTTCTACATCAGAACTTCAACAAAAAGTTACTTTTTTAGATTTTTTTTCATTTCAAATAAGTCTGCGATGTAAAAAAAAGCAAAATTTGTGATATACTGTAAATAAAATATTGATGAAATAAAATGTGTTTTTTCATTTTCAATATTCTACTGTATTCAATGCAATGAAACATATTTTCCATATTTTTACTGGTGTCTTGCTGGAATACTTTATTCTGAAATCAGCCAATACGCAAAATTTAAGGGGGATGTCTTTCAAATTGTAATGTAATAAAAAGAAGAGAAAAATGTAAATAATTAACAGAAAATTCAAGTTTTTTCCATAAACACAAGATTTATCTTCATCTTGTGGTATGAAAATTATCATACACGTATTTCACTCATGGCTACCACCACTAGTGAAATATTTATTGTCACACCGCTCTATGAAAATAAATAGTGTATTTACAGAAAAATCTTAAATATCCGCTATATACATTTGTATAACAAAATCAAACAATAAAAAGCTTCATGGTAATGAGTATTTCAAATAATAACAATCTGAGCAATTTAATGAAAGTAAAATATTCAAAGTATTATACTTAATTAAATTAGCATCATAATCAATTAACAAAGCCTTTAAATGCAAGTCCATAAATTGCTATATGAAATGTTAAATTTCATTTGACAGTCTTTTTCTTACATTCATTTGATTGCTGAGAAAACCATAATCAACCCTGTGTTCTTCTCTAGCTGATTCCAAATGCAATATATGACTTTTAACAAATTTGATATAAACAAAAATATCACTTTAACTTTCCACTACAATATATCACATAACAAATATGATATATACAGATATGTACATGTCATAAGGTGGAGAGTATCAAGAATATTAAGGAAATGGCGTTTTTTTTACACTGAGAAAAAATATTTCTTTACCCTCCTACAGAAACGATGCCCCCATATCTCACAACTTTTCACATTAACTTCTTTATATCAATGTGTTCTATGGCAAGAAAATACTTTTTCTGTTCTCCTTTTGTTTAATATATAGAGATAAGATATATTTTGTTTTATGAACAGTTAAAAAATTGATTTGTTTGTTTTTCATTAATTCATTGTCCGCATTAATGCACAGAAAATTGATTTTTGTTTGTTTGTTTTTCATTAATTCATTGTCCGCATTAATCCGCTTAACATCACAAAAACTGGTGACTCTAGGGTATAATATAACTTCATCATTGGATAAACCGAGAATGTAAAAGTTATCTATCTTATCACATGTTAAGAAATGGTATACCTTATTAATCACCAAACATCAAACATAAATGAAATCTCAAATCACTAACAAAAACAAATTAACTGTCAACTATTTAAATACAGTTTTATCTTATCATACAGACAGCACAACTCTTGTCTGAAGATAGTGTTACATCTAAAACATAATTTATATCAGTCACCAATAACATCTAGATCTCCTCTAGTCTTCTTGTAAGGGTTCGGACAAAAGTGTATACTTGATTGTTTTTCCTGTTAACCTGCAATAACAAAAAAAAAAAATTGTTTTCTTCATCCCTAGAAAGAGATGTGCTCAAGAAAAAATGCTGTGTTGTTTAAAAACTTCAACAACAAAATAAAGTATTATACAATGTACTCAACTCAAGTATTTCAAGATTTGTATTCTTACAGGATGAGATAAATTCTTCTTAGACGTGTACACAGTAAATGAAATTACACCTAAACATTTTTTGTTACAATATTTTTACATCATCTCTTTACCAACCCTCCAAATGTTTTATATTCAATAACAGCCAGAGCATTTAAACAGTAAAATAAACAAAGATGAAGTAATTTTGTTTTGTATACTTTAATTTCAATATAGCATTATACATAGTGCAATTAACAAACAGTAAATTTAGATCCTATATGAGTACTTATTTTTCAACATGTTACTTTGTTTAATAAACTGCTTAAACCAATAGATCAGTATTAAAAAGTTTGAACATAGTGAATTAATCTGTAACCACATTTGATACAATGTTACGCAGAATCAAACCACTGAACTAAAGGACAGAAGCTTCAATTATCCCCTTACTGGATGAGCATTACCAGCTTGTAAATAAATATAATCCACTTACTTAGAGTATGTATTGTCAAACAGTAATGTATATATGCCCGGTTGTTTAGCAGTTAGCTCCCCTCTTACAGTTTGTTTATGGGAATCACATTTACACGGAGGTACCAATACTTGACCATCACTTACTGCAACTGACTCACTACTTCGGTAGTTTGCACTAAAAACAACATCCTACAAAATATAAAAAGAAATTATTCAACAATGTCATTGTGTCCTTCATTGAGAAAATAAATATATCAACACCTCAGCTAGACATTAGTGGAATCTGCTCCTCTATTGCTATGCAATAACAAATGGTCTGAATAATTGCAGGAAAATTTACGGGTGGGTTTTTGCCTGCTTTGGAAAATTCTTTGGTGGGGTTATGTCCATATATGTAAATTTCACATGGTTGGTTTTTTGTTTTTGTTTTTTGTCAGTGGAGTTTTGTCTGTCTCCCAGTCTGACTGTGGTCACAGTTGGAACTAGTTTTTTTGTTTGTTTTTTTGTTTGTTTGTTTGTTGTTGTTTTTTTTTTGGGGGGGGGGCATACAGTCCTATCCTACTTTCCAGCATACTAATTAATAAAATTTATTATTTCTTCTAGAATCTCAATGACTATTTATTGATGATCATCTCAGATCTTTCGTTATGATGGTACCTTAGATACTTTTTTTAGGTCATCAGTAAAGGTTGAGGTCAATAATGGATAGAAATTCATTTTTTAAACTTTTGTTACTTTTTATAGATTGATATCTTAGTTATTTGGTATGATGATACCTTGCATTGATATCTAAATCTTGATGAGTTTTGTAGACAATGAGTTCAATGTCCCTGATGCTAAAATAGGGGATAAGCAGAAATGTGAACTTATAAAAATACACCTACTTATATGAATACACCTACAAATGAATCCTCTTAACTAAAAGTAATAAACGAAAACATAATGAGATAAGTTTACCTTTGGGTGTGAGGTGAATTCCCAGCCAAACACTGTGTTAGGTTTATCAATCATGACTGGAACAGCAAATGATCGCCCTGCCTTGATCCACACCTCATTCTGACTGTTAACTTCACCCCTGATCAGTTCATTCAGAGATACGCACATACTGCTAGACATACTGGAAATAATCACATATAAAATTACACCATGTTTCTAGACATACTGAAAATAATCACAAATGTAATTACATAATGTTGATACATATACTGCTAGACATACTGGAAATAATCACACACACAAATACAGCATGTTGATACACATACTGCTAGACATACTGGAAATAATCACACATATAAATACAAATATGCTGCTTGACAGACATACTGCTAGACATACTGAAAATAATCACACATGTAATAACATAATGTTGATACACATGCTGTAAGACAAACTGGAAATAATCACAAACATAATTACACCATAATGATACACATACTGCTAGACATACTGGAAATAATCACAAACATAATAACACCATGTTGATACACATACTGCTAGACATACTGGAAATAATCACACACATAATTACACCATGTTGATACACATGCTGCTAGACATACTGAAAATAATCACAAACATAATAACACCATGTTGATACACATACTGCTAGACATACTGGAAATAATCACACATATAATAACACAATGTTGATACACATTCTGCTAGACATACTGGAAATAATCACACATATAATCACATAATGTTGATACACATACTGCTAGACATACTGGAAATAATCACATGTTATAACATAATGTGATACATATACTGCTAGACATATTGGAAATAATCACACAGATAATAACACCATGTTGATACACATACTGCTAGACATACTGGAAATAATCACACGTTATAACATAATATGATACACATACTGCTAGACATATTGAAAATAGTCACACAGATAATAACACTGTGTTGATACACATACTGCTAGACAAGCTGGAAATAATCACACATATAATTACACCATGTTGATACATATACTAATACAAATACTAGAAACAATGATATATTTCATAGCCATATTACCCTGACAGAAATGTGTCAGCTTAATGTTTATAAATGCAACACTATCCCTGTTGCATGCTTTCTCAAACACAAGTAGGAATTATAAATGGTTTACAGCTTAGGTAACTAGAAGGGCACAACTACACTAGGGATTTCTAAAACTATTCATGAAGTATGGTTTCTAAATAAGTACACTGAAGGCTGGGAAAATCTGAAGATTATAGATATTTTCTTATTATGCAATAACACAAAAATAAGTCTATGACTAAGATTATCACATGAAGATATATTAATCTTGCATAGATGCAAAATGCAACAGACTGAATAATATAATTTCATACTTGAAAATTACCCAACTATATACAGATTGATCAGACATGCACATAATAATGTAACTTATAACTTTGAGCCCTACATGACCATGTTTCTTCATATGACACCAGCACTGGTTGGTTCCAGAAAGCAGACTCAAAAGTGATTTATATAAGTTAAGTTGCAAGAACTTGTTTCGCAATCAAGATAAAATAAATATGTTTAAACTAAACTAATATAACTTACATCTGTACAAGTGAAAATATCAGAAAACCTGAAAACACTGAATTTTGTATAAATTCAATTGGTTTTATATAGAAAATGAGAGTTTCAGGTGTAGAAAAAACCTGAATTTCAGGGAAATGCCTGAAAACTTGTACCCATGAACTTATGCAAAATTCTGTTGTACAATTTTTGTATTATAAACCTATACAAACAATGTAGAAAGTATAGACTATAGAGAGATAAGCCACGTTTGTTTACTTACTTGGGATCTAGGGGAGCTGGGGTTTCCTGATCCCCACTCATTGATATTGACATTGACCTCTGTATCTCCTCATCACTGATCACATGGAACTTGTCCTCACCATTATCTCCCCTTTCATCACTTAATATAATATAGGTATAGATATAATGTGATATTCTAGCTCTTTGGTTATATACAGGTAATATAGGTATAGGTGCAAGACTAGTTAAGATAGTGTCGGAATAGATAAGAATGAATATTTCAAGCTGCCATAAAGCAAGAGAAGAGTTGCAAAGAATTCATTTTCATAGCAATCAAAATTTTTGTTACTTTTCAGCATCATGAAGTATTATTTTAATCTGTTATAGAATAAACTTTAAAACTTTAAAATGAAATTTTCAGGTCAAAGACTACATGTCTATGTGCATCTATTCAATACATGTATATGACTTGTTGTCATGGAACAAAAACCAATTTTAATTCTAAATCATCCTCATTATATTAAACTAATTTTAATTCACAATAAAGAATATATACTAGGACGAAAAAGAAACGCCGGGTACATAAAATATGCAACACATATTTTATTGCTTGGCCTAAAATAATGAAAATCGGTCAGATTTATATAATGCCCCATGTCGCCAGAGTTTGCCAGCAATTTCTTGCCAACAGTAACATACACCCACTCGATTGGCCAGCATTCAGTCCAGATTCGTCCCCAATTGAACATTTGTTGGACAAACTGGATAGGAGGGTAAGGAGACATCCAAATGCCCCCACTAATCATGTCCAGCTCACACATGCCTTGCAAGAAGAATGGAATAACATCCCCATGGCCATGATTAACACCCTGGTGAATTCCATGCATAGACGCATCAGGGCTGCCACAGCTGCGCATGGAGGACACACAAGATACTGATATGTCCGGCCGTGTTTCGCAAAACAAGAAGGGTCATCGTTAAAAGGGGGTATTTTTTCACATAATCAGCATCGGAAATCGATTGAAACTTCAACAGCTGGTTCCATACAGATGACATTTCATACAAAAATGAATATAATAATCCAATAAAACAATTTATCCCTTAAAACAATCAGGTTACCCAGCGTTTCTTTTTCGTCCTAGTATATAATGGAAAAATTAAAATTTATGAAAAAATTCTTTATTTTATGGAATACAAAGAAACCCGCACACAATAAGCTAATGTATCAAAACTATACCTTATTTTTCTGATTAATTGTATGCAATAAACATAACAAACAAACAAGCCAGACAATTGTGTAAACTAAGTACATAAAACAAGTAATATGGCTTTAAATAGTAATATATCATATACATGTACATTCTAATCAACATATCAAAACATGGCATTGATCCTTTTTGGGGGACTGATATTATACAAACAACTAACCTTTTGCCACCAACAGCACTATCTTTCAGTTTATCCTCGTCTGTCTCGTTCCCACCAGAAGCTCCTAACTGAGATTCTAACTGTGTGGTAACATTCTCGCCACCTAGAGCCTCTGTCTGTGGAGATACATCATTTTCTGTGGTAACAGTATCATATACCAGTTTACGACTAGCAATAGCTGATTCTGTCACTGATTCCTCGTCTAAATATAAAACATAAAATTATATCTTTTTTTTCATAATACTGCATGTTTCATTGGCTGATCATGACGTTTATATAGTTTTATACGAGTACTGTAAATTCATGAAGAAATCTCTTATTTTTTCCCTCTAAAAGGGAAGTTTGCTGTATTATAAATTCGTTATAAGATTCTTGACAGGTTATGTAGCCATATATAAACAGTTATTTGCATTGTAACCATTGCCTAGTTACTCAGGTTATATATGAAAGCATCCATTTATATAGAACCATATAACCTGTCAAAAATTTTTATAACTAATATTCTATATATTAACAGATCAAATCACTGAAAAAATGTTTATTTTCAGAGGGAAACAATGAAAATCAGAATGGATCTATATATATATACATGTCTCAACACATGTTTTCTTCTGCTTCAATCATATATATACATTTGTATATAGTTCTATAATACAAAGGAAGACCTTATTACATTTGAGACATAGCAAAGACCTTGAATGTGCAGTTAACACTGTTCTAGACAAAAAGATATTTTGTAAAGCAACAATCATTTTCACATAAATCATAAATGCCAAAAAAATGCAGTTATACAACAATGCATGATAATTTAATTTATCTGAAATTACATTACAAATAATGATTGCATATAAAGTGAAATATTTCCTTACCAGATGATATGATAGAAGATTGTATACTAGCCGAGCTAGGTAATGGAGAACCGAGCACCTGTCGTTTAGGAATCTCTACACTTTGTTCTATATCAGTATTGGTAACATGACAATCATCTCCCTGTAATGCCTTGTTGTACTGTTTGAAACATTCATAACATGCTCGTGACTTCTTACTGTGTAAAACAAGATGATTAAAAAATAATAATTATAATAATCATCTCCATTACCAGATGATATGACATTTATATATATATTCATAATAATCACCAAAAATATTAACAAGTAATCAAATATTTCAAGCACTGATGATACTTTTCCCAAATACAACTTTGACAAAACTGAAAAGTACATGTATGAGGTTTAGTAGAAAAGTGACCTTGACCTAATCAACCTGAATAGGAAAATACTTTTAGCAAAAAATGACCTTGACCTAATTGACCTGAACCCACAAATGGTAGATATCCACGGTGGGTTTCTGATCTAAAATGTGAGTCACTAAAATTATGAGTAATGATATCCATATGAAAGAAGAATAGAAAGAAGGACAAAATCTCTCACTGGAAACAAGATGCTCCTTTGAAAGACAATTTTGTGGAGCATCAAAACTATACTCAAAATCGAAATAAATTACAAAATCTGCATAAGAATAATAAAACTACATGTATATCAAATTTCTAAATCATTTTAAAGATATTTGACTGCCTATATTCATGTACATTTTACAGTAAGATGGTTATAATATAGTTGAATCATGTATATACCTGCTGGAAGCTGTATGTACCCAGTTACCACTACATGTATGACAAAATATTCTCCCACATAACCTACAGTGGTGCTGCAACATAGAATAAAATATGATTATTAAAACATTTTAATAGGACATTAAGCATTTAATAAAATGCCAAATGTGCTGTAGTTTTTTTGTTACATCAACACTTTTAAGGTTAAATAGGCTTTCCAGCTTTACTTATGGAGAAAGTCCTCAGTTGCCAGACAAGACATTTTTCTGGCCCAGGTGGCAGTTTCCATTAGCTAGCTGGATATCTTCCTAAGATGAAACAATCCTTAATCTATAATTCAATATTACATTGGTGAAAGGACAAGTGCTTTAATAAGCAACCATAACTACTCAGTAACGTAAGTTTTGTTGCTATATAAACATTTAATTAATATAAATGCAGTAGTAAATATAAACAACACCTTTCTCAGTGTGAAGGAAAACTCTGCATTACATCCGAGACAATGTGTAACTTTCCCATCATCCATCCATTTCTCTGTAGCCTGTAACTTCTGCTGAAATGACAGCTTGTCTGTCTTCTGCCATAGTTCATCTTTGTCCCTACATCAAACACAAACATAATTCCTTCATCTAAATATCTACTGGTGTAGAGATAGGGATGTAAAAAACAATACAAGAACAGAGGAGCTACTTGTCATATCTAAAACAAGATCCTGTCATATCTAAACCAAGATCTTGACAAGTTTTGTTGCAGGAATGTATTTAATACAGAATAGAAACCAAGAGATACTTTGCCAAAAAACGTTATTTATGGAAAAACAAATATACAAGGGTCATTACATAAGTAACTTGATCTACAACCTGTATCTACCTGGAAATTATTTTGATGGCCAAAGATTGCACAAGGTAAAGAAAGATCAAGTATGATCTGTTCTGGTAAAATATATGAGTTCCAAATACTAATCAACAGATTAAAATAAAGGAAGATCAGGTATGATCTGTTCTGTTAAAATCTATGAGTTCCAAAAATTAATCAAGAGATTAAAATTAAGGCACTCTTCTTACACAGACATTTTTATTATATACCAACTTGTATTTAATCCAGATATTTAACAATAACATGATGTTATTATGTCAGCATTCTTGATAATATTCATATACAATATGGATTTTCTTTTTGTCAGGTCAAATAATGTGCATTTAAATAAAAATATTACTTGATCAACTTGACAAGTTTCTTTTTCAATTCATTAACATCTTCTTTAAGTTGACTGATCTCATCATCTTTCTGTTGGAGTAATTCCTCTGTCTTCACCTTCTGATTATCATAGGAATTCTATAAAAAAGATAACATGTTACATTTTATATATTAATGAGAACAGATTTGTTTCAAGTATTTGCCTATAACACCAAATATCCAACATGTAATTACAAAATGAATTCTAGTATGCAATATCAAACTTGACTATCTGAATGTGTAGATTTTACAATCAATGATCATAAACCTCATAACTTATCAGAGTAAATTGTCCAAGCAATAGTTAAAGGAGAATATGACCATTAATGATAATTAAAGACAATAAATGAGCAGCGTCACGTCAAAACCAACATAATGGGTTTGTGACCAGCATGGATCCAGACCAGCCTGCGCATCCGCGCAGTCTGATCAGAATCCATGCTGTTCGCTTACAAACCCTATATTAAGTAGAGAAATTGATAGCGAACAGCATGGATCCTGATCAGACTACTCGGATGGCAGGCTGGTCTGGATCCATGCTGGTCGCAAACGCACTATGTTGGTTTTGTTGTGACATGGCTCAAATTAAACCATTAAAACTCTAGCAGTATAATATATGGAGAAGTTATCTTCTACTTGTAATAAAATCATGTTTACTATATGTATTAGAACTGATACAGAATCTTGGAGCACTAGTTACATTGCAAGCTTTAAAGTATTCTATTAAGGTAGTGATAAAAATGTGTGATTAATTTAACAACAAACGGTGAAACCCACAAACTTTTACTTCTCAGAATTTCTTTTAGTTTGATTATGTAAGAAGTTATGAGCTTGTAAAAACACACTGTTGAATCTCTACTATTTGTTTTAAGTCAGTATGTAATGTTTAGTTTAGTTACCTTTACAGTTAAAGAGGAAGTCATCTCTTGTTTTAGCTCACTCTGCAGCTAAATAAAGCAACAAAACAAAAGTGAATATGAAAAGGATGAAATACAGTAAAACTTTAAAATAAAATAACCGCAAGAAAAAAAAGAATAAAAAGAAGTTGGTGAATGCCAAGACAACTAGAAATGTGTCCATAGGACACGGATGCCCCCACACGCCACTGTTCTGTCAATCTTATGACTCTATGTCAAATATTTTTTGGACTACATGTGCCACAAGTTGAAAACTAAAAATCAACAAAGGGCCATAATTCTGTTAAATTTGGTCGCAGCAAAAACTCCTTCCTTTACTACCATCTACACATTAAGGTTGTTAATCCCTGGAAGTTTAAGCAAAATCTGCCATCCGGTTTAAGAGAAGTTGCGTTCACAAAATTTGTACATAGTATATAATGAAAAAATCAACAAAGGGCCATAATTCTGTTAAATTTGGTTGCAGCAAAAATTCCTTCCTTTACTGCCATCTACACATTAAGGTTGCTCATCCCTGGAAGTTTAAGCAAAATCTGCCATCCGGTTTAAGAGAAGTTGCATTCACAAAATTTCTACATAGTATATAGTGAAAAAGTCAACAAAGGGCCATAATTCTGTAAAATTTAGTCGCAGCAAAATTCCTTCCTTTACTACCATCTACACATTAAGGTTGTTAATCCCTGTAAGTTTAAGCAAAATCTGCCATCCGGTTTAAGAGGAGTTGCGTTCACAAAATTTCTACATAGTATATAGTTAAAAAATCAACAAAGGGCCATAATTCTGTTAAATTTGGTCGCAGCAAAAATTCCTTCCTTTACTACCATCTACACATTAAGGTTGTTCATCCCTGTAAGTTTAAGCAAAATCTGCCATTCGGTTTAAGAGGAGTTGCTTTCACAAAATTTCTACATAGTATATAGTGAAAAAATCAACAAAGGGCCATAATTCTGTTAAATTTGGTCGCAGCAAAAATTCCTTCCTGTACGACCATCTACACATTAAGGTTGTTCATCCCTGTAAGTTTAAGCAAAATCTGCCAACCGGTTTAAGAGGAGTTGCGTTCACAAAATTTCTACATAGTATCTAGTGAAAAAATCAACAAAGGGCCATAATTCTGTTAAATTTGGTCGCAGCGAAAATTCCTTCCTTTACTACCATCTACACATTAAGGTTGTTCATCCCTGTAAGTTTAAGCAAAATCTGCCATCTGGTTTAAGAGGAGTTGCGTTCACAAGATTTCGGGACGTACGGACTGACGGACGGACTGACGGACGGACTGATGGACGGACGGACGGACAAGTGCAACGCTATATGCTCCCACATTGTGGGGGCATAAAAAAGAAGTTAGATTTTAGATCTAAATAAAGAAATTTTATCTCAAGATAAGTTATGTTCATATTTAATATTTCAAAATATTGGTATTTGCTACACAGCCTCTATTGTAATTGAAAAATAAACATATTTCAAGTACACACAGTTTACACATGTCATGTTCAAAATTCTATATACTATTTGTAAAGACAGTATGAATACATAGTGTAATTAAAAACTGGCATTTTTTACAAAAGGACTACTTTAACTTGACCCATAATAGGGAATGCAGCTTCCCATGCATAGTTTGTGCATTCTCTTATTCAAATTGGACATATTCAGTTAGAATTTCATCGATCATAATAAATCTCTGCAATAAAATTACTCAAAGACAAGCATAGAAAATATGGAAGTATACATTTTCAAGTTGTTCAGCAAGATCAGATCTTTCCATCTCCTTGTTGCTCAATTCTTCCTGTAGTCCTTCAATCTATATAGTAAAATACACATACATAAAATTATAAAGTAAAACATGCAATATATTGTGATTTTAGTATAAGAATAATGGAAAATTCAAGATCATTTAGTTAGAGCTGGAAAACAAGAGAATTTGTTTTTAAAGTAATCAATGACAAAACAATACATATCATCCTGTATATCACATATTAAATTTAACAGATCATTTCCAGAATAAAATATATAATAATATTTGGAAGTTACTATAAACCTAATAAATATAAAGCTTGGAACATCATGAACAAATAAAGACAGATCACAAAAAAATCAACACAAAAACTGAAGAAAATACATCCATCATACTAGTATCAGTAATTTTCAAAAAGTTCTAATTCCTTCCTATGTTAAAGTGATGACAGTATAAAGAAGTTTTGATAATGATAACATTTCAGGTATTCTTTATGTTAGAAAAACAGAAATAGTTCCACTTGTAAAAGGTCTGACAGAAATAAATACTACTTCAGACTGCATGCTGACGTCTATTTCATACTTTTTGTTGTCCATTGTGAGATTTGAACCTGCAGTGATGAGAGGCAAGTGATTAAACCTCAGCCACCTAAAGCACTTGGTCATCAATGCCACCTGCATGCTGATGTAATATTACAGAAATTGATAAAATTGTAAATGTTACCTTCACACAAGTGTGTTACTAACCTTTAACTCTTGTTCTCTATACTTCTTGGCAACTTCCTTTAACTCTGACATTTCACACTGTAATTGATCTATAATTGTCTCTTGTTCCATCAACTTCTCCTTCATATCAGTAAAGTCTTTCTCCTCTGTCCCAGCCTAAAATACAAATATTTCATGTAAGTCAGTCATTGCTATTTCTACAAACTCACACTCATAGGAAACATTAGAGACAATTTTACAAAAAGCAACATAATTGTCCACAGTTAATTCAACTTAATCAGCAAGTGTCTAATTTATATTGCACCTTAATTAAGAACAATAGTTATACACATTGTGTTTGTAAAGAGAGCTAATAACGATAAGTGATATAAGACCACAAAATTGTCAGCTTAACTGGAAAAATCAGTCTGCAGAATATGAAATTATTAAGGCAATAAAAGTAACCTTTTATCATTTAAATTGACTGTATGTTAAAGAAACAATACATGTTGGCTGGTTATCATTTTATCATTTACAGACTTAAGACATGTCAAAGAGCAATGGTCTCATAGGCAATACTTGTCATCAACTTCATAATTTCTTAAATACCTTTTGAATCTGTTCAGCCTCCAGTTGATAAGAACTCAACTGGAACTCCAGTGCTGCTATCTCTTGTCTCAGGGTGTCCACTTCAGCCTCACTGTCCAAAGCTTTCTTCTCATTCTCCTGCTCCAAACTTTCTAGCTTAGTATCTCTTTCTTTTAATGTTTCCTCTAACTTTTTGAAATTTTCACTTTCATGATCTGCATTTGATTTCAATTTTTCATTTTCATCCTGTAGTTGAGTACACTGTTCCTCAAATTTCTTACTTTGCTCTGAAAGTTCTGTTAATTTTTTCATGTAATTACTTTCTGATTCATCATATTTTTGCTGGTCTTCCCTGAAGACATTATTTTCTTTCGTCAATTCTTGCACTTTTATGGTCAATTCATTCACAAGTTCATTAAGCTCAGAAACTTTCTTCTCATTTTCTCCTTTAAAGTCTTCAAACTTTTCAACTTGTTCTTCCAAACTGCTTTTTTCAATATCGAAATTATCAATTTTTTCATTATTACTTTCAATGAGGGCATCTTTTTCATTAAGCTGCTCTTTAAGTTGGTTTAACTCAACTACTAATAATTCCTTCTCTGATTTTATGTTCTCTACTTCAGCACAAGTTGTTTCTAATATGGTCTGAGAAGATTGCAAAACATCTTCCTTTTCTTTAATATCACTTTTAAGTTTTTCAACTTCCTCTATAAACTCTTTCAGCTTTTGCTCAATTGAAGCTTTCTCCTGTTGCAAAGTTTGCAAATTATCATCCGCTTCTGATTCCAGTGACACTTTTATATTTTCTAACTCTTCAATCTTTGCATGGTTCTCTTCTATCTGGTTTTCTAAATCATCTGTAACTGATAGTATCCTTTCATTCAAACACTCAACCTTCTGTTCAAGCTCCTCATTTCTTGACTCACTCTCGCGAAGACTTTTCTCAAGACACAACTTCTCTTCATGGGAACTTTCTAATTCTGATGAAGTTTTATTCAACTGTTCTTTTATAACCTGTAAATCTGTGACTGCATCTTCTAAATTTTTAACAAGTTCATTTTTCTTTGTTTCCAGTTCTACAGTGACCTGTCTTAAATCAGTTTCACATGTTTCCCTATCCTGTTCTATTCGATTAAGCTTTGACTTTAAGTCATCCACTTCTTTTTCATACTCTGAACATTTCAAATCATTTGTTTCTTTTATATGTCTCAGTTTCTCAATCTCATTCTCCAATTTTTGCTGTACTAGTTTCATATCATTTTCATTAATTTCTAAAGTTTGAAGTTTACTTGATAGGTTCTTTGCCTCCTGAATTGCAAATTCTTTTGTTTCAAGAAGACTTACTTCTCTTTGTTTTATTTCATCTATTTCATTTTCAAGCTTTGTGATATCACTACTTCTTTGTTGCTGTATTTCACTGACCTCATTCTTTAACTGTGCAATTATATCTAAATCACCAGTAGCTTTAGTTTGAAGACTATCCTTCTCTTGCTGTTGAGCTTTCAAATCCAACATGAGTTGATGTTTATCATTTTCAAGTTCTTTCACACTGCATTTCAAATCTTCATACTTCAGTTCCCAATCACTAATTTGTTCAGATTTTTCATTCACTTTTAGTTCTAATTGAGAGCATAAGTCTTCAGCTTTTAAAATGTCGTCATTTAATTTTGCCTCCTTTTCCATAAACACATGAATTTTTTCATTTGCTTCTTGAATAGTATTTTCTCGTGAAAGCAAAGTTTCTTTCAAACTGCTTATTTCATCACACTTGCTTTCAATCTCAGTTTGATATGTTTGCTCCATTTGCTCTTTCATTTTGCATTTTTCATCTAAATCTTTAATTGCCTTTACAGATATTTCAGTATTGTTTTGAAGACTTATGATCTCATCTGTCATTTCTTTAATTTTCTTCTGTAAAGTTTGTGTTTCTGTATTTTTCTTTCCAACTTCACCTGAAGTCTCCTTAAATTGTTCTTCTAATTGATCTTTAATTGAACACATTTCTGTTAACTGATTTTCTAAATCAGATGTTTTGGCTTCAAAGTCTGAACACTGATGTTTTAATGAAGTCACTTCATCCATCAAAGTTTCCTTTTCGTTTACCAAAGAGTCTCTTTCCACCATCAAACCTTGAAGACCTTTTTCATTAATTCTTAACTGTTCATCTGCATACTGATGTTTTGACAATATTTCATCCCTATTAGATGTCATTTCGGTAAGTTTTGACCTCACAACTTCTTCTGTTTCTTTGAGATCATTAAATGTCTGCTGTAATAGGTCATACTCCTGGACTAGACAGGCATTTTCAGATTGGAAATCATCAAACCTTGCCTGCAGTTCATTCATTTCAACACATTTCAAAGACAGATTACCCTGTATACTCTCCTTTTCTAACTCACTTTTTTGAATATGTTCTTCAAGCTTCTTTATAGCATCAACGTTATTTGATTCTTTTTCTTGCAATACTAAGACATCATCTGAAATCTTTTGGAACTGTTTCTCAATTTCCATTTTCTCTGATTCTAGCTTTTCAAAATAAGCATTTTTTTCTTCCATGTTTTTTAGCATTTCACACATTTCATTATCCTTGCTTTTTATTTGCGTTTGTAATCCATTTATGTCATTTTGAAGTGACTTTTCTTTCTCTTGCAATTCAATTTTCTCACTTTGTTGTAAATTTATATTTTTATTTAGTCTTTCAATTTCCTCAACTAATTCAATTTGTCTGGTGTTTAAAGAATCTATTTCATTTTTGTTATTCATATCACTTTCTTCTAATTGTGAAATATGTTCCATAAAGTCTTTTTTCTCTTTTTCTAAATTTCCAAGGGTTATTCTTTGTTCATCTAACTCTTTAGTGTCATCCTTAAGTTCCCTTTCTAAAGAATCAATATTTTCCTCGAGCTCATATTTGTCTTTTGAGAGAACATCAAAATCAAGCTGAAGCTTTTGATAGCGTTGTTTTTCTTGCTTAAGCTGTTCATCTTTTTCAAATCTGTTTGTTTGAATCACTTCCATTTGCTTCTGAATTTTATCTAATTCTTTCTGAAGTTCTATAATTTTCTTTTCATTATTTTCCGACTCATCCTCTAAATTACTCACTTTCTCTTCTAATCCTTCCTTTTCCTTCACAGCCTCATCAAAATCCCTCTGCATTTGTTCTATAACATTTGATAACCCTGCTCGTTTTTGTTCAATATCGAAAACCTTTTGTTCTAAATGCCTGTTTTCCTTACTTGTGCTTGATTCTTTTGAAGTCAGTTCTTGTAAATTTAATTCCAAATTACTTTTCTCAGATATTACATTTTTTTATTCTTGTTTCAAATTACTTTAAAAATTGATATTTCCTTTTTCAAGTTTCAAAAGGACAAATTTTTAACATTTTTTTTTTCAAGTTTCATTTTCAAACCTTTTAAAATTTTCCCCTTAAAACCCCTTTGTTCACCCTTCAAATTTTTTTACCCTTTTAAAAACCCCTTTCCTTTTAAAAATTCCAAAACACTTTGCACTTTCTCAATACTCTGTTCTAAATCAGCTTTATCTCTACTCAGTTTACTGTTTTCCACTGTCAAAGATTTTTCAATATCTGTCAGCTCAGTTATCCTATTGTCCTTTACTGTAAGATTACTTTCTAATGTTTTCATTCTATCAGACCATTCAGATTCTGTTTTTGCTGCTGTTTCATAGAATTGCTTTGTTCTCTCAAGTTCCTCTAGGCCTCGTTGATTCTTCTCTTGCAGCATCATCACTTCACTTTGTTTTTCATAGAATTGATCTTGAATTGTCTTAATTTCTGTCCTAAGTTCCTTGTTCTCATGTTCCAGATGAGAATTTTCTTTTGCTTTTACTTCACTATCTTTCTCAGAAGAAACAAGGGCCAAAGACTTTAAATTAAGCTCTTTCTCTACATTTTCAAGTTTTGCTGTCATTTTACTTTCATTTTCGTATAATTTTGAGAGTGTAGACTCAAGACTTTCTAGTTTTTCCTTCAATGTTGCTTCCTCTCTTTCATGAATAAGGTTTATATTCTTGTAAGATTCTAATTCTCTTATCAAAGTTTCTCTTTCACTTCCAAGCTCTGCTTGTTTATGATGAGCTTCTGACTTCAATTTTTCTGTTTCGTCATTCAATTCTTCATATTTTAACTTTTCTTCATTGAATTTCTCTTCAAGCTTGTCTTTTTGCTTTTGAATATCATTTAATTTTTCATTACAAGATTTAAATTCCATTGACAGTAAATCTTTTTCAGATCGCATGTCATCAAACTTACTTTTAAGTGTATCAAACTGCTCAGCATGTCTTTTAACTTCATTACCCAAGTTCTCAATTTCCTTTTCTTTGTCATTTAACCTTGCACACTGCAACTCATCTTGCTTCTCCATGCCCTTTACAGTCAGCTCCCATTCCCTTTCTTTCTGCAGAAGCTTCTCAATTTTTGAATCTCTGTCTTTAATATCTTGTTCTAATGGTTTAACTTTTTCTAAACTTTCTTGTGCATTTTTAACAGCAACTCCAACCATCTCATTAGACTTATTCAGTTCTTCTTTGCACTTTTCTATTTCTTTCTTCAAAAGAACTAAATCTTGATCTTTTATTTCTAGTTCCTTAGATACATGGCCTTTCTCTTGTTCAAGAGCATTTAAAGAGGATCTAAGTTCTAACACTTGTTTTTCCATGGCAATAACTTCTTCTTTAGCATGTTTTAAATTGTCACTGTCATTTTCAGATACTCCCTGTAAGTCAGCTATTTTCTGTTTTAATTCTTTCTCCATTTCTTTCAGTTTATCTAATGAATTTTCAAGACTTACAACTTTTTCTTTACTAGCTGACACATCATTTTTCAATTCTGCATTTTGATTAGCTAAACTATGACACTGTTCATTTAAGTTATGCTTTTCATTGCTGACAGAGGAGATTTTGTCCTGCAATCCTGTGACAAAGTAGGAGACATCTTTTAAAGCCAAACATGAAGTAGCATCAAGGTCTGGGATCTGAAACAATATTGTATCAATATAGAAAGATAAACAAGCAATAAATAAGAATGGTAACATCACACCAACACTGTGAAGGTCATAAGGCGACTTTCCAGCTTAACTGGCAAAGGTAGACCTCAGTTGCTCATATATGCATTATTTCAGGCGCAACCAGGCACCTGAGTAAAACAACCAATCCATAAGCAAGCTGGATAGCTCTCTCAAATAAATGAATCCAAAGTCCCATTAAAGCAACAGTGGTGAGGGGCTAGTGCACAATGGTAAAGTTATTTTAAAGTACATTATTTCACTGAGGCAAAACAATCTTTTACTCATCTAAGTAATTTAGGTGGCATAAAACTTAAAAATTTAATTAACAACAATTAACACATAAAGACTTCTCCTGTCAGAAAGGAATAAATAAACTAACAGCAATTCAATTAAAATTTCACTATTCTTAAAATAAAATTCTTAATACAATCTACACCTGTACCATTAATTTTCTCAAGGAATGGAAAAATCAAATTAAAGTTCATTTGATTAAAGTCTTCACAAAATGATTTTTTAAAAATTAAAAATTTTAAAGCTGACTAAAAGGGTTTTTTAAAAAATGTTTTATTTATTTTTACTTATGTAAAAGGCATGCACACCCCATTTCCAAAATATTGTTTAAACAGAAATTTTTTTTTTACTTGGGTTTTGTTTGGAAACTAGAAGCTTATGACAAACTTTCGAATTTCGGGTTCCCGGAACCAAAAAGTTCTGAGCAATGAGGTTTTAAAATTTCTTTTCTCAAGGAAACAAACTTGCCCCTTTACAGGGATTGAACCCCAACCCAAAAATGATTTTTTTAAAATTTTCTAATTTTTGGGCCCCCATAACCCCTAAAGCCCTGCCGCCCCCTAAGTATTATTTTAAAATTTTATATTGTTTATTTTTTGATACAAAAAAATTTACATACAGGTTTTAATTTTAAAAACTTTTAAGGGCCAAAAAATTTTTAAATAAAAAAAATTTGAAATTTAAAAAAGTAAATAGATTTAAATTACACAATATTGATTCTATTGAATTGTTTGTTATTCACTATATTATTCCAAAGATTATATGATGTATCAATATCTGAGCATTCTAACCTCAGAAAATGAAGCTCCTTCCCTAAGTTTATCCAGCCATTGGTAACCTGTGGTCAGTGCTGAAACTTTTTTCTCTAAACTGACCACTAAATTGGACTGTTCCTTCAACTCTGATTGAACATCAGTCAGGTTTCTGAAAATGAAATACTGAATATGTGAAAACAAATAACATGATTATTGTTTTACATACAAAGGATATATGAAACATTTTGCATGGGAAGTAGGGGGTCTCATCGTTAGGATGTCAGGATGTCAAGATGTTACTCATAATGCAGAAATAATGTATTAATCATTACTGGGATAACATAGTAAAATTTGCACAACCACACTAGAAGAACTAATAATAAACAAACCTTTGCCCTGATGCCTCACTATTCTCCACCATCTTTATTTTTTCTAATAACTCGGATTTCTCAGTTTCTACTTCAACCATTCTTCTCTCAATCTCTTCTTTATCCACCTTCATCTGTTCTTCCAGCTCTGTAACCTTTCCCCTCAATTCTTCTACAGTCCTCTGCATGTCATCACGTTCACTGGAAGTTATCTGAAGATTTTCTTGCGACAATTCAAGATCCTCTTCAATCTGTGTAATCTTAGCAAGAAGTTTTTCATTCTCTGCCCGAAGTTCAGTAATTTTAGTCTCAAAAGCAGATTCCAATGTTTTACCATCTCTGTCCTTGAATTCTGTCTCAACACACATCTTATCATACCTGAATGAAAATCAAAAATGTAAACTCTTTAATCATTTCTACTTACATATAACTCGTTTGGTTTGTTTACCATAGTTTACTGTGTCTGATAAACCAGACCAAAATATTTTAACTTTATACTTTATTACTTCAAATTCATCTAACTGTGAGGAAGATATCCAGCGAGCTTACGAAAAGTCGGTGGTTCTACTCAGGTGCCGGTTCATGCCTGAAATAATGCACAGAAGGGCACATTGAGGTCTTCCTCCACTAGTAAAGCTGGAACGTTGCCATATCACCTATACTGTGTCGGTGTGACGTAAAACCCAATCAAACAAACAAACAAATTCATCTAACTAAGACTAAATTGAACATAAAATCTTATTTTATACCTGGTTGAAAGGATGGGGCAGAATGACAAACATCATAATAATCATCAAAATATATATAATATATAGATCAGAATATTTTCTACCAAAGATACACATACTTTTTCTCAAGCTCTCTGTACGAAGCCTGTAATTGTTTATGTTCGGCTTGTATCTCTCGTAACTGGTTTTCCAGCATGTTTACCTCCCCTTTTGACTCCGCTACGGTCTGCTGGAAGATTTGTTTTTGCTGCTCTAAAGCTTCCATCTTGTCCTCGAGGTCGGAGCGAACATTTTCAGAAATAGCTAACTCTTGTGCCAGCTGGTCCATACCTGACGTGTCTATAGGTGTTGACGAAACCTGACCTTTTATTGGAGTATCCTTAAATGAAAATTAGATCATTTTAGCTGCTTTACATCAGTTCAGTAATCTTTCACTTTTGTTCTCACAATATTTACATCATATGGCAAAAAAAATGTTACAAAATATCCCTACAAATTCAACATCAGTTTGACAGTGAGCTTTCCATAGTTTTAGTGAATGAAATGAATTGCAGTCTTCTGGATAAGTTACCAGTCTCTAAACAAAGCAATTACTGTTATCATATGTGACAATGTAACATGTGACACTAGTACTCGTTAGCTGAGTAAGCACACTGGAGTGGTTTAATTTTGTTCATTATTATTATTACATGTATTATTATGTCACTGATTGCTTTGATTTTCCAAGTATACCTGAAAAAGACTTCATTATTTCACAATTAATAACAAGGTATCATAGCTAACCTGATTGATACTGTTTAGACTAGATATACTCATTGTTCTAGCTCTCTCTGATAGTGACCATGTATGTTGTCCTTCAATATTCTTCCTGTAGAAATAAACAAACATTTAAACAATCTTATAATCAAATTAACATTTCAATATTCATTCATAATATCATCTCATTATCTTAGTTTTAAAGATATATCATGCTTGTTACGTTTGCTATCTACTACGTTTGCTATCTACACAAAAAATATTGAGGTAATTCTGGTTAAACCAATTTATGTTGAATAACCACTCTAACTTACCTTGCGAAAGATGGCCATGAATTGTCTAGGTCGTAACCTCTAGGAGCAAGGTCAAACATGATGTCATTAAGGTCATATAGTGCACTGATGATCATGCTACTTTTATCATGTTGTAGCCAAAGAGATTTAGGATGATACCAACCACTGAATAAAATATAGAATTGTCATGTACATCATATATATCATGAACAAAAATAGTGCAAAATAATGAACAACAAGAAGAGCTATTCTTAAAGACAGCACTATTCTCAGTGCCAGACAGTCAGAAGAGTCAGGGGCATATAAATAGGTAACTTGAATTAAAGAACCAGTGCCTATCATGTTTAATAATCACAGAGAACAAATCAAAGAAAACAAGTGTGTGAAGTTTCAACACATTCACTTCAGTAATTTCAGAGATACCAACTTGAATGCAAAAGTGTGACTGCCATGCTAACACTTGGGCAAGTACAATAGCTATCCCTATTATTCAATTAGTCAAGCTAAAAATACCAAGAATTTTTTTCAGTGTACTAACATTGACATTTTTGTACTTCACAGGCAAAGATTGACACCCTATTTTTAAAATCTTGAAAAAACACCCTTATATAAATGATGCCAAACTTTCACATTGTTTGACCTTTATTCTGAATTTATACTGACCTGTGCATTATAAATACAAGGGGTATAAAAGATCTTTTTACTTATGAAATTAAATAGTATCCTTCAGAGTAAGCTGGCTATTAATCTCCAATTTAAAAGTGGTATGCAAACCATTTGAAACTGTTAAGCAAGCATTGTGAAAGTTTGAAAACATTTATAGCAACTTTTGTATTACTCATTAACTTAAGTTAATCAAGTTATAAAACTGTTAAATGTAAGCACGTCTTACAGGCTTTTCTCCATTCTAGTTGATTTATTACACTTTAACACCACTTTCTCTATGCTTGTTGATTTACTATATTAAAACAGCTTGATTTTACAAATTTAAACTCCTGAAACTTTCTAAACTAATAAAGAGATATTATATTTAAAGACTGCCTATTATATAATTATAAGTACATGATTAATGTAATTCTTACCTTGTGACTTTACCATTGGTACAACAAGCTTGTAAACTATCAGCTAAACGTTGATGCATTAGACAAAAACGCAAGAAGGAACGACCTTTACCTAGAGATGTCTTACACTGAAAATACGAGATTTAAAAAACAGAAATTTATTTATCTTCATTACTTCCTTTAACACCAAACAATTAACAACTTGGTCTATGTGTTAAGAAAATGTAGAAACCTTAAAAAGAAAAATTCATTGTAATTCTGATTAATGTAACTAAGTAAATTTCATACTTCTGTTGTTGTTTTTTCTCGTTTTTTCATTCCATTTGAGACATAAAAACTGAAATGAGTCCATAGGACACAGATCCCCAAACATTTCAATGTTTTGTCAGTCTACAGAATGACAATAGGACAAGGGCAAATCTAAGACATACACCCCCCCTTCCCACCCCCCAAAAAGACTCACCCTACTTCATTTATCTGGTCGACTATACTGCAATACTTATTAAACATACAATGAGTACAATTCTTTTGCTTCCTTGCTAAAAATAACTTACAAGAACATAAACATGACCTTTCTTAAAAAATGCTGTTTTTGTTGTGTCTTTTTTTTCTCTTGTTATTAACAGAAATAAACACTTACATCACCTGTAGTTTTGACATATTTAATGCCATCATTGACACCTTTTAGAGGGGCAAGACACTCACAGAAATATTCCCAGTATTCCTTCTTTCTACCAGTAATTGACTTCTTGTCTGTAAAGTATATTTATATAAATAAACAATGTCATTCATCACTATAGCTACACAATAATATTTCAGTATTTAAGCTCAAATTATTCTTTAAGTTCTTACATTATGTGATACGTATTAATTCGTTTTTTGATACTATGCAATACACACAAAGAAATTTTGAGGTTTGCTATATGTTTATATATGTAATACATGTCTTGGGAAGGCATAATAAAACGTGATGATAATTAAAAATTAGCCAGCCAACAGTATAGAGCCTGGTCAGACTGCATGGATATAGGGGCTGGCCTGGCTCTATACTCATTACTGGTGGCAAAGTCTAAATTCACTTTCAGTTCCAGCAGTTGAACGGTTAAATTTGGTACTATCATAAGTAATTTCAGGGAATTTATCTGTAAAGGAAAAAATTAAACTGATCAGCAAGATAATCATAAACAGAAAATGTTTAAACTATACCTTTCATGTCAGCTTGCAGCAGGTACTCAAGTTTTGCACAAAATCTGTGTAATGTCTGGTTGTTATCATCCACTGGACTCCCATCTTCTTCAAAACCACTCTTCAGATTCTGTATACAATCTGTAAAATAAACAATGAACCCATATTAAACTCATTATCTCCCCAAACTATGTATGGTCACTCATGTGAAGTTTCATTGAAATCCCACAAGTAGTTTGACCTGTGAAGGCCAGACAAAATTTTCCTATTTTTAGCTCTGGCAGCCACTTTGTGCAGCAAAGCGGAAAATGCCGGTGATATGCACAACTAGGGATGGTACTGATTTTGGGAGACATAATTATGAAATAAAAATAATCTTGTTCTTGCTAAGGAACTTGAAGAGGAGTGAAACATGTCTCATCTCTCCATCATGTTAGAAATGACAAACAGCATATTAGCTTTAACAGAAAGCTTTTTTTTTTGTCAGACGAAGCATTTTTACTGAATAAATACTAATTGAAGTTTTAAATTGAATGTCAATATTTCACCTAATACGTCTTGAAGAATTTTGGTGGGTTGTGCAGCTACTGCTAGCCCCGATGAACTGGATACTGAAGTAGATGGTGAGCCTGGAGTCTCACTTAAACTGCTGTCTCCTCTCTGTCCCTGCTGGGAAATCTGAGTCCCCACCCTGTTCTTAAACCTCTCAAAGGCTGACAAAGACATTTTTAATTCAAGAGTTCAGCATCTGTAAAGATGAAAAAAGTCAATGTTTACTATGTTCATTTCGCAATTTCCACTACAAAATAGGTCATTAATAACTGACAGGATATTGACATAAAAGCATGCTTTGCAACAAATTTAAATATGCGGAAAACAAAGGGTCAATTTCTACCAAAGTTCAATATACAAGTCAATACCAACACCAAGGGCAGTGCAAAGGAAAGCACAGGAAATGAGACAAGAGTTTAGTATTTAAGGTTTTAATAGGACTGCAACGATTCAGCAAATGTTTGATTTGATTTTGATATCAATCACTTTTATTTTTTTATTAGATTCATATCTGATACCTTTTTATCCTTAGTGGACAATTCTGCTTATTTGCTCCAAAAACTTATTTCAACTTATTTGACTTTTTTATTACCAGTAGTGTTTATGAAAATAATAAGCATTTCCCTATTTGGAAAACAATTTTAATCACACTGTTTAACAAACTATCACAGTTACATGACTAGCACACTTAGAGATCTGACACTTTTAGTGAATTTAAAGTAGGCATATTAAACACATCCACATCTTGCTTCCTGTCCATGTGTTGCACTAAGCTAGTTGTACATATCGACTTCGGACATGCATGTATCCAAATTTACATGTTGCTTCGTCTAATTCTTTATCCGCCCAAAACCTTTAGTGCTCCTACACCTTTTATTTAAGTTTTGTTAGAGAACTTTTTAGCTTTTTTTGTATAAATAGTAAATACGTTTGTAGCCATTTTTCATTTGTTTATCGAAAATATAACACTACAGTCTCAGGGGTGTGAAAATATAAATTTTTGTTACTTGCCCACATGTACAAGTTGGGTAGAATATTTTACTTCTATGCAGCTTACTTTACTTTCCCATATAAAAATACAAAACATTGGCCATAATTATGTTTTACCGAAAGGTAATAAGAGATCATAGTGTCCTTTTACACTAATGTGTGAACAGATTTCCCTGCATTAAGACCATACATCATTTGTGGAAACAATCTACAAATTTTATCAGGCAATGAATTATCTCAGAACTATAATCCATTTTGTGCTTATTAAATCTGCACATAAATTTACATGTGTAACCAATCATTCTATTTTTGTTTCTCTATGAATCTCTGTTGGGACACTATGTTATCACTTGGCTAAGAAAAGCCAAATCTAATAACAAAATTAAGGTGTAATTGTAACATTTTTAACAAAATCAATTTTACAATTGTAACTAAATGTGCATGATTCTAATTTACCATATTAAGAGTGGTTGCTGCCATAAAACCTACATGTTTCAAGGAACTTGCCTACCTACAAGAGTTCTCCCATGAGGTGAAATTATGATATGAAAGTTTGTTTACTCATAGTTAACTAAGATTTCCAATCTCATTAAAATCATCTCCTAAATAACACTTCGCATTAGAATGTACCTACCACCAATAGGTTACATATTAGGTAACCACCTTCTTGTGATCTTTTCAACAACCAATCCCGGCGACCTTTCATAATTTTGAAAGCAATGCCATTTCTAATTTTAACCCCATAAATGACAGTTTGATTGTCAGACAGATCTGAACTTGAGTCAGATTGCTAAGATTTCATGACTTAACTTACTGAAATAAATGTTCCCCATTGATAAGAGACAAAAATGTAGTATTTTGTTTGTCCTACTGGCTCAGATTTTCACTTGCCAATGATAAGATCTTTGAAAAAATCTACTGGTCTGCAGGCATCAAATCCCACCTGCATACATGTGAACTTTTTTTGATGATCAGGTGGGAGATTTTTCTTCAAAAAGAGGGAGATTTTAGAATTTGCAATAAACAAAGAAGGAAGTTCTGACCTCAAAAATAGGTACATCTGCTTAATTTGTGAAAATACCCCTTATTTTAAGAAAATTCTTTGAAAATATGGCTGCAGAAAGTGGGAGTCTCCAACTTAAAGTGGGAGAGTTCACATGTATGCACCTGTTTGGCATAGGATTTCCACACGCCTGACTACAGACTAATTGACAGGATGTCAGACTCAGAATTATCATTTTATAAAAAACCAATCATATGTACATAAAGCTAATGACTAGTCTGAGAGGGACTAAAACTTAAAAGTTTTCTGTGTTCATTTTTTGGTCCTGGATGGAAATGAAATTGTTATACCTGCATTTGGTATCAGAAATTGATTGGGCATCCATAAAACCAATGCAGTTTTAATCAATTTTGTAATTTTATGAGCCTTTTAAATCTCCTTTTCTCCATTTTTATTAGTGGCACACAACGTCTAGCTCCACTGCTGGGGTTCGGATTTAAATGGAGGATAGATTTAGTGTTCAATATTCAGAAAAAGAATCAGAATTAAACACTTTCTTCTCCCTGTCCGAAAACTAGTACAGTAACAATATTGTAAAAAAGATAGATTTTCATCGTAAAGGGAGAAAAAAATAAGATATGTTAAAAAAAGGAAATATAAAGATCATTTTGACGCAGGATAAATTTATATAGCATGCTTTTTGTGCGCATATTGCACAAAAATTTACGATTTCTCACCCTGGGCAAAGTTTGTTTTGCTTTTTCCATGGTTCGCTTGTTCGATTAACGACAGGAATAATGTTCTATAACTTTAACCGACTTACAAATGACAAGTCAGCGGTAATCAAACAGCTAGTCCAGCAATACAGTGAAAATATGGAAAATATGTTTCACTGCAGTGCAAAAATAATTTCAACAGTGAAAATACTAAAATTGAAAATATCCAATTTATTGTATCAATATTTCATTCATAAGTATATAATAAATGTAAGTATTCTGGAAATACGCAGTGAACAAATGATGTTAAAATCTGCACATGAATTATTCACTCAGACCCTCATTAAATGATACATAACGCTTGAATTTTTTTTCCAGTTTTATAATGTCCATTACTTTGTGTAACTAACTTACTATATATCACACAAACAACCTAAATACACTATGTAACTGCCAGTAGGGAGGAAAGTTATCAATTTCACAATTAAGATTTGTTTTACCGACTTAACATACATAAATCATTTCTCATTACCAGCTGTAACCAGTAACATGCACACATTGGCTCCTAATACCAACTAACATGCACACATTGTCTCCCATTACCAGCTTATATGCAAACATTGTTGAATCTCATTACCTGAGCAAACATGTACACATCATCTCTCTGACCAGCAGGTATTCACATACCATCTCTATAATTGCAAGATACCATGCACATGTAATGTCTAATTACCAGCTAACATGCACAAATTGTCTCTCATTACCAGCAATCATGCAACCGCCTCCATGGTCGAGGGGTTAGTCAATGACTTCTAATCCAGTTACCTCTCTGGCGTGGGTTCGATCCTCGGGAGATGCTTTGGTAGTTTAGCGCGGAGGAAGGTAGTCTAGTATTGGTATAACTCTCCAGGAACGATGGTTAGGAAACTACCCGCCTATATGACTGAAATACTGTTGGAAAAAGGCGTAAAATGAAACAAACAAACAGCTAGCATGCACAAATCATCTCTCATTAACAGCAGCCCTGCAAACATCACCTCTCATTTATAGCAGACATGCACATATATTTTCCCACTACCAACTAAAATGGTCTCTCAGTCACTACAAGCAAAGTTACACCCACCATCTCTCATTTCCAGCTAACATGTACACCTTTCCCTCATTACCAGCTAACATGTACACATTGTCCCTCATTACCAGCTAACATGTACACATTGTCCCTCATTACCAGCTAACATGTACACATTGTCCCTCATTACCAGCTAACATATACACATTGTCTCTCATTATCAGCTAACATGTACACCTTTTCCCTCATTACCAGCTAACATGTACACATTGTCTCTCATTACCAGCTTACATTTACACATTGTCTCTCATTACCAGCTAACATGTACACATTGTCTCTCATTACCAGCTAACATGTACACATTGTTTCTCATTACCAGCTAACATGTACACATTGTTTCTCATTACCAGCTTACATACACACATTGTCTCTCATTACCAGCTAACATGTACACATTGTCCCTCATTACCAGCTAACATGTACACATTGTTTCTCATTACCAGCTAACATGTACACATTGTTTCTCATTACCAGCTAACATGTACACATTGTCCCTCATTACCAGCTAACATGTACACATTGTCCCTCATTACCAGCTAACATGTACACATTGTCCCTCATTACCAGCTAACATGTACACATTGTCCCTCATTACCAGCTAACATGTACACATTGTCCCTCATTACCAGCTAACATGTACACATTGTCCCTCATTACCAGCTAACATGTACACATTGTCCCACATTACCAGCTAACATGTACACATTGTCCCTCATTACCAGCTAACATGTACACATTGTCCCTCATTACCAGCTAACATGTACACATTGTCCCTCATTACCAGCTAACATGTACACATTGTCCCACATTACCAGCTAACATGTACACATTGTCCAACATTACCAGCGAACATGTACACATTGTCCCACATTACCAGCTAACATGTACACATTGTCCCTCATTACCAGATAACCTCTAATTATTCAGGATATTTACATTGGCTTAGATACCATTATGACAAAAAGTCTTTAAGGACTGTGTACACTGTAGATGTATTTAGATAAATAAAATAAAGAACAGGCTAGAGATAAACCTTTTATTTCATAACTCAGGTTAACATAAAATTGATAAAAGGTTATGAAAACAACCTTTTCAAAGACTAACATTTGGCAGTAGAGTTAACAACTTTAGTAAGAGGATGTTTGACTCGACTTTTATTCAAAGCAAAACAAACAAAAAATTAAAAATCAAGCATAGAAAATACAAAGAAACTAATTAATATTTTCATATCATTGAAAAAAACAACAACAAAACTTTTTTAAAAATATAACGATATTGTTTCTTATTAACAGACTTCTGCAACAACAAATTTGTTACATACTTAAAAGCCAAATATGCCTCAGAAATGGTTTTATTCTTATTTCTCAAATAACTTTTAGTTTTGGTGTTCTGTTATTGTTTACCAAAAAGTTATTCATTGGTCAATTATGTGAACCATCTTTTGCTTGCAGGCAAATGTATAACTATAGTAATTTAGTAATATTATTATGGAAGTCAAAATACTACTTAACATTTAGCTACTTAAATGACAAATAAAATCACTGTCAGTGCTCCTTCCTACATCTTGTAAGCAACTTACATGCTCTAAATCCATTATTTAAACATCATTAAACTCATGTTTGTACTTTCTAAAGAACAACAAATTTATTCATTTCTGAGTCATAATGTGCCTTTAAAAAAAGAAGAAATATATACTACATGTAGTATGAAACTTGTTAGCATTTTTCTGAAATAAAACAATTTTCACATGCTAAAAAAAAGATCATCCTATTTCCAAGACAATTCTTGAACAACAATCTCTTTTCCTGTGATTAAATCTAATAACACAAAAGCAATCTACAAAAATATTAACTATTACATAAATAAGACCCATTTCTATGTCTGTAATAAGTATTCATTACAGAAATTTATTTCTTTTTTCTTAACGTCACACTAACAATCTTAATTTAAACTTAACATTTTTATTTTAGCCAGATTGATACTAGAACATGAATCTTTCTGGAACTAACAGGTACTGGTGACATGCAAGAAACGTTTTAGAAACAACCATCTTATGCACTAGACACCTTTACATTGTTGATGTCATATGGTTCATTCAAGCATGAAGGGTAACACAAGGCATCCCTTGATACAATCTGACTATCCCTACATGTATATCACTAAGCCAGACTGTATTCTTGTCTTTTGTGATAAAAGAAAAATGTGATTACTTCCCTTTGTGAATCTGAATGTTATCAACAAAATATAACATTTCAAAATGATGCATAACAATTCACTGTTCCTTTTCAGATTATTAAGTATATACCATCTTGCACTATAATAGACAATTCTGCTTAGTAACTTCCCTTGTATACTGTCTCCATGTGTCACTGATATAAAGTCATCTACACATTTACCTCCCTTTATATAGTAATCATCTTTATAACTAGTAAACATTTATGGGCCATTTCATAAAAAAAACATGAACACATCTTTAAGCGGGGGAATACTAAATAAATTATGTAGTTTTAAATCAATATTAACAAATAACTCAGAGACAGTTTCAATCAAAACTTATATAAAGTGTCTAGAATTGAAAAACAATTAAATATATTAAATCATATCCAATCCTACACATATCAGACTAAAATTTCGATGGATCAACTGATGCTTTTACAAAATACAACCATAAAGCATTTCTTCATATTTCTTTTTTACACATATTGTAAAACACATTGCACTGGAGAGAGTGAAAAAATAGAACTTTTTTTATAAATGGAAAACAACATTTCATAAACATTTAATAATCATAAAATCCAATATAATATGGAAACAATTTGTCACTATAATTAATCAATTGCACATCAATATCACACAAAGTACACTAGTATGATAGGGTTTTTTTTTAAATTCAGCTTACAAAAAAAAGCTCTTTAACAGTACTGTAATTATTCACATACAAGCTGTTGTTTTTTATCTTTGCTCATTTGCACTTAGTCTAAACTCATGATCAAGGATTTATCATAGTATAAATAAAAATAACATGTAACCTGCTAAAATTCATAAATGGAAACTTCTTGTTCCCCTTTCATCCTTAGAACTTTCCTTATCAATTTTGTAGATATGATGTTGAACATTAAATGAGCCGCGTCACGACAAAACCAACATAGTGCGTTTGCGACCAGCATGGATCCAGACCAGCCTGCATATCTGCGCAGTCTGATCAGGATCCATGCTGTTTGTTTACAAACTCTATAAAAAGTAGAGAAACTGAAAGCAAACAGCACGGATCCTGATCAGACTGCGCGGACTCGATAATCTAGTGGAATTTAATCCATTAAATATAAGATAAACACAAAATATCTTATCTTATTTTTCAAAATCAAACTGAGTTTCTATACATATTGTGCTAGAGTGGAAAATGTTTGAGACATTTTTTTTTGTATTGTTATCAACATAAAATGACATCATTTTATTCTTTCACTCTTTCAAGTGTTCCAATGTCATGATCAGTAAAATTAATGACTGTTTTCATATCTATAAATCAACTCATACACTAAAATGACAGAACAATTCCAAATGTAATAAATTACATTGAAGTAACAGGGAATACAAATGCCACTGTCAGCTGTTTCGTCTGACAGGAAACAACATGCTGTTAATAAACATATATTGATTTTTACATTTCATTATTTGCTGTTTTAACAATTTTCCATAGGAAATGTTTGATTAGAAATAAATTAGAAATTTTGTGCAAGATATAAAATGCAAAATTAATTAAATACAGAGTACTTGTTTTCTACAACAATCTATTGAATAACCTTGAAACTTCTCTCGCATTTCTTCAAAACAACATCATAGAAACTATTATTATATTTCTTATTCTAACACTGCCCACATTTTTCCCCATTGAACATAGAAGAACCAAAAGTGTGTGTTATTTAAGAAATAATATATCCCAAACTGTGATTTTATTGCTCAATAACATCACTGTTTGGAGTTCGGATGCGGGGAATTATATCACGAGGGCGTAGCCTGAGTGATATAATGATGCACATCCGAACGTCAAACAGTGATGTTATCAAGCAATAAAATCACCGATTTGGATATATTATTTCGATTCTAACACGACATCAACAAATAAATGCTGCCCATACATGATAATTAGCTAAATTGCGTCTGATTTGTGTCCGTACTTATTGTCAGCGCGTCACATTTTTAGTGGTTACGTCACGTGTATAATGATTACGTCACATGTCTAAATATAGAACGTCAAACAGTGATTTTATAGCATAATAACACACACTTTCGGTTCTTCTATATTCAATAGGGAAAAATGCGGGTCGTGTTAGAATATGCAATAAAGTCACAGTTTGACGTTCTATATTTAGACATGTGACATAATCATTATACATGTTGATATCATGTTAGAATTGAAATAATAAATCCAAATCAGTGATTTTATAGCTTGATAACATCACTGTTTGTTGTTTGGATGCGCATCATTATATCACTCGGGCTACGCCCTTGTGATATAATTCCTCTCATCCAAACTCCAATCAGTGATTTTATTGAGCGATAAAAACACTGTTTGGGATATATTATTTCTTAATTCAACCAGTTTTAACCAGCCTGTTTATTTGTATGAAAAAATACATTATTTCTGTAGCATACAAAATATCACAATCATACACAATCATACAATCTCTTAAAAGTCTGATTATTGTTTTTATGTTTCAACCAAAATGTAATCAAAATACTTTATATGCCACTTTAAAGAACACTTCATCACATGCAATAACTTTTTTATGTATTTTTTATTTAAACTGCATGTAATTAGCAGAAATAACTTCATACAAAGTACATGTATTTAGAAAAAAAATTAATGAGATTATGACAAGAGGAACAGTTCTAAAAATGCAACAATGAATTTTAGCAATGTTTGATTGTCTCATAACCCGAATGTACAGAATTAACATAACTATTGTACAATTAACATTACTTTTGTACACAATGTACAGAATTAACATTACTATTGTACACAATGTACAGAATTAATATTACTATTGTACACATTGTACAAAAGTAACTTTACTATTGTAAACAATGTACAGAATTAACATTACTATTGTACACAATGTACAGAATTAACATTACTATTGTACACATTGTACAGAATTAACATTCCTATTGTACAGAATTAACATTACTATTGTACACAATGTACAGAGTTAACATTACTATTGTACACAATGTACAGAATTAACATTACTATTGTACAGTATTAACATTACTATTGTACACATTGTACATAATTAACATTACTATTGTACAGAATTAACATTACTATTGTACACAATGTACATAATTAACATTACTATTGTACACAATGTACAGAATTAACATTACTATTGTACACAATATACAGAATTAACATTACTATTGTACAGAATTAACATTACTATTGTACACAATGTACATAATTAACATTACTATTGTACACATTGTACAGAATTAACATTACTATTGTACACATTGTACAGAATTAACATTACAAACATTGTACAGAATTAACATTACTAACATTGTACAGAATTAACATTACTATTGTACACATTGTACAGAATTAACATTACTATTGTACACATTGTACAGAATTAACATTACTATTGTACACATTGTACAGAATTAACATTACTATTGTACACATTGTACATGACTCAGAATAATTACATAGCTTGAATGCCCAGTTTGAAAATTATGAACTTTCAAATTTTTGTTGTACTTTTCTAAACTACAAAAGCAGTTATGGAAATTTAAAATGATGCATTAAACTGTACATGAATATAAATATAATTTCATCTATGATAAAATGTTGTTTGAAACAATGTTTCATTGAATTATAACATGACATCTGTGAGTGAATGGGTTTTTTTTATTACAACTAAACAGATGGTGACAAAGCAGTCGTTTGATAAACAAAAGGAAAACCTTCAGCATGCTGACAGGATTATAAAAAAATATTTAATCCTTACAACACTCAATGGACTAATGTTTATCTTTTTTTCTGGACAAAACCATTAATCATTTTAGGAAAATTTTCAAAATAACTACAGATTGAATAGCAAATACATGTTGTGCAGACCATGATCAGATAGATGGAAAGTCATCCTCAAATTGTTGGTATCTAACTGGGTACTGGTTGCCTAGGTAGAATCTGGCTCAATAGGTAGTGTTGGTTCAATTCCCACACAGTGCAGGTCACCTTTGTTGTGATTGATCATGAATCCTTTCAATGGTCATTCCCACTGTACCTCTGTTCTGGCATGTACAGACGTTATTAGTTTCTTGTGAAAGTGAAGGCAACTAGTACTGGTAATCTGCTTGACAGCCTGCCCAGGAACGATGTGGTGGCCGAACTGTGCTCTGGTGAATTTTCAAAGGTAGCATACTCTCATGATCTGGAGGGTATACTACCAACACCAACAACACCATTGGTAGAATCTGTTGGCAACAGTTGCCACCAGCAGGCATGGAGTTAATTCCATTAAGTACAGGTGTGGTTTCATAATTTCATGCCATTTATTTTTACTTACTAAAGAAATGTCGTAAAGCAACAAGTATTTGTGCAACTGAGCTATGGGCAATTTTTCTCTTGACAATGTAATGAGTTTTGACAAGACTGAATCTTGTATCTTAGCTACTGTAGAAGAAAACATAGTAAGCAGGTAAAAAACAGTACTGAAGAAAGCAATCAGGCAATGATATCTAATAATGTATATATAGATTAGTTTTGTACAAAAATATACAAATAATTACTTTGTGAATAACAAATCATTCAATTATAAGCAAATGTATAATAATAATATAACTGTACTGGTGCAATTTTATAATATTATCACAAGTCAAATTAAGCAATGGATAGTAAAATTATATAACAATAGTCAATACTGATGCAACTTTGTATTTACATTTTGTGTCTCGTATATTATCAAAAGAGTTAGAAATTAATTTTGCACCAAAACTCAGATTGTGTTGTTTAACGTATGTTCTGATCTGTTCATAGATTTAGATATAATGCACCTTTCTTTTCAAATAAAAAAAAATAGAATTTAATTTTATATTCATACAGTAGTCTACACCTGTTATCATTCTATACAATAGTAAAACAATAGCCCAAATATTATAAAACCTATTTCTTAATAAACTATTATGGATATTTACTTAACAAATTCCATTTCACCCATATGATATCTAATCAAAGGTGTCTGGAAATGAGTATACGTTTTCCATCTTTATCAAAATAAGACTCACAAGTTTGTCTGATTTAAATGATTTTAACATAGTAATGCATTATATCCTGAGTCATGATAAAAAGACCTATTAATATAATGCATACAAACAAAGCATGATAATGTGTTAATAACATATCATTAAACCCTTCAGATGCTCCAAATGAATAATTATGATTGGCCTTTTGCCACCAGTATATAACCAGGCCAACCTGCATGACTGACCAGGCTCTATACTGTTGGTAGATTAATTCTTCTATTTTGATATTAAAATCCCTTAAACATTGCATGGCGCCAATTAAAAACTGGACAAACCAATTACATAAATTCATCAGGTAAAGACTTAATTAGACACGATGGTCAAGATGAACCTTTATCATTTACAATAATTTCAAAGTTGTTTTTTGGTGTAAGTTGGATAGGTACATGTACTATATTACAATGTATCAACATTTTGGTGGAGTTAAATGGTTACAGATGAACACAATATTCTGTGATAATAACAACCCATATAATACACCCACTAAATTACTTTGTAATTGATTTTCTAAATTTCTAAATTACAATTTTGGAAAAATGTATCACTTCCCAAAAATGTATCACTACTTTTTTCCATTTTGGAAAAAAGTTGCTACTTTTCCATTTTGGAAAATGTACTAGTATCACTTTTCCATTTTTGGAAAAAATTATCACTTTTCTATTTATCTATATAAAATGAATAACTTTTCCATTTATTTATACAAAATGTATAACTTTTCCATTTATTTATATAAAATGTATAACTTTTCCATTTATCTATATAAAATGTATCACTCTTTCATTTATCTATATAAAATATATCACTTTACCATTTATTTAAATAAAATGTATCACTTTTCCATTCATTTATATAATGTGCAAAAAAATCTGCAATCTGTCATAAACTCTCAAGACATGCATTTCTTTTCTATGTAGTATGAATTTATGATAAATTTGATGCGTGGAGACAAATAAATTTCAAACTGAGCATTTCTGAAGCAGTTGCCACGGTAACTACTTCTTCAGTTCCTGGCAAGAATAGCACCTGGCCATGATGGCAGGCCTGTAGTCTTCGACTTGTATGGTGGTATGTAAAAGGTTAAAGTTATCTTTTAGCACCTTGGAAGCTTCAAACAATACTTGTTGATGGGTCACTGTCTTATCTGAAATATGGAAAGTCTTTATTTATTTCAAAAAAAGTTTAAACTTAAACATTTAAATTAAAGTCTTAATTTAAATCACTGTCAAGTTCACTATTTGGAATAATCAGCACAGATGGGCAAGACCGAAAGAAGGATTTGAACTCCAGAGCCTTTGGTTTAACAGAAGACAACCTATACCACTGGGCCAGAGCTAGGCTGTTTCATCATGAAGTGCTAAAAGTAGGTACCTTTATAAGCAAAGCAAGAAACATTTATCCCTTCCTGGGGGGGGGGGGGACTCCCCACATTCCAGTTAAACTTTCCTGTCTCATGAAAAACAAAGGTGCTTTTTTAGCTTTTTATCTCTTCCTAGGGAGACTCCAAACATTCAGTCACTTCTAAATGAACTCTAGTTTCTCATGAAAAACAATGTTCCTATAATATACTATACCTTTCTCATTAAGACTTGTATTGAAGAAATCATTTAAACTTGTAGTTCATAACATCAACACCAAAAAAAACAAAATGTTAAGACTAAATCTATCATAAAGGGGAGCGGTTGCCTAGTGGTTGATGTGTCTGCCTCTCAACCCAGAGATCATGGGTTCAAGCCCTACTTCGGTCACAACTATGTTTCTTCATATGAAACCAGTACTGGTTGGTTCCAGGAAGCAGACTCGAAAGTGATTAATATATGTTGCAAGGACTTGTTTGGCAATCAAGCTTAAATAAATATGTTTAAACCAAATCTATCAAATTTTATGCCATGTTCAGATCATAAATACATGTAGAAACATTTGATTTATATTGTTGTTTAACCCTGACATAATAATGGCATTTTGAATGTGATTGTGAGAAATGTTCAACGGACAACATGTTACATAGACAAGCATGTATTTTGTCAGCATTATAAATCATATTTGCTCAAATACAAGTTATGTATTGACAGTTCTGTGATTTTTTACTTACAATATCTGTTGCTTAGACATATGCAGCATATCAAATGTTTATAAAGATCATTTATTATAAAAGATTGAAAAAAGAAAACTGCGCAAAAAATATCAGAGTTGATAACTGATAGGTTGCACAATTGTAATATTCTGTCCATTCACTTTATTCAAAACAAACAATCTTGTCCATTCACTTTATTCAAACAGAAAATCCTCTCCATTTATTTAATTCAAAATAGACAATCATGTCCATTCACTTTATTCAAACAGACAAATAAACAAAACAAGAGGGGCATTATGGCCATAGATCACTCACCTGAGATCTATTTGGGTTTGATTTATAAAAGTAAATTATAATCAACTATACAACCAACCTACCTATTGCTAAATGAACAGCTAGAGCATTTTTCTCTAAAGTCAGACACCAGACAGTAAGACCATGTACAGCTTTAACACCGTTTAATCTCTGTAAACTTTGTTTTATAGAGAAATAATCTGTATCCCGTGGTACACCTGTAAACAATAAAACAATGTCACATTATATTATATCATCAAAATTATTACTACTTTAAACAATACTGGAATGTCCACATGCAAGTTGCTAGGTCACTGATCTTAGTGGTTTTGTTTGCTTGTTTTTTATGGTTTTTTTTTTGGGGGGGTGGGGGAGTTAAGACAGATCAACACTTCTTTATAGTCATATGGCAATATTCCAGCTCTACTGGTGTAGGAAGACCTTAGGTGCCTCTCCTGGCATTATTACAGGCATAAACAGGCACCACCTAGAGTGGAACCACCTAAATTTCATAAGCTAGCTGATTAGCTTCTTCACATAACCCATAGTACATGACAGGAATTACACTCACAGTAATGTGGACAACTGGTTCGAAGACAACTACCTTCACCACTCTGATACAGACTTTCAAGATCTTGAATCAAATGCCTATTACTTTTGTGTTTTTTAAGTATGCCATGGATATGTTTTTGTATTAATGAGGTGTTAAACAGGTTTATAGCAGGTGAAAGGTATTCAAATGTTATATACTAAAGTAAAAGTGAAAACTCTATAAATCATAATTAGATAATCTTTTCAATCTTTATTTATAGCCACATGAAAAAAGTATTTGAGTTTATAGCATAGTTCAATTTATCAAGATGAACTTGGGAAATAGGCAAGACTTTAAAATCTGTCCACAGGTGTCAAGTGGCAGAATGCTGTGTTTTCAATACGGGTAAATATTAGGGTTACAGATTTGTTTTGATTAGAGTTAGTAAATTACAAATGTCAATTATAAGTTAGTTCACCAATTAGGAGCAAAAAAAAAACTACATGTATGTTGTAAATTATTCATAAGGAGAAAGCTAACAATAATGCAGACAGATTTGTTAATGTGCTCATATACATTATTCATTGACTTCCTAAACTTCTAACTTCCTAGGTCTCTTAACATTAGAGACAGACAGAAGGATATACCATCAGAAACACAGACAGACAGTCAGACACAAATAAAATAGAGATAAAATATGTTTATCCATGAGGAGTTATCTTACCTTCCATGATTATCCTAAGGGTATCCCTCAATACATTAACAGTTGTAAACAGAACAAGTATAGAGAATAGGAATGTACATATAGGATCAGCAAGTCTGTACTTTTCCTCCGGCTGAAATGAGAGACAAAAACAAAACAATTATAGATAATGTCTAGCTTTTTGTCTATGATAAAATATTAAGAAATAAAACTGGCAATGATGCCCAAGAATTGATGCTAAATGCTGTCATTTTTATTTCGCATTTTTATAAAATCTGCTAAATGAAAATTTGTTAATGATCAAACATAAGTACATTTGTATATTGTTCCTAAGTATGCCATTTTAAATAGGGTATCTTCAAGATATCTTTATATTTCAATCACAAACAATCAGCTCTATTTTAAATCACCTGGATTTTTCTTTGCAAAAAAAAAAAAATCTCTAAAACTGCAATTTCTGAATTTATTACATTTCTGCTAAATTTGTTAAGCAGACTTGGTAAATATAAATAACCTTTATATTTTACATTGTTGTAAAATTGTTGTAGTATAAATCATGGCACCTAAAAGCTTGAAAACCTGACAATTTTGTATTCTGATTAACATAAACTTATGCATACATTGGAATAGTGAAAATAATGATTACTTACTTATTGAAGGAATTAAAACTTGAGGATTTTAATATGACTGTTGTATAAAGTTCACAATCAATCATTACAGCTTCAGTAAAATGAAAATATTATTTCTAACAATTGTAAGAATTTAATAAATGTTCAAAATATGGCTACCACATTAAAATATGGTACAACATAAAGATAAACAATCTTAAAACATTGTAAGATAAACAGGAAAAACAAGTTTTAATAACATGGATCCAATAAACAATATGACATATGTTGACATATAAATAAACCTATTCATTAAATTTTGTCAAGGTTAGATCTTTATCTTACAGAAATATCGGAATAATCTTTACTCTACTTAATAGGCTAACAGCAGTTTTTAGAACTTGGTTTCATGACAAAACTGAACTATCAATGTCATATGTTGATTTCCAAACTTTGTTGTATTGGGGGTATATAAGGTGCTGGGGGAAGATTTAAATAATGGGGAGGTTAGAATAAATATAAGAGTTTGAAATTTGTGTATATTGTTTTGTGATGACAATGAGCATGAGATGATGGCATAAGATGTCAGCATATTGTATTAAATGATCTACAAGTCCAAAATACAAATTTAAAATGACATAACAAGATGTGCATTGTAACATATTTCTAAGACATTTTTATAAATATTTGTGTCATTTTTTAGATGGTATTTTCAACATGATTAATTTTGTTGACACTCAGATTATACTGCATGTAAAAAACCATGAATGTCGTAATCAAGTTTGAACAGAAATATTTTAGCTGAACAAAACCAAATTCTTGGAAAAGGTCATGTAAATTATGTAAACAGTTCACAGGTAACTATTGACCAATATCTAAAACCTTTTACTCTTTTCTATCTCTTTATCAGTACTATATACATTGAATATTTCTTATAGCTGTACACTGACATTAAATAAAAGCGGCTCACTTTTAAGAAGTAAAAGCTGTTGAAACAAAACAGCAATCAAATTTTTAATATACATACATTACTCACAGATGCGCACACACATACATGCAATCCTAATATTGACAAGCATGATTTTTGGTACTTTCATCACATTGTTAATTTTACGGCATCCTGCATTAATTATTCTTACCTTTAACTTAATTATAATGGATGCAAGAAGTACACCCATGCTCTGTATAATATCTCCTATCACATGTATAAAAGCTGCTCTAACATTTATATTCTTTGGATGTGGTTTTTCAGTGGATTCTGACAAAGGCAATTCTGGATTTCTGAGATCATCTTCTTCCTCCACTTGTAGATTTTCTTCATCTGGAAGTAACGGTTCATAGTCTCCATGCTCCCTGCCCCCAGAGTGTGAATGACTGTGATTTGGTGCCCTAAAAATATTAGGAAAAACTAAGATTACTTTTATGATCTTAAGAGAAAAATGTAAAATTAACGTAAAAGAAAGTTTCTTATAGACAATAACTGCTTGCACATTATCTATTTTGCACAATGTTTTGCATTTCTGGAATTACTTACAAATTATTGCTATTATGCATGATACTGTATAATTCTATTCAGTTTTCTTTGAATATTTCACAGGTAACAGATGTTTAAAAACTTGGCTTATTAGAACTATCTTTAGGTGTACAAAATTAGGATCTGTAAATATAGATGGCTGACAAGGCACAATCATGTCTTTCAGGATAATTTTCTTGATGACAAGATCCTTAATGCTCTGTTTAAAATGATTTATATGGAGAGGTAGGCAGTTACTTCCAATAATAAGGTTAACATTAAGACACAATAAAAAAAAAAAATTTGGCAGATTAATAATATGTTTACGGTTCAGATCGGAAAATTCACCCCGAAGGGACCCTGCACATTTGGCAGTAACGAGGCTTGCTGAGTTATCGCTCATGGGAGAGTTCCCGAGGGACGGACAATACGACCTGAATCGCAAACATATGTCAGATATTTTTTCTTGCATATCATACAATATTATTTCATATTTTAAATGGTTTACCTCAATAATTTGTTTATGGAAATTAATGTCCTTTCATCCATAACTATATTCTTACAATAGCATATGAATGTGCAACTTGAATAACAACGGCGAAATGACGTCATCCTAAGCACATAGTTCCCTTCTAAAATGACGTTATTATAACATGGTTCATTCACAAAATGCGCTAAAATGACATTGTTGTATGGAACGCAACTCATCTGGCATCCCCCATGCCAGATGAAATTTCCAGCATGGGTAAAACTCACAGAAATGCTAGTCTAATATGCAAGAAAGTATCTTATAATTATTTTGCTGTGAAAACATTTATTACGCAGTTTTCAATTATGCGCTAGATTTTACAGTATAAACATTTACAAGAAAATAGATACATGTATTGCAAAAAAAATAAATAAAAGAAAATGAAATATTACAAAATGTTTTTATGTCTTTCATAAAGTAGATATCAAGTAACTAATCTCAAAATTTCTCATGATCCTTAGACAAGAAGGTAAGAGAACACTAAATCTATTTTTATCTTCTCCATTTTCTAAACCTAACACTTAAGTATCTGCATGTCTTGTCATGATTTATCTAAAACAATAAAAAACCATCAAGCATTTTATGCAGCAGCTGTGTCAAGCTGGGTTATATAATACCACAGTACCATTGTGTACACAGCATGTCTGGAGACAGCAATAAAAAATAATAAATGTTTACTGTGAAAACAGACTGTCAATCAATTTTCTGTGAAATAAATCCTGAAAGTTTAGATTACCTATCCATATCACAGAGGTGGTACAGATCTTTCAAAAAAAAGTAAAGTTTGTAAACAGAAGTCTAGAAAAATTATACTAGAACAACAGAGATCCAGTAATGTAAGTAATTCATACTCTCTTGATTGAGATGACAATTTTCTTTGAACTAAACCTCACTTGTACCAAGGGATGACAATGGACTTATGCTATAACAAAATGCACCTCACAACTGGTTTATATATAACAATGGTTCAACATTTTTTTTTTAAGTTGATTGATTACTTATTTATAAGTTAATTAAATTGTTGCAGTTTAACCCCCCCCCCCCCCCCACAAAAAAAACATGGTGTCCCAATAAACAAATCATCTACTAGCTACTGATATATTTAATATAATAAACTTGAACAAAACAAACCAGAAACATATGGGGATAAGATATTGTTTTAACCTGGTACTCACCATTTTCAGCTAGATTTCAAATGAAATAGGTACGCCATTTAAAAGAACAGTCATGTACCATGAAAATCCATATTTCATGATAATAATTTCTATAATATATACTTTGTGCCCTTATTGCTATGTTACAATATAAAGTACCTTTACCTTTGATAACCATTGTCATTTGTATGACTGGAATGAGAATTGTGAGAATGCCCAGACCCGTGGCTATGCCCGTGCCCATGACCAAAACTGGGACGTGACTGTGATTTACCGCAACACTTCTCTGAATGTAAAACTATTCCCATCCTGTAATAAACAATAAACAAAATTTTACTACTGCAGAAAATTATGTTCTAAATTAATCAAATGAGCTTGGGCATTAAAAATAAAAATTTCTGAAGTGTGGATTCACGACACGTCAGAATTAAATGAGCCGCGCCATGACAAAACCAACGTACTGCGTTTGCGACCAGCATGGATCCATGCTGTTTGCTTACAAACCCTTAAACAAGTAGAGAAACTGATAGCAAACAGCATGGATCCTGATCAGACTGCGCATCCGCACAGGCTAGTCTGGATCAATGCTGGTCGCAAACTCATTATGTTGGTTTTGTCATGACGTGGATCATTTTGATTACATTGTAGCTAAAAAGGATTGCTTGCCACATAACTTTGATTAAATTACAAGTCAAGAGCTTAACATTCAATATATTGACATGATTTCTATTTCTATCAGGCATGTTATAATGAACATTCATTTACTCTTTTGTTTGGTACATCATAATTTGATATGTAACACCATGTGGCATTATGCGGCATTGTAATTAATAATGTTTACGACCTTGGTGATTGTATCATATTGCATCTGTACTGTCACTTCAATTAATGTGAAAAAAGATCGCAGCATTACCAATGCCTTTCTTTCAAATATCTCAATTTTGTGCCAAATACTTGTGCATATTACAAATTGTTTCTCTGTTCTTTTCCATGTCTTACCATCATTTTAAATTTATTTATTTGATTTCATTGTTAAGTTCATCAATCAATCAATCATTTATTCAATCAATCAACTCAAAAATAAGATCAGAAAAATTGAAGTGCAAAACTATGTTTTATTTCAAACATGAGTTGATACCTAATGGGACCTGGAACTGTCATCATGGATGGGGTTGTCATTACAATTAAAACAGTGGCTTGCCACCATGGATTTTGGATAAAAGATTAGGATTGTCATAATTGATAAGAGGGCTGGGTTGTCATCATTGGTAAGAGGGTGGGGTTGCAATCATTGATAAGAGGGCCTGGTTGTCATTACAAATAAAACAGTGGATTGTCATTATGGATAAAAGATTAGGATTGTCATAATTGATAAAGAGGGTGGGGCTGCCTTCATGGAAAAGAGGCTAGGGTTGTCATCATATACTGAAGGATGAAGTTGTCATCAAGGATAAGTGGGTGGGGTTGTCATCAAGGATAAGAGGCTAGGGTTGTCATCATATACTGAAGGATGGGGTTGTCATCAAGGATAAGAGGGCAGGGTTGTCATCAAGGATAAGAGGCTAGGGTTGTCATCATATACTGAAGGATGGGGTTGTCATCATGGATTAGAGGCTAGGATTGTCATAATTGTTATGAGGGTGGAGTTGTCATCATGGATAAATGGTTGGGGCTGTTGTCATGAATAAGAGGGTAAGGTTGTCAGCATGTTTATGAAGGGGCAGTTGTCATTACATATAAGACAGTGGATTGTTATCATGGATTATGGGTAAGTTTTTTTATAGATAAAAGGGAGGTGATGATGATACACTTGATAAGAGGGTCCAATCTTCAATAAAGGAATGGGATGCAATCATAGATAAAGGGGATTGGTGGACTACCATCTTGGTAAACATTTGGAGTCCAAAAATGTGATACAATTGATAATATTTAATGCCACACACACAGATAAATCAATTAAGGCATTATCATTTAAACAGATGTTTATCAGAAGTTGATGAGCTTATGTCATTTTCATTACTGTATTATATTAGAATACAATACCTTTACAAGAATTCCCTGTTTTTAATGTTTAAAGATTGTCATTTTTTTAACTAGATTGAACATATGAAGTCAGGGTTACAAAAAAGTAGGTGAGCATGTGTTGGTTGATATAAATTAAGAACAGAAGCTATTAGATGAACAGCAAGCTAAACTTTTCTCAATGCTACAGTAAAACAAAAACTTTGTACAATTTTCAATCATCTATAGTTATGAATTTAACTAGAAATATTAAACAAAATCAAGAAAAATGGAATAATAATTTAACACCCAAAACAGCAATACAAAAATGCTGCAGACGCAGTTTAACGAACAATACTGAAAAATGAAAGGCAATGTCCACACATACATCTCCTATCACCTGCCAAAGCAGAAATTAACATTTTTACATAAAATGGTAAAATTTAGAACATTTGTAAAATGTTATCAGAGGGGAATACTTCAGTATTAGTCAATGCTAGAGTTATTGGTCTTCCACAGAGACTGTCACCATGATCCTGCTGAAAAATATAAAATGAAAACCTTCAGTAGTAAATAAGCTATGTAGAAATGCATCAACATGATTTGACGAGCATAGATTGACTAGGATAGATATGAAAACAATGAACAACTTACACTATATTAAAAACTACACCTAGTGTTGCTGTTATCAACATTTCATTTGCTTTCACATCTTTATAATGTTCCTTTATAATTCTTTCTATAGCAACATAAACTAACACTCCAGTCACCGACCATATGATGAACACACTGAATAGAGCTCCTAGAACCTCTGAAATACACATCATATTTCATCAACTAAATGATGGTAAAATAACTCATTATTACCTTTATGATGATAAAATTATTCATTATCACCTAAATGATGATAAAATTATTCATTATCACCTAAATGATGATAAAATTATTCATTATCACCTAAATGATGATAAAATTATTCATTATCATTATACCTAAATGATGATAAAATTATTCATTAACACCTAAATGATGATAAAATTATTCATTTCACCTTAATGATGATAAAATTATTCTTCCGTATCACCTTAATAATGATAAAATTATTAATTATCACCTTAATCATGATAAAATGATCATTAATCATCACCTATACAATGTCAAAATTATTCAGTATCACCTTAACGATGACAAAATTATTCATTATCATCTTAATGTAACAAAATTATTCATTATCACCTTAATGATAATAAAATTATTCATTATCACCTAAAATATGATAAAATACGATTAATTATCACCCAAATGATGATGAGATGGATAAATAAAGACATAATACAAACATTGCCAACAAGATACAGATATAAAAGATCTATATTCGGATTTTACTTATAACCCCAATGAACTATTTAGTGCATGCCTTATAACCCCAATGAATTAAGTGCATGCCTAAATATTTCAAAATACTGTAACATACTAGATTAAAACATACCAAATGAACAAGCATATTTGTGATATACAAAGCATGGAATGATAGTGACTTGTGTTGTGTCTTATTTGTCGAGAAAATATATACCTGCTCTGTGATAGCCAAATGACATGTTACGGGTGGCATGCTTCTTGGCAAGGTACATTGATAAAAGACTTATCAGGAAACTGATCAAATCACTACCAAGGTGAAGTACATCTGTGAATAACGCCAGACTGTTGGACAATGCTCCACCTGAAATTATAGTGAGGAATATCTGTGATTAAATCCAGATGAATCAAAATGGTCCATGTGAAATTACAGTGAGGAGCATCTGTGAATACTGCAAGACGATCCACCTGAAATTAGAGTGAGATACAGCTGTGAATAATGCTTGAGTATCAGATGATGCTCCATCTGAAATTAGAGTGATGTACATCTGTGAATAATGCTTGAATATCAGATGATGCTCCACCTGAAATTAGAGTGAGGTACAGCTGTGAATAATGCTTGAATATCAGATGATGCTCCACCTACTTTAGAGTGAGGTATATCTGTGAATAATGCTTGAATATCAGATGATGCTCCACCTGAAATTACAGTGAAGTATATCTGTGAATAATGCTTGAATATCAGATAATGCTCCACCTACTTTAAAGTGAGGTATATCTGTAAATAATGCTTGAATATCAGATGATGCTCCACCTAATTTAAAGTGAGGTCTCTCTGTGAAGAATACTTGAATATCAGATAATGCTCCACCTACTTTAAAGTAATGTATATCTGTGAATAATGTTTGAATATCAGATGATGCTCCACCTAATTTAAAGCGAGGTATATCTGTGAATAATGCTTGAATATCAGATAATGCTCCACCTAATTTAAAGCAAGTATATCTGTGAATAATGCTTGAATAACAGATGATGCTCCACCTAATTTAAAGTGAGGTATATCTGTGAATAATGTTTGAATATCAGATGATGCTCCACCTGAAATTAAAGTGACTGAGGTATATCTTTGAATAATGCTTGAATATCAGCTGATGCTCCACCTAATTTTAAGTGAGGTATATCTGTGAATAATGGTTGAATATCAGATGATGCTCCACCTAATTTAAAGTGAGGTATATCTGTGAATAATGCTTGAATATCAGATGATGTTCCACCTAATTTAAAGTGAGGTATATCTGTGAATAATGTTTGAATATCAGATGATGCTCCACCTAATTAAAAGTGAGGTATATCTGTGAATAATGTTTGAATATCAGATGATGCTCCACCTAATTTAAAGCGAGGTATATCTGTGAATAATGCATGAATATCAGATGATGCTCCACCTAATTTAAAGTAAGATATATTTTTGAATAATGCTTGAATATCAGATGATGCTTCACCCAGTTTAAAGTGAGGTATCTCTGTGAATAATGCTTGAATATCAGATGATGTTCCACCTAATTTAAAGTGAGGTATAACTCTGAATAATGCTTGAATATCAGATGATGCTCCACCTGAAATTACAGTGAGGTACAGCTTTGAAAAATACCAGACTTCATATGTACATTTATTTGATGATGCTCCACATGAAAGAAATTATAGTTGCAGCTTCTACCATGGTACTTACAATATTTTTGTCTATAAAATTTATCAATAAACAGTATGCTATCATATATTTCAGCAGTTTCAAGCACTGCAACCGTGTAAATGCTCAAATGCCATTAGTTTTTATTGTTTATTATTGTGAAATAAAATGCCTAAGAGTGTTATAAACATTTATCTTTAAACATATTTACATAAAGGTGTAGAGAGCTTCTGACATTTCAAAAATGAAAACTTTAGTACAGGTGAACTACATGTATATTGCAATATTTCACAATTATGGTTTGACCTCGTAGAAATATCACTACTGTAAATTAAGATTCATTTTCGTTAATATATGCAGATCAATTTCCTCTTGAATTCATAATCTCTTGAATAAATACAAGTGTATGTATGTTCAAACAATATCCAAAAATTAGCCATGCAGTCAATTGCTATGTAATGATAATCAGCTCCATTAAAATATTTTGCTATATAAGACATGTTTTCCCTTAAAAAACAAAGAAAAAGGTTTCACAATGTGTGCCTGTTGTGAAGAGATGATAGTGAATGAATCAATGTTAACAATGAAGTTTTTTCGGATGGGTTTAACTTGCACCAACACAGACTAGGTTATATACTGAAACAAAAAAGAAACTTTCTCCAAGTTTGAATGTAGATATATGTTAGTACAGTTTTTCAATCCTTTTGAAACTCGATTTTTACGTTGAATAAACATATTGGGCTTATATACCGGGATTAGCTGACCAATTTTGCAAACAAAACGAGTTTTACAAGCTACTACATGTATATAAGTGTGTACATCTAAGTGGTACCGTACCCTTGAACAACTGGCACATACTTTGCGAAAGTTTTTTTTTTGGTTCAGTATATGTTGACATTCCAGCTTTACTACTTGTGAAGTAAGACCTTTTTATTTAAGGTATGAGCATCTACGTAGAACCACCAATGTTCCTCGGCGGGATTTGTACCAACAGAGGTGAACAGTAGGTCACCCAGGTTTGAAGTCAGCAACCTTAATCACTCTGCCACAAATTTCCCACAACAGAATCAATAAAGAATGCCCAAGAATGCAACATTGTACATGTTGCAGGCTTGGAGACTGATTGAGCATGTTCATGTACAAAACCTGTATTATTTTTGTTTTCGAGTTTAAATAAAAACAAATGGATATAGGGTATAATGTTTAAAAATCCAAATAAAAATAAAGTAATATTGTAAATTTTCTATCCACAGTATCTTATCTATCATTTTAAAGCCAGAAACAGATGTTTCTACATGATCATTAATTTACTTCAATTTTAATACGCAGGTTTTTATTGCAATTCCATTATACAAAATGTCACTGAAGTAACTGATAAGATCCAAGGACTCATTTATGGGTTTCTAAATATAGAAATCAATAGACAACATTAGGTTGTTTTCCCAGCTTTATAAAGTTTATTACATGTTTCAGTATTTACTACATTTTGTATATTCAGCCAACTTCTATAAATACAACAATAAAAAAGTAAATTTATTTCATTGTTGCCTTTGGAACAACAGTTAAAATAAAATTTCAAATACAGGGCAAAATAGAGTTATGGTTCTTTGACACTGCACTCTGCCTCAATGCCGACTACCACTGTGTGCAATTATGTCCAAGGGTTTTCAAGTTATGCTCCGAACAAGCACAATGGACGGACAAGGTGACTACTATATGCACTACCGAGATATGGGGCCATCTAACTGTACACAGACCAAAAAAGAACAAAAGACTTAATTCTGTAACAATAGAGTTAGGGACCATTGACCCTCTATTAAACAACAGAAAATAACAAGAAATGGCCCCTTATTCCATTTCGGCTGGACGTCTGCTCTCCCTTTGAGGAGCATAAAAATAATAGAAATCCAGAAAGTTAACAGCTTAGTCTTAAACAGGAATCTATAATATGAGGCAATCTTTACATTATCTTAGTAAAGATTTCCAATGAGTTTTCAATTAATATTGTTTGTCAGTTATCACTTTCTTATAAACCATATTCTACACTCTTTTTTTATAGTGATTCCAAATAAAACAATTATTTATTTCAAAGATTATATGTTTTATTCTTACTATTGTAGTATACATGTATGGCATATTCTTTGTTTATAAATAGATTATCAAAGTTTAAGTAGGAGTTTAAAGGCTCTAGCTGGACAAGAAATAAAGGTAGAAGTGACTTCTCCCTCAACCCCATCAGGGAGAAGTTTGAAGACTTAGGGAGAAAAAAATCTAGGTTAAACCGTTTAACATCCATTTAACACCTAATTCAAAATACTAGTAAAAGTCAAACCAGTAGGGATAAGCATGACTAGAAAATACAGGATTTATCATGTTGCTGTTTTTATATGAAATATTAGGTTTGATCTTCAGACATTGTAATTCATTGCCTGTGTTATGACATGAATTATGATAAATAAGGTTGATATGTTCAATTATTGTAACAGCAGTTCTTAACATTGAATAGATACATAATTTACTGAAATTAATGTAAATATTATAATTAATGAATACAATATAAATACACTCTTGTAAAAAATGTAAAACACCACATATAAGAAAAGACATGATTGTATACATGTATACTATTAACATACAAAATAACAATTTTATAACTTAAGGCTATTTACATTTATCAATCGATCTAAAACTATCAACTATCTAAACAACAAGAGGGCCTGATGGCTCTAATGTCGCTCATCTGAGGTCGATCGGTATAAAAAACCATATTTCTTCAATTAAGAATAATTAAGATGTGGGCAGGGCAATTTTAGACTACAGGGCCCGGAGTATTCATTAGACTTGTATAGATTCAGTATATATATAGGCTATTCTACATAACATTCGATAGATCCCTACTCTGATCCCTTATATGAATAACAATACATATTACATTTAGATTTAAGATTTCCCATTCTTGATCTTATTTGAATCGACAATACATTTAACCACAAACAATTTGACATATGTTCTTTTGTGAAGAATTATTTTGTGGTGAAGTTCTTATTACATGTATAATCCACTAATCTGATAATTCAAATTGAAAAGATTAGGGTCATGTAGGGAACATCTTATCCCTGTTGTCTGACACCCACATAAAAAATAAATAATTTGATATACACTAAGTAACCCCCATGATGGGGCGAATTTTGACCCAATGGGCCTAATTTATACAACTTTTGTAGACAGCCACTAGATTATGCAAAAATTGATTTAGATTCTTAGCAGAATATTTTTTAAAGTTTAATAGTCCATATATAAGTCTAAATGTCACAAATGAGACCCTGGTGAAGGGCAATATTTTACCATAGGGTCATGAATCTTTTGTAGATGTCTATGAAGCAATGGTACATGTACATGCCTTTCAGGCCATATGACCTCACACAAGGAAATTTTAATGTGTTTTCATTAGAATCAACGTTTTTTCCCCCCTTATATAACTATTACTGGAAAACGGCACCATTTCCAACAGAAAATAGACAGCAAATTTTCCAATTTTTGAATTCCCAAAATTACACTGAAAATTCCCATCCAAAATCGATAAATTAAAAGGTACACAAAAAAAAGAATGGATGCTTACATATTGATAAGTGATATGCGTTAATAACAAAAAATAACTACATCAAATCGATATCTGT